GAAAAGTGGGAGCATCTCAAAAACAACAACTGGTTGTTTGAGTGGGGCTATGAATGAATTTCGCTTGGCACGCTCTGCTTTAAGAGAGTCTCCCGAGAGCGAAGAGCGCAAGCTGTAGAAGAGATTTTTCGTTTTCCTCTTTTGTGTGCAGCAGGTTATTTTCGTTAAGTGATTATTATCATTATGAAGAGATCTGATTTGCTGGCGATATTAAAGCAAGTCCGGTCAATAATTACACTAGCAAGCAGAGGATGCCAGCTGCAAGCTGTTTATGCGAAGGCCATATCTTAGGAAATATTCATCCGATTCTTGAACGAAATACTTTAAAGGATTTTTAGATCGATTCTTCATAAATCTGCATCAAAATCTGAGAATAAAATATTTTAAAGATTTTTTCAAAATGCATGGGGAGCCCCATATGACCCACTGCGAAGGCCATATCTTAGGAAATATTCATCCGATTCTTGAACGGAATACCTTAAACGATTTGTGGATCGATTCTCCATAAATCTGCATCAAAATCTGAGAATAAAATATTTTAAAGATTTTTTCAAAATGCATGGGGAGCCCCATATGACCCACTGCGAAGGCCATATCTTAGGAAATATTCATCCGATTCTTGAAAGGAACACCTTAAACGATTTGTGGATCGATTCTTCATAAATCTGCATCAAAATCTGGGAACAAAATATTTTTAAGATTTTTTGTCAAATTTTCTGGGCTGTACCCTTCAAAATGTGCAAAATGCATGGGGAGCCCCATATGACCCACTGCGAAGGCCATATCTTAGGAAATATTCATCCGATTCTTGAACGGAATACCTTTATCGATTTGTGGATCGATTCTCCATAAATCTGCATCAAAATCTGAGAATAAAATATTTTTAAGATTTTTTGTCAAATTTTCTGGGCTGTACCCTTCAAAATGTGCAAAATGCATGGGGAGCCCCATATGACCCACTGCGTAGGCCATATCTTAGGAAATATTCATCCGATTCTTGAACGGAATACCTTAAACGATTTGTGGATCGATTCTCCATAAATCTGCATCAAAATCTGAGAATAAAATATTTTAAAGATTTTTTGTCAAATTTTCTGGGCTGTACCCTTCAAAATGTGCAAAATGCATGGGGAGCCCCATATGACCCACTGCGAAGGCCATATCTTAGGAAATATTCATCCGATTCTTGAAAGGAACACCTTAAACGATTTGTGGATCGATTCTTCATAAATCTGCATCAAAATCTGGGAACAAAATATTTTTAAGATTTTTTGTCAAATTTTCTGGGCTGTACCCTTCAAAATGTGCAAAATTCATGGGGAGCCCCATATGACCCACTGCGAAGGCCATATCTTAGGAAATATTCATCCGATTCTTGAACGGAATACCTTTATCGATTTGTGGATCGATTCTCCATAAATCTGCATCAAAATCTGAGAATAAAATATTTTTAAGATTTTTTGTCAAATTTTCTGGGCTGTACCCTTCAAAATGTGCAAAATGCATGGGGAGCCCCATATGACCCACTGCGTAGGCCATATCTTAGGAAATATTCATCCGATTCTTGAACGGAATACCTTAAACGATTTGTGGATCGATTCTCCATAAATCTGCATCAAAATCTGTGAACAAAATATTTTTAAGATTTTTTGTCAAATTTTCTGGGCTGTACCCTCCCAAATGTGCAGAATGCATGGGGAGCCCCATATGACCCACTGCGAAGGCCATATCTTAGGAAATATTCATCCGATTCTTGAACGGAATACCTTTATCGATTTGTGGATCGATTCTCCATAAATCTGCATCAAAATCTGAGAATAAAATATTTTTAAGATTTTTTGTCAAATTTTCTGGGCTGTACCCTTCAAAATACCCTTCAATGTACCCTGAAAAAATTTTGCCCACTGGGACTTTTTCCTTAAATCCGCCACTGCTTCCTCGTTTTGTAATGATGATGCTGTCCAGTGTAATGATAGATTTTCGATCTTATTCCAGCGGAAGGAGTTTGAGTTTTAATAATTACTAGGTTTATGATTAAAACACGGCTTAATCGTGTTCCCGTTAAGGATTTTCATAGCCCCCATTAGACAGACAAGATGGCAATATCTTTTCAAAGTTAAATAATGTATAAGGTGATAATTCACTTGTAACTCACCCGCCTGCATTTGCATATGCCATTGCAACCCATTCGACTCGCCGGTTATCCTCAATCAGCTAATTTATTTCTCCAGAAACTATCGCCTCCATTCCTCCATCCCAAAAAAAGCAAACCATTTTCGCTGCCCCAAGCAGACCCACCTTCATTCAAATGGGGAAACCAAACAATTAAGCAAACAAAACGACAGCGGCCACGGTTGCAGTCTGTGGCTGCTGCAACAGCTCCAACTCCAGGCCCAAGTCCAGATCCAACTCCGGCTACGACTCTTGATAGCCCCTCCAGATAGAAACTGTCAAACAAAAGAAACTACACGATAGAAGACAAACAAAGCGAAGCTTCCAAAGTGTGCTGCCTCAACACCGGGTACTTGAGTTATAAAGGGGCTAGTTTAACATTAAATAAAAATAACATAAAATAAAATTTAAATATTTTAAATTGTATAAAAGTTTAAAGAATTATACGGACTATTTTCAGCACTAGTTACTACCAGATACTAGGTATCTATGAGTCGTATTTGAAATCCCCATTAAGCCTATTTATTTTGGCCCGACCTGGGTCTTTTGTTTCTGCATGGAAGACTGCAGAGTAGCTGCAAGGAGAGGCGTCAATGACGACCGACGAGTCGGCTGACGTCGACCTTCACCAGCGACACCAACACCAACTACACACAACAAAAACGACATCAGAAAGGAAGTAGAAAAAACAACCATTTAAAAAGCGTCTCAAGGAAAAAGCAGAAAGATGCATCGAATATAAATTAACTGACATTAAAGAGGTAATGCAGCAACAACAAGCAGGCGTTAGCCCAGAGGTAGGGAGAGAAATATCCTTTAAAATACTAAAGATTTGCCTATTTCCTATTTCTAGGGTTAACCCAGACTTTCCAAGAGAATACCTCCTCCCGAGATAGCTAGATTTTATTGAAAACATATATACTATAGATGGCAAAGTCAAATAGCTCCCTAGTGAATATTTTCGAGTGCAGTGGCAACAATGGAGACCCAACCAAAAGCAAGAAAGCTAAATGACAAAGCAGCAAGGCAAGTGGGCGTGTACCGCTCCCAATGCACCTCCCCTGGCCACCCCCAGTTCTTCTCTTTTGACGGTGCAAGCCAAGTGCAATCTATGCCAGTGATCGGCTAAGTACAAATGGTTAGGAGATGCAACCGTAACAGCGAATTCAGCAACAGCCACTGCCACAGAAAAAGCAACTGCAACAGCAACAGCAACAGCAACAATAGCTGGCGAGGTCAAACAGCAATCAATAAAGGTCAGCGACTACCGCCAGGGCACGCCTGAGTGCCTACCATCAATGCCGAATGCGAACCTGGGGTGGGGAGCCAGAGCCGGGGAGAACCAGCTCCCAGCCCACACCGAGCCAACTACTCCCCTCGGCCTGCCCCTGCCACCCGATGCTGCACCTCCCGGGCACTTGCCCATTCATGCGGCCCACGATGAAGATGCTTTATGTAGCAAATTGAAAGCTGGACATCCAATCGACTGGAGAAGAACAAGACGGACACGCCGCAGAAGAAGAGGTATGGCCAGAACTGCTGGTGGGGCACGGAGGTGGGAAAGAGAAGGCCGGTCGACAAATGCAGACAGTTCCGACTGCGCAGCCTCGCCAGTCTCTGCAGCAGCAGCAGCAGCAGAAGCAGCAGCAGCCGCGTCAGAAGCCAAGATTCTGGAGGCTGGAGGGAGTTGTGTGAGTGGAGCTCGTCACTGGTGTATGGATTAACCCTCTGGTGCCATGAGCTTTCGCATCATTTTATTTCACTCTTAACATGAGTAAGGTAACACCAGTCAAAAGTGGCTTTCACATTATTTAATTATTTCAATTTTAGTTAATATTTTATCAACTGCACCTGCTCAACCCCTTGGGTTAATTAGCTAAATGGCGGATGTCGATGACTGTGGCATTAGGCGTATGTTTCTTTTCTATACCTTGGCTGCCCACCATCCTTGTACCCATCCTCGGGTATATCCATCCTCCGTCCAGCGACCTCTTCCGCCCCGGCCCCTCCCGGCACCGCCCCCACAGCTGCCGCTTTAGCTGCAGCCTGCAGCTCCCTGCTAGCTGATGAAGATGATGATGGTGGTACTGCAAAGTGGACTTCTCGGGTGCATCTTGTGGCGGCTGCTATCTGGCTAGCTTTGGCATACACAAGATATTTTTAATGGCCCAGCTTCCTTTTTTCAGATGGCTTGCTACTTTGCTCTTGCCTTATTTTTTGTTGGCCAGATTTTTGTGAATGAAGTTGTTTGGGATCGCGCATACACACGGCCATAAAGGCAGGGAAGTAAAGTAGCACCATTATCGCACTGACATGTCTGTTGGATGTCGTGGCAGAGGCCTCCGGATACTCCCCTCCAGAGCCGCCCACTTGGGCTGTGTCACCTGCTGATGGATTTCGTTGTTTGATTAACATGAAATGACATTGCAATCCCCTCCAGACCGATCTTGATTCCTTGAGTGGAGTCGCCGACTCGATGTGCCTCCGGCTCCAAATGCCTGAGATTGATGTGGAGGACGGGCTAAGCGATGGCCCTAAGTGGAAGAGGTAATGGTTCTGATAGATCGGAAAGATCTAACCGATTTGTTTGGTAAATATTTTAGTACAATTATAAGCCAGCTTGTTTTATAATTAACCATAAAAAGAAGACAAGATTCGTATTTCTACCAGCGCTTAGGACCAACACCAATGTAGGTAGCGGATTTTAGCGAGCTAATTCCAACAGATGTTGACATAATTTAAAAGTGCTTAGCGGGTTCTGCTACCTGGACTTCATCCTAGTGCGTATAAATTTCCCTGGCTGATCACCCCCTCGGCATAGTCAGATTCCAACTGCCAAGCGGTCAAGATGACGAACTCAAAACTAGCCCTTCTACTTCTGGTCATCGCCTGCGTGATGTTCATCGCATGGGCCCGACCTCGGTCTCGGTCCTCGATTTTCAATGAGGTGACCTCCCTGCCGGCCGAGCGAAGGATGAGCAACGATATCCTGGACCAGATATCGCCGATGAGGAGGCCCTCCAAGAGGAGCTTCGTGATAAAGCATCCCGTATTCCCGCGCTTGAAGATGCACCGACGTTACATTCGCGAAGGTTTATACAACGAGCTGCAACCTGAAATAGCTCCAGGGGGCATGAACTTTTATGGCAACGACGTCCTGCCGCTGTCCACTTTTGAGCTCCTGGAACCAGATACATTGTATTAAAATACCCCTAAAAGTCAGAAAAGTCGTCAAAATTAAATTTAATTTAATTTCTTGTAATAAATATATGAAATAAAAGAGTCCTACTGCTAAAATATTACCAGTATTTTAATGTAGATTAAGACATGAAGCCTACTATTCAATCCCTTTTATCCAATCCGCTTACCACAATCCGCTCCAAATCAACAACTATCTGAACAAACTACAAAGTAATCGGATGCAGTCGGACGGATAAAAAAAAACAAAATTTTTAAATACAAACAGAGAGCGATTCGAAAAAATTAAAACCTTAGCGAGCCCGCATACCGAATGCCATGTAGGAATCCTTGTAGGAACATCGCGTTTACATGTATCTGTGAGGTTTCCCTGTATCCGTGCCCATGCGAGTGCACATATCCCCAAGGAATGAATGTTTCTGGTTGTTCCGCTGGCCGGAGGACAAATCTACAAGGCGAGGGGCATTGCGAGAGTCGGCTCGAATGCAACAAGTGTTCCAAATCATATCAGAAGCAAGCAATGCCAAGGCGGCAAGGCAGCAGCCACGGTCAAGTTGCTGGCAGCCGCTCCTTTATGCCACATATGTACATGGCTTTTTGGTTCGACAAGGCAAAAGCATTTGGAAAATGTAATTTACAACGCTCGGCGCAGAGCAGCAGAGACCACTTGGCGGACAAAGGGGCACACCACACCAGACCGTGGGCAACTGGTCAACTTTGGTCGGTCGCATCAAGCCACTCAACCTCAAAGTTGAACGGCATCACCTGCCACCGATCTCACACCGCTTTCACAGCTCTCAGATTGAAAGCCAGTAGCTATAAAAAAAGGGAGCAGGAATTCACAAAAGCAGCGTCGGTTTAAGATTACCTTTTAAGCGGTACTGTGGTACCTCATAAAACTTAACAAACTCTTTATTATTTTTATTATTTAAACAGGAGTCTTCTTCCCACTCAATGAGTGGTAGAATGAAAATATTATAAGATTGGTAATTTGACTAAACAAAAATGTATTCTTTGAATACCTTTAGTCTACCTAAGTATATTTATTCGCTAAAGCTATCAATGAGGTACATTTATTCTCGCATATACTCCTCAGAGACCTTATTCAGGGTATGCCTTTAAAAAATTACCTAACTAAGGAGAACAAGTGAGCGCAGATTTTAATTTTAATCTTTTTGTTCTTGTTTTCCGCCCAGAAGCCATTTCGACGGCTTCTGTGCACTCGAGTTTTCCTCGAGTTTATTTTGATACTCTATCTGAGGAGATTATAGTTATGTCCTTAGATGTCCAATGCAGAAGAGAAGACATCTCTTTTAATATCGAAAATAGAGTGTCTGGGATGTACACTAATTATTTATAGAAAGGGTACATCAACTTCGACTCATTCAAAAGCTAGCTCTTCTTTCCAGTTTTTATAATTTTCCTCACCGATTCATAGAGCATTTTTCATTAAATTCCTGAATTAAGGCATTCCTCTGTGGCCTCCCATCGGACGGTGGTCATGTTCTGAAACAAGAGCAACATTGTACGTTGTCCAGTAGGCCGCTGACACGGCTACAAGTGAGGCTATGCTTGGAATTGGCTTCCAAGTACAGGCCAGGACTAAGTGCACTTGGCCAAGATGCTACCGGCTAATGGCAAGTTCGAATTTTAACCAAATTTGCTAATTTTCGACTTTCACTGTTGCCAACTCCATTCCACTCGGAGTGCATTAAAGTCGAAAAAATATTTCTGTTGGGTAGGGGACCTCTTTTCGTCCCAGCTGGCATCCGGGCCACTTAAGGCCACAGCGACCCATGGATTCAGAGCGATTTCTAACTACCTTTTACCAATAGAACAAAACCAGAACAAAGCGCTGTGGATAAAGTGGTATGACTGCGGCTGGGGGACGAGGAGCCAGTAGCCAGTAGATGGCTGGAGAAAGAGCCGGCCAAAGGCGACCCGAAGCTATGCTGGCGAGAGGCACGGGTGCAAGATCAAGCCAGGTGAAGTCAAATTCGAGTCACCAGACTGAGGCTGGAGCTGCAGCAGCAACATCGGCTGCCGGTGTCATTGCTGACCACGACGGCGTCTCCAACCGTCAGAGTTGAGTTCGTGAACCAATGATGAGGATTAAAGTCCTAGACTACATAAAAATATTTAATAATATTAATATTAATAATATAAGCAAATATTTTTAAAATTATTTATGGTTAGTTATGGAGTTTCGTGGTAAATACCCGATACCCAAGACATTTCATAGCAATGCCCATCAGAAACTTATTGAATTTGTATCGCATATTCGTGACACGGTGGCTGCATCTGGGAGGATCGCCAACTAGTAGATACAGATACACGCAGAGACTGCGCAGCAGCGGCGACTGAGGCTGCGCGGTTGCAGATACACTTTAGGGGCATGACATGACTCGCATACGAATTATTATAAACGATCTGGCGCAAAAACTAACAAGCGATGGGGCCGGGACCGGCACCGGGACTGGTCTGGAATGGAATGGACCTCGGTTAGGTGCCCGCTGCTCTGTGGGATGTGGAGCGGAGCAGAGCAGGGTGGAGTAGGTGATGCGATGGATGGAGCGCAGCAGAGGTGGAAGTGGTTGTGGATGCGGTGGCCAAATGGGCGGCAAGGTGACGGCGACGGACGAGTTATGGTGGCCAATTGCAAAGTTAATGGAGTTTGGCTACTCCAGCAGTGAAAGAGCGAATGGGTGGGGGCATCAGGGGTGTTCAGGGATCGGAAAACTTGGACGCAGCGGATGCGGCCGAAGAGATACAGCTACTGGTTCGCGACTCGGCCAAGATTGAACTTAATTTTGCACAAATGCAATTTATAGAAAATTGTTGCCACTTGTTTTCACGTTGATGGCACTCGGAGAAGTACAGAGTAGAGCAGCCGCGTAGATCAGCGGGCGAGATGGGGCCGGGACCGGGCCGAAGACGGTAACCGGGAACCAGGGCCAGATAATAAATGCAGGTAGCCATTGGATTCCTGGATTCTCGCTGCTTTTGCCCGCAGCTCGGCCATTATTTAAATTTCTCCCTCCGCGGACCCGGTTGCCTTTTTGCAAAAATTAACAATTAAAATGTCTAATGGCAGAACAGAAGAACAGGAGGCAGAGGCTCACAGAGATCATAAACGCACGCTATCCGATCCAGGTAGGTCGACATTGTGCATACTTCTTGGAACTTCCACTCATCAGCCACAGCAATTAATTTTCCTTTTCGGTATGTTCGACTTCGGCTCGACTGAGGGGTCCAGAGGAAGTGGAAATTGCCGAATAGATTAGCGAAAAAATGTTTATTGGGGTATAGCCGATCATAAAATTCGATCCTAATCCGTCTCGGGAGGTAATCCTCTCGGGAAACCTCTCGATGCATTCTCAAGTCGATTCTCGAGTCGCCGGCCGTATAGGGTATAAAAGGTCCCACTCGGCTTCCCAACTTTTGCAGTAGCATTCGGCACACGGCATTTGTCACAATATGTTAATTGTTCGCTATTTAATCGCCCTGGTCTTCTCCATTTTTATGGTGGCCACATCGCTGAAGATCGAGGAGCGCTATCGGAAGTGTGGCGGCTTCAAAATATCCACTCCGGATCGGCTGGTCATCCTGATGAAGGAACGTGAGGAGCAGTGCCAATCGCAACACCTGCAGCGGAGACGATTACAAATCTGAGATGAAAAACGTGATAATGCGAATCGTGATATAGGAGTCAGAGAACTACACATTACCTGAGGAAAAAGCAGCCCAACGATATATGGCCTCAGAGGCCATCTATAACTAATTTTCTAAACCTTTTTTAGGTCAAGATAAAGGTTTTTAAAATATAAAAAAAATAATTGATTTTATAATAATTTCCTTGTCAAACATAAAATATAAGCATGCAAATGTACCCAACATTTAACTTGAATAAAGAGATAAAATAATATGGTTTAGTTTAATCAATTCTTTTGTAAAAAGCCTCTAACTCCTACTATGGGAGGAGTTATGTTTTAACCATCTTGCTCCCAGTATTTTTCAACTATGTAAGAGAAAAATTAAAAGGTTCAACAAAGTAAAAATTTAATTTTATAATAAAGACATAAAAAAAATGGATGTAGTCGAGTCTTTCAAATATATGACTTTTCAAAGGATAGAACTTCTCAGCAAAAAAAGGTGGTTACTGTGCTTTGAAACTTATCAATGAAACAATACAATGGAGTAGCAAAATAAGAAATCTATAAACTCCCCTAAAAATCTTCCGATTTGGTTGAATTTTGTTGTTTTAAATTCACAGCTAAAGAGGGGATAAATATTGAAAGAATCTTAAACTTTGAGGGTTTCATACATAGGAGTCTACATGGGCAATCTTATAGTTCTATTTTTTTCTGAACTATTTCAGTTTCTGATATCCACTCGTTCTTACAGACTTACAGATACAAATACTCTAGAATTACTTTTTTTTTACGAGTTCCTTCATAGGCTGAAAGTCAAAATTAAGCACACAAGCAAAAACTAAGGTAACATTCTTCTTCAATATATTTGGGCGCATTTATTTTATACGTACATATATTAATTAAATATTATTCTACACACAATAACTTGATTTATCAATGACATTTTGTCCAATAACATCTGTTCTACGGCCATTGAACATTTTATTTATACAAGGGTTGAGACACAAAAATGTACATAAGCAAATCGGTATTCAATATGTGTGTGCATGCAAGGACCTGGATATCCTTGAATTTTTTTACCACACCATATGCCAAGCGAAAATCAAGAAAGTAATGTAACTATACATATTAACTATGTAATTTAATGCAAAGGTGTATTCTTTAAAACCGCAATGAAGCATTTTAATTTTTTGTAGAATATTTAAGTAGCGGATATATTATTGTTGAAGTTATTATTACGGATACAGTGTGAGTCTTAGCTTTATGTTAATTGCACTAATTATTTTGTGGGTTAAACTCTTGTGATCCATTAGGCTAGATTATTTGGTTGGTGGAAATGCTTGAAATGTTGGTTTATCCAAGGAGTTTGGTTTCGGACATTCTCATTTCACTGGCTGTGCGGGAATTTACTTCCTAAAGCAGGAGATGGGATTGAAGTAGCACTGCCGGTACCGCACTTGACGTTTGCTCTCCGGCAACCGGTAGAGTTCATTCATGTTGCCGTAGGTTGGGGTCCTCAAGTAGGCGCTGTAGCTGTAGAATGTATGGGAATTGACATTAATCATTCCCATTCATCATCCCAAATACCTACGTGGGTCTGTACTGGGCAAAGAGCATCTGGAGCCGGTCCATGGGTATGTTCGGGTAGATGGCCTGTGCGGACATGTCGTAGCCTCCTCCATAGGCACCTCGCACGTCCTCTGCCTCCTGTCCGTCCAGGCCGTCAGATTCCTTTAAATACTAAGACTTTAGTGTGGGCTCCTGTTTAATTAAAAAACTACTTACTGGTCCTGATTCGCCTGTTGAGGGTCGTGCGTCGGTAACGGCAAAGAGCAGAGCCACCAGCAGGCCGTAGCACAATATGATTTGCACGAATTTCATCATGTTTAAGATCTGTAAGGAAAAAAATTAAAACTAAATATTAAATATAAATAAAAACATAAACCTTATAAAAAGAACTTCTAATTCCAAACAAATGTCAAAAACTACAGTTCCCCTTTTAATGAAGAATTTTTTTTGCATGACGTTGACAGGACTGCTGGCAAGGTCCTTTGTCAAAGGAAGATGGAAAAGAGCACTTGTTGCCACAAACGTGACCAGCATTCCGGCCTCAGACTCTTGGTTTTCACCTTAGCCAAGCTTAAGTGCATTTCCGCAATTAAAAGCGGATATAGTCCTGCAACTCAGTGGTTGCAACATCCATCCTACAATGCCATTATGCAACGTGTGGCCGCCGCACAATGGCAACGGGATACATGTATGGCTTTGAACGTTGCTAGACAAAGTTTAATTGATTTCATCTGAAGCTGACAAATAACCTCACCCAGTGACGGACATCAAAGTTTTATATTCCCTTCGGAAATCTCTTGATACTTTTTGAATTTAAAAAGATTAGGGATTCAAGTGCGTTGTGAAATAAAGAGAGCTTTCTGTGTAAGAGGGTGTACCCTGGATGTAATTTATCACATCAGTAACCTTCTGGAAAAATATTATTACTAAGCAATTAATTTATGAAACTAACGTAAATATCAACAATCTATATGCTGCATATATCAAAGTGAAAACATATTTATTCTATCACTTCAGGAGCATATCCTTGACCAATTAGAATCATAATTACTATACCATTACAATTATGACATCATGGGCAACTGAAGTGGGTGTGAAATCAAAAGAAAAACCACTCACCCACAAGGCATGAATAAATGAACAAGAGCTAGGCAGTGGCGGTAGGAACATAAATCCCCTGGATATATTCGTTGAGCCAGGGAAATGAGATCATCAAATGACTTTCAGTGCCACCGGGATGCAACAGGTAGACGGGCGGGGATGCGGAATGTTTGGGAGGAGGTTAGCATAAGCCCCAATAATGTGGGGCGTAAATGTTAATGACTTGTCTCATCTGGTTGCTCAGCTCATAAAATCAGGCTCCTTGTTAGCACGGGGATAAGCATTACACTCTTAAATGTAAAGCAGTTTCTTAAAAATGATCCTAAGCTGACAGTGCTTTAAAATGCAATCATTTATAGAATGTATGTTTTTGATATTTTTATGTCATAAGGCAGGTATGCAGATGTTAGTATTTCAAAAAGCAAAACTGCAGGAAAAACTGTTTAAACACTTTCAAAGTTAATGCGAGCAGAGATAGTGTCTGGTGGTGCCGTCGAGCCACCCTTCAACCCTATGAGCTCATAAAATATTTGATAGATTAAGCTCTTGTTGGGGTGATAAATAAAAACTAATGACTAGGAGGTAAATTTTTACCATCCCCCGCGTAAATTTCAGCTAGCTGGCTTGCTAGATCAAATGGAATAATAAAGGCCAAGCCAGACAGAGTTTCCCGCCGGAACCTAAAGCCCAAACATAATCAGGACATTTTTATTGCCTCCGATAAATAATGCTCAAATGTTAATTGGAAATTTAATCTCGTCGCCAGAGCGCTAAAGTAACCAGTAGCTGAAACAAAAAATCCTCGTTAAAAAAAAGGAAAGGGTTAAATATTTACATGGATTTTTAGTCGCACAGTTTGCCTAATAATACTCCTGATATCGCCCACAAGCAGCTTATTTTTAATTTAAATTTCCACTAAATGGTTTGTAATTGTAAAATTCGCTTTAAAATTAGCCAAAAAGCTCAATTAGCTTCATGAGAATCTGGCCCACGCACCGTTTAAGTGCCCTTGACAGGAGCGGAAAGGATGATTTGGGCTTGGCGTGTCCTTGGCCATGTGATTTATCTGGTCATATGATATTTTCGTGGCGGCAATTTAAGACGGCGTCAATCAGCGGCCAAAATCAGGAAACTTCAGACATCTTCAAATACATATAAGTGTGCTTTCCCATTTCGCTCCTTCTGGCGCAAAGTATCGAGCACTTGAAGTTGTATTGGGTTTCGGAAGGTTTTCTTTGCGGTTTTGCTCTGATTGGTGGAAAATGTATATCAAAGAGCCAAACGGAAGAGTTATTAATTTAATTAATGTTAGCAGAAGCCACGTAAATTCTTTCACTCATTTTTGATCTCCTAATTATGCAAAATATTTTTAAACTGTCGGGTAGGCCAATTCAACTTATTTTCGTAGCATTTTACTCAGTCTTCTATTTTTAAACTACTTAAATATTAAAATTGTTTTTTTTTAACGGTAACTTTTCTAAAACAAACAAGATGCTACCTCCATCCCAGAGTCCCAAATTTTAGCTTAATATTATACGCTTGATTGATGCCCTTAAACCATACAGCCAAGGCGAATTCCTATAAATATTAAATGCAATTTGATTGCGGTTTCCGGGGGAGTCAAGTTATTTATTATCAGTTACTCGAATTCAAATTGAAGCCTAAATCAAATGTTTTGGACAGAGAACAAATGAAGTGAAACTTCTGTTGGGGGACCTGATTTTTCGCCTCCACCAAATAAATAATTCACAAAATTTTAAATGAGTCTAAAGGTTGCATATTGTATAAGGGATGTGTAGGCTTTATTAGGTGAATCTTTGGTGAACCATAGAGGGCCACAGAATCTCAAGAATTTATTTAATTATCGGGAGGATTTTTTAAGACAACGATTTAATATCTTAGATATTAGATATATGTATACCTACTATACCTGCTCTATAGGCTATCTCTTGGCACTAACTCGGGTGACTATAATTTACCTGTGCCACAATTTCCGCATCCACAAATTAATTTCGGCAGAATCACAAATACTCATTTCAATTTATGGCTAAACACACAGAAATCCAATACTCACCGATACTCTCGGACTAAATTGTGACTTTGGGAAATGTCGGTAATTAAATGGGCGTCGCGGAAATGGGCAAACTTGGCGCCAGGCTTTCGGAACAAATGTTTTTTCAACCTTAAGGCGTTTCTTAATAATTTTTCGAACGGTTTCGAACTCCTTTCTCTGTGTTAGCGAAACAAACAGAAACGTACTTTGTTACTGAACTGATCCTTTGTGGGGTCGTGGGGTCACTTGTTGCTTTTTCTCTCCGCTCGATGTGAACGCCAAGAAGGGAAATTGGTAACTCGATGTTTGCAGTGCCCGCTACTGGGCTTTATATACAAAATAGGAAACAGCACCAATGGCAGCGACGCCGGCAGCGGCTGAGGCAGACGCAGAAGCATCAGGAGCAGCAGCAGGAAGAACGGGCAGCCAGGAAAAATAGGGATGTGATGTGGGTTGGGGAGCTCGATTCGAAGGTGGGGCGCCTGCTTAGGCAAAGCTTAATGCCTCATGTCAAGCGACACTGCAACAAGCACGAGCAACACTTGCTTATGATACCTGGCACTCGACCCAGGGAATTTTGGTGGTGAATATGCGTTTGTCAAAGTAACCCACTTTTATTCAAAAATGAATTTTTGATTATAAATAGTCGCAAAACATCGTCTAGAACATTTTAATTTTAAGTATGAATTAAAACTGTTGATAAATTAAATTTAAGTTAAGATTTATGTGTAATACACACCACTTACATATGTATATAGGCATATATATACAAAAATACCCTACATTACACATCCTAGAGCATCTCTAATTCGAGAGTCCTCCCAAAACTCCTGTATTCCCAATTGTTGCTGATGTTTCGGCTTGTACAACGGGGCGTATGAAGAATGTGCCCACTTATTAATTCACCACACGGACGTGACGAACCATTATACCACCTACAGTGTACAGTGAAATCGCATACCCACCATCCCTCTCTACCATTTACTGTGCGTGGTGAGTAGCAGCGAATAACGGCACCTGTTGCCGATTATCTCTTGAGCGGACCAAACCTGTTGCATACTTACGAGCGGTACGCGAACGATAGTGTATTAATGTTATATATTGTAGTATCTATGACGTGAAGATTACGCAAAACTAACCGAAATGCACTCGGACAGTGAGCTCAGCGAGTGGCTTTACATTCGCCATTGATTTACGACCAATTGATAAAGAAATTGCGCCATTTGTAGAGTCGAGATTATGGCAGGAGTTCGATATAAAAATAGATTTAAATACCCGGAAATGGAATATGTATGATAGAATGTATCATTAGAATTAAGATTTAGTGACATTTTTGAATAGCAATATGAAATGCTTGAAATTAATTGAAACGGTATTGGCCAAGTTTCTTAAATGTTCTTGGTGGAGACTTTTCTTCGCGTATGTCAATGCCACCAATTAACGTTAGCAATTTGATGTACATAAAAGACTATTAATAGGTGATCCAACAGGCTCATTATTGGCCGCTAAAGCTAATAAAACTTTGCCATTTCACTTGACAACCAAGGTGGCCAAGCCATAAACGTGCGTTGCACACTTAAAACGATCTCCAGCTTAGCTCAACAGTTCATTATTATGGAAAGACAGGTGACCCAATGGTAATATTATGCATTGACTTTTAGTTGGCTACTGGAAGGAATAGTTGGTCCAGGAGTTCAGGCAGATTTGCATAGAACGGGTAAAAGTCGCTCGAAACTCCTGAAAAATAATCTTCAATTTGCAATTTAAAAGGGCTATTTATTTATATCAAGCCAAATTTGGAAAAATGTCTTACAACCATAAGGATATTACATATAAAGTTTAGAAAGTATAAACGTTCTAGCAGAGGCCCCTAAGCCCACTCATTTATTGATATCAATTACTATTTTTATGCACATAATTTACACACCTACATACGTAACAAATGATGTTGGTAAAATATAACCTTTCGATCGATATATATTATATTATTTACATACATAAATTGAACGAAATAACTATATAATTATGCGGCTGTAAATACACAGAAGTGCTATCTCTATGTTTCCCTAATGATATTACCAACTCATTGAAACATGCCATAAGTTACTTAAAATCGTAGATACAATATATATTAATATGAATCATTAAAAAGTCTATTTTTGGAGTCACAATTATAGTTAAAGGTAAAATTCCACCTCCATTACATCTACCATATAGACACGCGCTGAGGGCATGTAGTGGGCTGGTCGAGAACCAATTTTTATGGCTATGTCAATCAGAATAAAGCAGGACTGGGATTAATGGGCTTCTGTTTGGTGCGAAATTAGCCGCGAATATCTAAAATATTGGACACTCCTCGGCACGTATGTATACGTGAATAAATTAATAAATTTATGAATGCCGTTGGATTTATCGTTTGTGTTTTATTTATAACGCAAGTTCACAGTGAGTTACAAATGCACAGATACAGTTGCTACAGATAGAGTTACAAATACAAATACAGATACTAGATACAGATACGACTACAGATAACAGAATTTGGGAGATTTCAGTTAATTGCGCGAACAACTCTCACAGCAGCCACCAATGAAAAACAAAACCGTTTTGGAACAAATACTTTTGAAGATGGGTTGGGATGCCATTTTTTTAAACCAACTCCAGGCGCGAAAAGTGTTTTTTTTGTCTTTCAAAAGCAGCTGACGGCATTGAAATAGCAACGCCAGTACATACGACCACCGCCGGGTCCGGAAGGATGGAGGCGCCGTGGACCAGCTGGGGAGCCGGATAAGCTGGACGTTCCAGATCGATCTTCTCCGGCCAATTCCGCACCGGCTCTTCTCTGAAAGCTCTTTGCCATTAACTGAAATTTTCTTACACATCGCGCTGCTAATTTTATGTCTTATATTGCAATTCAGGTTTTATATTCCAACTTACTGTTTCGCCGGTGGCGCGATTGATCTGGTTAACGTCTTTGAAATCGTAATCCAACAATACGCTGGGATCATCCTCTGTGTACATTCCTGGAATGGAAATTTATGAATGGTTCGAATTCCTTTTACCCCCAATAGTTATTAATCACCATCCTCCCCGGCTGGCTGTTGTGCTAATCCGTTCTGTGGTTCTCCAAATTTCTCGTTGAGATTGCTCTTGTCCGCGTAGAAGTCACCGATTCGGTGACCGGCTCGTTCCTGTTCTAGAGCGTGATGCAAGGCCACCATTAAACGGTCCAACAGCAAGGCAGCTCTTTTCGGCACAACCATCTGGAAGAACAAAATTTCCTTTCGCACTTTAATACTTAAACCATTAAGTAAACAAAATTAAACAGTATAAAATATTCAATTATATAAAAATGCATTTCTTCTACGAGGGTTACATCGTTATGGTATTACCGAAATTTAATATTTCCCAGACCTCTACTTCAATTGGTGACGGCCCACACATCAAACGGATTCCATAGAGTTTTAAGAATTTGTCAAGTCCGTCTAACGAAGCCCCGGTCTACGGTCAGCACCAACCCTCATTAGTCTGACCACTAATATCCTAGCACCTGGCAGAATCAAAGTGCTGTGACGTAAGCTTTTCAGTTTCCGAGGGGAACACTCGACTTGTCTTTGGGCCAAAAGTCCAAAAAGCAATCAAATGCAAAATATACAATTACAAATTGTGTGTAAGGTGATAGGGATGCCCAACGACGACCCACGCGTACATTTTAATTTTTTTTCGGGGGTTTGTTGTTTTTTAGGTTTTATGTGTTTAGTTTTAGCTCCTACCGGATACTCATCGTAGCTGAGGCCACTGTCGTCGGCCGGAGCGCTGAAAATCTCCTCCGGCTGGCTGGGTGCCGACCTTTCCGCCGCACGTTTGTGCTCCTTCGCTTGGGGCAATGTCACCTCATGGGGAGCTCTACCACCGACAGTGGTCGAGAGTGGCTTGTCCTTGGAGCGCTCGTCGCTCGGATGTCTCATCAATTCCCGGCACATATGAGGCTCAAAGCTCTGGATGACGATGAGAAGGACTAATAGAAGGGCGGGCAGGTGATAGGTTCCTTTGGTGGGGGAAATCGAAGGTTTTCGGGTCCTCCATCTGGCGGGATCTCGCCCCCTCAGCCTGACACTATGCAATGGTCTATGGCCAGGTTGGTGCATTCTACGGTGGCTACTCCTGGACTCTGATGACGGAAAATAATTATGGTCTAGCTCTGCCGCGTTCGAGACTTTTCAAAAATTCAACTGAAGCGGTTTCTTTATGCGTCCGATGCTTTTATAGCAGGACATATCCCAGGTTCCTTTTTTACAGTAATGAAGCATTATAAATGCTTGTTAAGCGGTAAAGGAAGCTGCTGCTGGTCCAACAGAGAAATGCTTTTTTCATACTCTGACTTACGATTTATGCCCCCACTTGGCGTTCTCGTTGTAATTATCGGACATCGAAAATCATGTCCAGCCTGCAGCCAAGTTATTAAGCCGTACATGGGTGATATACTACCACATAAGTACTTACATACGAACTTGCCACATTTCGCCAGATGGGTGTGGGCGAGGATGTGGGGGAATTGCAGCCTGTTGCGCTTTTTGGTTGGTCCATCTAATGAGCGAAATGTCAGAGTCCTTTGGCAGGATTTCACTCGACTTGTTGCTTGTTAAGACTGAAAAATTCGAAGGAGGCGTACACACAGTCCTTATTAAAAATGCGGAATGAATGTGCAGGTCCAAAAGCCTTAAGGACATTTTTGAGTGAAGTGAGATGTTTATGTAAGATATAAATAGTTTCGTTCAAGGTAAAAGCTTAACAGCTTAAACAATATAATTTTTAGTAGTTGTTAGTTGAAATTAAACGATTTTGACCTTTTCAGAAATCGACGCTTACCACAAATATTTCATTAAATAAGTCGTATTTTATAATTGAAAGTAAAATTGTATCAGTAGATATTTAATATTTCAGAAAAATTACTTTTTGAAGATTTTTGCTGCCTTGAAGTACTGAAGTAACTTTTGCTGTTTTTATATGAAAAAATTCTTCTGGCGGCTTTAGCTATTTTCTTTTTGGGAGCAGCAGGAGATATTCGAATCGGAGGTCACTGGCCACAAAACATTTCTATGCACAAGGATGCTGTCGATTAATTACCCAGTGTGCGGCCATTGCGACATGCAAATCGTCGTTAAAGCTCGCAAATGCGGCATAAACTAATGGCACAAGTAAAGAGTCACAAAAACCGCAATAAAATTTTGACATTAACAGTCAATTATTTATTTATTTTATTTCATATTATTATAGTAGTAAGCTTATATTAAAATATAAAAAAAAATAAATCAATAATATCAATAAACAATACATAAATAATAAACAAATAATTAATAAATAATATAAACAAGTATTTTATTAAGTTTTTATTTGATTATGCAAAGGTCAAGTTAAAGAATTAGTATTTAAGTTTTCTTAAAGAGGCAATTTTATTTGAGAGAAACACATTTGTCTTCTACTTATATAATTCTATAAAATTAATTAATTAAAAAAAATTAATTATTACCAATCATTTTCTTAAAGTGCAATCAAATATTTACAGCATCCCTGGTCCAGCTGCCACAGGACCTGCGCATGTCCGACTCAATGGCAGTCCCGGAACAACTGTCAAAACACAGAGAGGAACTACGAAAGTATCAAAGAGAGAGAGAGGAAAGCCCAGTTAGCTGGAGCCTTCGCAGCCTCCAATAACAGGATGAATTAGTGTGTGATGGGGAGCCAAGTGAATCGGAAATAAATATTGAAAATTAGGACCACATGATGAACGCTAGGAAACTAATAAGACAAGAGGAATCCACAATTATAGAAAATGTGTAGTAATCCTTAAAAGTAAAAGGATATTGACTGGAGAGAGAAAACTAAGGACAATGCCTTTTGAAATGTGTTGTATCGAAAGGTATTAAAATGTGGCACACAAACAATTAGGGAAAAAGGGAAACCCACCAAACACATCAGAGGGATTCCTACTTTCAGCAAATAGGATGTCAAGGACTTAACGGCCACGGGACCAGAACTGAAGACTAAAAAAGCATCAGCATTTACAAGCATTAACTTATTGAATATGCGTTCCTACTATACATCTAAGGATATGCGAAAATACGGTGACTTGAGCTATGAGTAAGTACTCCGCGAAGGATAGCCACCACTCACTCACCTTTACATCTGGCAGGACTCGGAAAGGGGTGGCCGGAGGGGAAAAGGAGTCCCATTGTGCTCCATCGGTTGTTTGCTTGAAGCGCCCAATCCGAATGCCAACAACGCCCCAATCCCCTTTCAGATCCTTTCCAACCTTCATTTTTTTCGTGTGTTGACTCAAGCAAAATGCAATTCAAAGTGTCAATTGAAAATGTAGTTTTTCTCCACATCCGGATTGATTCGAAAATAAGTTCTTTTCAATAAAGTCAATCGGAATCTAGGCCAAATGGGATTAAAATTATAGAAAGTCTAGAAATAAAGAGAAAAATATTACTTTATTATGATTAGGATGATTGAGATATAACTATTTTGATAAATATCCTCGTATCTAATATTTAACTGCACAATAATTTTTCATATTTAATATGGAATTTTTTATGGAGTATTGTAGGATCCTAAATGAATTCTTGACCCATGAAAGCCACTTGAAGGCGAGTTGGGTGTGCTAACCCGTTACAAGGATTAGAGCGTAGTGGGTAGGAACGGGAAAATTATTCATCTAGGTGGGGGAAAATTAAGGACTTTCGGCTGAGTGGCCACTCTCGACGTCCTTTTGTGGTGTGCTTTTGTTATATTATTTGTCGCCTTCATTAATAGTGGCTAGAAAAAACTTGAAAATACAGTGAACTTAGGATATTATGTCATGGAATACAAAATTAATTTTATTTCGTAATAAAAAGATGAAAAGAAATTTTTTAATTTTAAATCCGGGCTTTTCTAAAAACCTACGATTGATTGGCTAAAAACTTAGGTAAATTGTTGATTATTATTAGTCAACAAATCACAAAAACAGGATGATGAACTTCAAAATTTATTAAATATCAACTGGGTGTATTTCTTTTAGAAATCATAGAAATAAAAAAAGCTAATAAAAACTGTTTGCTTTTTTCAACAGGAGCAAGTACCTTCTGGATCCAAAGTTTATGACCAAGCAGGACCTGCAGCAATACTACTGCTACTACAACATGTCCAAGAGTCGCAGTCAGTTCAAGAAGGTGGTGGTGGTGATCTTTTTCCTCTGCATCTTCTCCTACCTTTGCATGGACTACAACCTGCGGACAAAGTTGCTGCGATTCCGCGATGGCTTCGATTTCATGGCCCGCATCGAGGACCGCTACGGAGGAAACTTAAGTCAGGCGTATTTCATAGATACACCTGGCTGCCGGATGCCGCACTTCGAGGTGGTCGACGACACCATCGCGCAGTTCATGTTCAAGCCACGGCCGTATGAATGCAACAAGGCTCTTCTACGGGCGAGCGACACAGAACCCGGGGTGATGCATCTAAATGTTGACCAAAGTGAACTATGGGCCTTCTTCAACGCGAAAGATATATCTAAGATAAACTGTAACTATACAATCATAACGCGTTATAAAGACTCTAAGAACAACCACACTCTGGTCAAGAACTTCAAGCTGGCGAAAGTCGTACGCGTTCCACCGGACACGGAGTTCCTGTGTCTGCGGTGTTATAGTCAGAACAAAGTCATCTACAAGGACTGTCATTTCTTTGCCCTGGGAAAGGAACCAAAGAAACAGATTTCTCGTGCCAAATCCTTTTCCGAGAGGGAGAACTTAAACCAAAGCAGAGGATCTACTCCTGCCCACGAACGTGTCTCCGTGATGATCCTTGGCTTGGACAGTTTGTCGCACTTAAACTTTAAGCGGCAAATGCGACGCTCTGCAGACTACATTCGTAAGAATATCGCCCACGTTGAAATGTGGGGCTACAACAAGGTAGGAGACAACACCTTTCCCAATATGGTACCCCTGCTGACCGGGTTGGACGACCAAGAGCTTAATCTCTCCTGCTCCCCAAGGTCAAAGCGGGCCTTCGATGGCTGCTCGTTCATTTGGAAACGCTATCAACAACACGGTTACCGCACCATTTTTGCCGAGGATGTTGCCAAGCTTTCTGCTTTCAATTATAATCTATACGGTTTTAAGAAGCAGCCCACGGACTACTATCTACGTCCTATGCTCATGGAAATGGAAGATACGCTGGCCTTTAAAAAAGAGCTTAATATGTACCTCTGTTTGGGCAGCCGGCGAACGCCGGACGTGCTACTGGAGTATATACGGAAGATGGTTCCACTGATGAACCGCAACCTTTTTTTCTCCATGTTTTGGACAGTGGCTATGACTCACGACTTCTTCAACTTCCCCACCCTTCTGGATGAGGCCTTGCTAGATCAGTTAACGCAATTTCAGGAGTCCGGATTACTAAACCGGACCGTGGTGATGCTTCTTTCAGATCATGGACTGAGATGGGGCTCCTTTCGACGCACCTACCAAGGCATGATGGAGGAACGTCAGCCGCTAATGATGGTCTTGTATCCGCCATGGATGAAAAAACTATATCCGGAAGCCATGGCCAATCTGAAGCTCAATGCAAGACGGCTGAGTACTCCTTTTGATGTGCACGCCACCATGTTGGACCTGCTGGATTTGAGGAACCTGGAGGCCGATCAATTGCAGCGTCGAGCAATGGAGATGGAGGACCCAGACAGCCAGCTGCCACGTGGCATCAGTCTGTTCCTGCCACTGCCGATAGAGAGGACATGCGAACAGGCGGGAATCGCCGCCCACTGGTGCACCTGCCACCACCGCCAAGAGCTACAGACCACCGATCCCCGGGTGCAGCGGGCAGCCCGGTATCTGGTCCGGCTAATCAACAATCGGCTGAACCATAAAACGCAATGCCGGACTCTCTACCTGAATGCCATACTCCAGGCCCTGATAGCGGCACCACACTCTAAGATCGTTAAGAACATCTCCACGGACTATGCGGTGGACATTACCCTGCGCCTGCAGACAAAACCAGGCCTGGGTGTCTTTGAGTCGACTGTCCGAATGACTGGATATTCAACTGTGCTCACTGGCACCATCAGCCGGTTAAATTTGTACGGAAGCCAGAGCTACTGCCTTAACGATCCGGCCCTCAAAATGTTTTGTTATTGTCACAGATAAGGTAGCCATCGCGTATGAGGGCCCTTCCACCGAGGGAATTGTGGATAAATCGGTCAAAGACTTAAGATTCGTAGCCTTAATTTCTATGAAATAACTACACGTAAAATAAAAGTGAATTTTATCTTCCCAGACTTATGCACCGGCGTAGAATCCTTTGAATAGCTCAAATACTAGTTAATATAATTATAACTAATTTAGAAGACAATAAACATATAAAACTAATAATCCAACTTTATATAAAACAGCAAAGGAAGAATATTGTAAGTTTTATATAATAGATGTTGTGTGTTAAAGAAAGTTAATGATTCGTGGTTAATTTATTCTAAATGGGGTCTTCTTTCCATCCCGGATAGATAATTAAAAAAGTTTGGCGACGTAAATTTATGGTAGAGGGATACTTAAGTGGGAACAAGTAAACCACCGAAATCCTTTTCAAGGAGCAGCTATTTCCAGAGCTAGTAACGCCAAAGAATCTGGGCTGCGGATCCAGTCAATTATGGTCAATTCTAAAATAAGAGCTGGCAACTATCGTCATCCCATACTTTTAGTAAACTATTTAATTGTATATAATGCTAACGTATGTGAATAAAAATAAAATAAACTTACAGCGCTAATAACAACCAATTTTTATTATTTGCATCCAGTGGCGGATTTAGGAAAAAGGCCCAGTGGGCAAAATTTTTTCAGGGTACATTGAAGGGTATTTTTAAGGGTACAGCCCAGAAAATTTGACAAAAAATCTTAAAAATATTTTGTTCCCAGATTTTGATGCAGATTTATGGAGAATCGATCCACAAATCGTTTAAGGTATTCCGCTCAAGAATCGGATGAATATTTCCTAAGATATGGGCTACGCAGTGGATCTTATGGGGCTCCCCATGCATTTTGCACATTTTGAAGGGGACAGCCCAGAAAATTTGACAAAAAATCTTAAAAATATTTTGTTCCCAGATTTTGATGCAGATTTATGAAGAATCGATCCACAAATCGTTTAAAGTATTCCGCTCAAGAATCGGATGAATATTTCCTAAGATATGGCCTACGCAGAGCCCAGAAAATTTGACAAAAAATCTTAAAAATATTTTGTTCCCAGATTTTGATGCAAATTTATGGAAAATCGATCCACAAATCGTTTAAGGTATTCCGTTCAAGAATCGGATGAATATTTCCTAAGATATGGCCTTCGCAGTGGGTCATATGGGGCTCCCCATGCATTCTGCACATTTTGAAGGGGACAGCCCAGAAAATTTGACAAAAAATCTTAAAAATATTTTGTTCCCAGATTTTGATGCAGACTTGTGGAAAAGAAATCGAAGGTGTAACTTTCAGCATGAGGGGCCCTGAAAGCCTTTCGTCGGGGGGGCCCAGTGGGCAAGCGCGCCTTTGCCCACCTGTTAAATCCGCCACTGTTTGCATCAAATGGAAAATATATCTACACATATTCATTGCTCGAAAATATGACTAACCAACCAATCCTCAATAAAAAAATCATGACATTTTTTTAAGCTTTTCATTCTGTTAGTAGTAAAAAATAAAAAGTAACCAATAATAAAATTAAGAAGTAAATATTAAATCTTTAAAAACAAAATTGTTCGTAATTGTATTGCCTTAATATTTAAAAAATACAAGTTTTGAATGAAGCGCCACTTACACAGAAAATGATCAAAAGCTTATCGATGCATCGAAATTGGTGTGGCCAAGAATTTCATTTACCTAGGGTGGTTTGAATACCTGGCCACCCTAAAACTATTAAACCTTTAAAGTTTTCTGTTTTTTAACACTCTTTATTTGACATACTGTTTTGCAACACTGGCACATTTGTTTTTAGTTTTTATTAACATGCAAATTTCTTATCAGTTTGTTTTTGGTTTCACCATTTTTCTATGCAGAAATTTGTTTAATTGATTGATTATTGTGAAAAAGCACAGCTGAAAGGTAGAATGCCGCCCACAGAGACTCTGAGGCCTGGGGAACGTGGGGGATCGTCCGCTGGCGGATCAGGAGCCGCAATCAGTGGCGGCCCTGAACATACATATATTATTAGACAGAGCAACAAAAGTTATGAGCACCGGGACTCCCAGGCCACTGCCATGTCGGTGGATTATTCTGGTCAGTGGGTGCTGTTGGCGGGACGAGGCCACTTAGCCTTGCAGCGACTGGGCCAGGACGACGGTACATTACGCCGCCACGAGCGCCAGTCCAAGTACGAGGTCTCAGTGGCCGAATTTGCCATATGTCCAAGTCGCAAAGAGTACTGCGCAATAGCGGTTTGTATTTGGTATGTTTTAAATAAACAGTATAAACATAAACCTTTACCTTTTTAGACGAGCCAGCACATAGACATCGTACGCTGGGGTACATCAGAGCCTTTCTATGAAAACTCCCTTCGTGGGCATACACGCACTGTGACCGACATCGATTGGCACGGAAAGGATCCTAACCTGCTGGTCAGCTGTTCCATTGATACATTCTCTCACATCTGGGATCTTAGGGAGCCGAGGAAGCCCGCCTTGTCTTTGAATGCCGTCTGCATGTGTAATTTAGTCTACAATTTCTTTATAAAAATTTTGCAGTCTAACGTCCTGTATATATATTTCTAGCGGGTGCCACCCAAGTGGGCTTTAATCGCGTGTCCGGACATCTTTTGGCAGCGGCTCATGATGGCGATCTGCGAATCTGGGATATTCGCAAAGGTAGCTGCCCCACGCACTATATCACGGCGCATTTGAACAGAGTTCACGGCATCAATTGGAGTCACAAAAGAGAGACCTGCTTAGCCACCGCCAGCCAAGACGGAACAGTCAAGTACTTTGATGTATGCAATCCTCGTCGAGCCGAGAAAATAATCACTACCATGTCACCTGTTTGGAGGGCGCGATATACAGTAAATTACATACCAACTCTGACTTAAGTTTCTATTTTATTTTTTAAAACAAATTATTTTCTTCTATAGCCCATAGGAAATGGCCTGGTGAGCATTGTTGTACCCCATTTAGGCCGCGGGGAGAATAGCCTTTTGTTATGGAGTAATAGCAAGCAAACAGATCCTATATGCTCCTTTGTTGGACACACTGATGTCATCCTCGACTTTGCCTGGCGCCCCAATCGCGAGACAACTACAGAAATTGTGAGTATCACGGAACAAAATATTTCCATCCCCATATATGTAACAATTTCTTTGTTAGGAACTGGTCACCTGGTCCAGAGATCGCACACTTCGAGTTTGGAAAATAGATGACAATATGCTGAATCTTTGCGAACCGTCTGCTGAGGAGGAAGAACCTCGATTCGAGCCAGACTTGAGTGAGTTGCGGGCACCCACACCGCCAGAATTTCTGCATCCGCGTTCCACGATGACAGCTGCCTCGCTTCCCATCTCTACTGGCGATGGAGCATCCAACACCCTTCCAATGGCTCGCTCGCCAAGTTTCGGTTACTATCGTCGCGAAGAGCCACACATAGCCAGATCTTTGACAGATCAACCAACTTGTTCCCTGCACCACGAGTTCTCGCTGCTGAACACTAACATGCCGCATGTGGAGGTGGACATGCTGGATGCCATCAAGCGATATGCCTGCTTTAAGATATCCGCCGGTGGTCACACGGTTATACTGCAAGTTACCTTTGCAACCTCGTATCCCAGTCCTAGTGCACCACCCGAATTTCAGCTCTGCCAGGGGACTACGCTATCCAGTGATGTGAGCGGAATTTTGTTGAAAGTGCTCCGCTGCAATGCCCTGCAGCGCGTGAAGAAGTCACGCACCTGCTTAGAGCAGTGCCTGCGAGCCCTAGTGGCAGCCATGAAAAAAAAAATAGCGGCTGTCGCAGGTGAAGGTGGGGCGGATCGCAGCCAGCTTCTTTTGCAGTCTCCTCGTTTGGAAGGAGCACTCTCTAGTGCACTTCACGATGCCTGCATTCCTTATCCGCGCACCTCAGGCGTGCACTTCAACGCGATTGGTCTGCTGACCACCTTCTCCCAGCCGGTAAACAAGCGGCTCACCCTCAGGCAACACTCGGCCCTAGCCCCAAGGACTCTTTCCTCAATCAATGGGAGCTGCTTGTTGGGTAATGTTATGGCAACAGCCCAACGTGATGCGAATGCCTCTTTTTACCTCCAGGAACGGATGATAGCTGGAAAACCAGGCAAGCAGCGTGCCATTCGGCAAATGAACGGCTCTCCAGTTGTCCATGTGTACGATGCCAGCAGCCTCTTGCACATTAATAGATCCATGGCCAGGGAGTTCTCAATCGATAAGCTCGACATTGCGAAAACCTGCCGTAGGAACGGCGAGGTATGTCGCAATCACGGGCGGACTGACTTGGTACCCGTTTGGCTCCTGGCTGAGCTTATAGCAACGCCTCAAGTTCAGCATGATCCTTTTAAAAAGTCCCTTCTAGAGTCGCTGATCATGCACTATGCCATTTCTGGAGACATCCAAACAGCTGTGCTGCTGGCATGCTTATTCGACAAGTGTCCTGCGTCCGGAGGTAGCACAATGGATATAGTTGGAAGGTTGCCGTTACAGCTGAACTCTCAAATTTCTCCGTACCACACCGTGCTTCCGCTGGAAGTGAAGTCCTCATCCTCGCACAACACGTGGCAGCAACTAAAACAACTCCGTAGCAATTCATGGTCGGACTCTTTAGATCTGGAAGTCAGACATCTACAGTCTGATGGCTATACTTGTTCTTTGATTAGACGCGCAAAGGTCCCTCTCTTCGATCAGTTTAAGCGGGCGTACGCTGAGATCCTCTTCGGCTGGCAGCTGCTCTCGAAGCGGGCCCTCATCCTCAAGCACACCCAGAACCCTCCGCCAACTGTACAGGGAGTGGAGTTCGTCACCGAGTGCGGTTCGTGCGCCAAGCCAAAAAGGACACCGAAATGTGAGCCGTGTAAGCGACCCGTCCTATTCTGCGTGCTCTGTCGCCTTCCCGTTCGAGGAGCAGCCAACGCCTGTCTAGCCTGCGGACACGGCGGCCACATTGATCATATGATGCAGTGGTTCGAAGTGAGTTTTATAAAAATTCCTAAACAAAAATATGTGTATTGAGCATTTGAATTAATTTACAGAATCACAAGGTGTGTGCCACGTGCGGATGTAGTTGCTTGGAACGCACCTCGAGTCTCCTTGCCCTTCTGAGCTGATGGCTTCTCTTGTTTTTTTATTATAAAGACAAGAGTTATCTTCAGACTATATGCGGAAGGTTTTTTACGTTGTAAGAACAGAAAAGTGATTGAAAAATAGCTCTTAAAATATGACCAACAATAGTTACTAGTTGTATGTTTTTTAAATACATTTATATATATTCGTTTTATTTTCAGTTTCTCTTTACTTATTCCGTAGTCTTAACATATACGTTTAACTTGTAGTTTCTGCTTTTGCGATCATGTATTTTATCGAAAGTTTTTCTTGTTAGAAATGAGTTTATAAAATAGTTCTACATCTCTGACTTGTAAGGTTTTTATGTTTTTTTAGTAAACGTCAATTTTTTAAAAAAATCAAAAGTATCAAATTAACTAGGCAGCAAAGACTGGCAGAAACGAAATTAAATTATAAAAGATATTGCATTTTGGGAAAATAAGAAGCTAATACAATTTCAATATCGCGACATAAACATAATAAATGAGGCCTTGATTTAAACAACACGCACACATCACAAGTAAATAAAAAAAAATTAAAAGCATAGATAAAACTTCATTCCTTAAAGCGCAGAGCTTGGCCGAGTGCTTTCGAGAAGGGATAACCTGCATTTTGGGCTTAACTACAAGCGTGTATGTGTATGTGAGGGGCGTGGTCCGTGATTAACTATCGTAGATAGGGATCGAGGAAGCTAGGAGTACCAGACGTTGGACAGGCTGGATCGCTCTTGATATCATTTGAGCTGTTCGCGATAGCCCATGATAGCCTTCATCAGGAGACGCACGTTGCTGAACTGCGAGTTTTTGGGGCAGTTCTTGATAAACAGCTGACAGTTGCGGTACAGCTCGGAGAGAACTTTCGGTGCGTGTTCCCGGGTGATCGGATCAGCCATGTTAATGGCCAAAAGTGCCTCATTGAGATACCTGAAACCAAAATATTTATAATTGTACAAATTTCAGGAAAGTATAATAACCCACTTTTGTTTAAGCTCGTTGTGATTGCTCATATCTGCGGAGATTTGCTGGATGAGCGAGAGAAGCACCTTTTGCTCCAGCCTGCATCCTTCGGGAGCGAAGGCCTGGTTGCTATCTGTGTGTCGTAGTGTAAACTCCACTAGGGTGAGGTCGTTGGCCAGCAGAGCCTGGTGAAAGGCCTTGTTGATCTGTCCGGCTAGTAGGAGCTGCTTAATGCTATCTCTTAGATCGTAGGTGGGCGCCGGTGTGGCTGCCTGCGAGCGCATAGCCATGTTCTGGGTCTCCATGTGCTTGCGCAGTTCGGCCCGAATAGTTTCTTGGACCTGACGGGCCAGCAATATCTCCAGGCTCTTCACTTCGCGCTGGGTCTCCAGCATGGCATCCGTGAGTTCAGTGCGGTGCTTGTGCAGGCTGGTTTCTACCAACTGCTTAAGCATTCCAAGCTTGTTGTTCAACTCTTCGGAATTGGCACCCACCGCATGCGGCTGAGGCATGTGCTGCAGGTAGTTATTAAACTGGACCATGACTGAAGACAAATGAAATGGGATCTTACAACTTTTAGAGCTTTACAATAATGTTATTAATCCTTACAGTCTTTAATTCCTACACTGAAGGCATCATGCAGCTGCTTGAACATGTTTTGGGAAGATTTCTCGTAGGCGGGAATTAATGTGCTGCTCATGGACTCGATAAAAGCAGTCTGTAGACTAGCCTGAACGCCAATCAGCACGGACTTACCAAAAGCATCCAGGAATGTCTTTGAATAAAAAAAAGGATAACATTACAATGCTTTAGTTATCAAAGTTAAGTTACCTTGCTCTTGCACACTTGTGCAATATTTTCCTTGACCGTCTTATCGAACACACTCAACTTTTGCACAATTTCCACCTGCATTTGGGCCTGAAGTTGATCCATTTTCGCATTTACGCGGGGAACTATCTGCCGCTGCAGTTCCATGTTCAGGACGTTTCCAACTATCTCTGGGAAGTGGTTCATTACATACTGATTGAGCATTTGGAGAACGGAATCTCGCAGATCCCGATTCTGAATTTCTCTGGAGTAGAATGATTGGGGATATAAATGGGTTATGTACAAAAGCAAATATATAAAATGTAATCTCACCGTGCAGCTAAGAACTCGTTCAACTTTTTTTTGTGTTCGTTTTCGTATCTCTTGAGGTACTGTTCCATCAATTTGGACAACTGCATTTCGATTTTGTAGGCCAGCTGGTTGACATTTTTGGGTTCCAGGGACGCGTCTGGCTTTGTAGGCTGCACCATCAAAATTTGTTGCTGCTGTTGCTGCAAGTTGGTAACCTCCTTCTCCAGCTTGTTTATTTGCTTAGATTGCGCCTTTACTAGATCTGTTGTACAACTCATAAAGACATGGTTTCACCAATGTATCGCAGCTAAAACTCACCTATCAACTGGTCGATCTTTGAATTTAGTTCCCCGTTGCCATTGGAACCTTCGCACGCTCCACTGATTGCAGTATTGTCGCTGCTGCTGTTACTAGTATTGAGAGTTGAGGCCGTGTTGTTGTTGGTGCTATTACCAACAACGGCATTGCTATTGCTGTTGGCACTGTTGATGTTCCCTCCACCCAAGGTAGGGGGCACATTGCCATTATTGGTATTCTGCACCGCCTGGGACATAATTTGTGCTGCATTTTGTAGTTCGGCGGAGTTTGTAAGCGGCAATTTCACCATCGGCCATGCCCCGTCAACTGCCTCCAAAAGGGGCGATGAGTTGGCCAGCTCCTCATCATCGTCGTCATCATCCTCCAAATTCTCCAGCTCAGCTTCGTAGGAATCGACGTCTTCCTGGGTGGCCATAATCTCCTGAACTTCACGGCTCGGACTAGAACCGCCGCTGGCCAGATTTTCAGCCAAATTGCGTTCCGGATTGCGGTCAATAGCTATGAAGTTTTTGCGTGCTTCTAGTTTCTTCATCTTTTGCTGTTCGCGATCCTCAATCAAAGTATTGTTCATCAGGTTGAGGAGATTCGCATTGGAATTCTCCACAGTTTTTGCAGTCACCGTGGCCAACATACGCAACGTGTTTAGTACCGCGGAATCAATGGATTCCGTCGTTGCGCCTCCAGTTGACGAGCCATCGGCAGCCGCGCTGGTGGTAGAACTGGTAGCCACCACCACAGCTGTTGCTGTAGATGTTCCGCTGGCACTGAAGGCGTCTGGGGTCATTAGATTAACCTAACAAATAAAAATTGGATATGAATATAATTTTTAAATTAAAATATTATTTTCACCTGTGGATAAGCACTTCCGAACTGCGGCGACTCCGACTTCGATGCCTCCTGGTTAATGACTGTCTCTTGGAGAATAGCCGATGGAGCTGCCGCTGCAGCCGCCGCCACTGCCACGACCGCGGAAGAGCTGCCCGTGGAGGTTCGTTTGGCTGACTTCCCAAACAGAGAATCCAGCGCAGTTGCACTGCCTGGAGATTCCGAGTCCTGCTTTATTATCAGACTGTCGTCTGGTGTCTCTGATCGCTTGCTACTGCTCAGGCTGCGTCGCTCCGCATTTTCTGCTACTGCCATACACGGCTGATATATTATCTGGCACTCTTGTAGACTCTTGGCCTGCACCACAAACATGTGCAACACCAATGCATAGGTTGAGTTGTTATCCTCGTCAAAGTCCTCAGGCTCCTCGAATGGATAGTAGCTTTCTATGGAGCTCTTCACCCGGCGCATTGTGGCATTTACAATTGAGAACGAAAGAATTCCCGAACTCAGCTTAAATTCGGCAATGTTATGAATGCGTTTTCCCTCGCCACCTTCTCCATCACTGTCGCCGGAATCAGATCTGCCTGTGCTGCCGATTTGCAACACATAAACAGCCAAACAATCTATACTAGACAGCACCAAATAATTGGCACTGCGGTCGATTCCGGCTATGAAGTAACCGTGTTGCACCGGTGCCGGAATTGAGGCCTCCAAATTTATCGTCTGTTGGCATTCCCACAATGAACAGTTCCACAACTTGATTTCGGTATTGGCATCACTCGTTGTAATCACATGCTGCCAGTAGGCTCTAAAAAAAAAAAAAATTAGTTAGTTAAACATAATGGCACAGCCCCCGAAACTAAACCTGAATGAGCTTATGCAGATCTATTTTTTACAAGAATATGATAGTTTTGAAAGAATTAAATTATAGACTTACTCTTCCACAGGCTTGTTGATGTTATCCAGGAAAAATAGTGAGGAAACCTTCTTGCCATCGTGTGGCTTCCACTCGTGAAGGCAGCGATGATTGCGTACGTCAAACAGATAAATTTGGTAAAATCGAACCAGTCCGTCAGCACACGCAGCAGCCACTGTCGTGCCATCCGGCGACAAAGCGGCACATGTAATAAGCGAGTCCTCCTCGATTTTTAAATACCCAGTTTCTAGGGCAGCCGGTTGAATCTTGCCACGCTTAAACGAAAAGTATAATACTTAACCGACTTTAAAAGCTATAAACCTTGAATGATTACCCCATGCTCGGAAACTATCATTTTCACGTGGAAACACTGGAACTGAGAGCTACGCGACCAGATTAGCAGCTGGTTTTCATCGTCTTCATCGTGAATCGATGCGTTAGAGTTGTTGCTGCAGACATACGGGCACCAAGATACCATATCGTACTCGGGAGTGTAGTTTGCGATGGGGTCCTCAACTTTCAGCACTAGATTGCACAGCAGGTTGCCTTCGATTAGATCGACCTTGTAGACAAAAAGCGAACTGACATCGATTACAGCCAAGATGCGTTCGCGATCTGTATGGGCAAACTGTAGGTCCAGGACCTCGCCACTCATTCCTTTGATCAGTGCTCGCATACTGGTGCTGATATTGCACACACGTACCATTCCCTCCATGCCGGTGGCTTTATTGTTGACTGACAGAAAAACAATATTTATAAAATTGAAACAAAATTGTCCTCTATAAACCTAGTGCGCCTCACCGTTAATAGCGTACGCCAGGTGCTTTCCATCGCGATGGACGGCCACCAAATGACCGGGATAGTAGTACTTGCGCTCCCACTTATAGTCAACGATGTTCTTTAGCTTGACTTTGGAAGATCCGCGTGTGTGGACGCCGCCGGAAGCCAAGACCTTTGTGTGATTGGTCCTTAGAGGGCGACAGACCTGCTTCTCGTGCGCCAAAAAGTTGCTGCACGTATTATTAATTAAAGAGCATTTAAAATAAATATTAAGGTCTAAATAACTTCAAAAAACAATACATACATGATTTCCACATCCGTTGACTCTGCCGAATTGCCATTAGCGGCAATTGGCTCGTTCTGGTCGACGCCAGAACTCATCCTATTGGCTTCTCGAATGGATCGGGCTCTGATAGAAATATCTTCTTTCGTTTTTAGTGCTCTGCCACACCTTGGATATTTGAGGGAGGGCGGAGGCGTCTTACGAAAAATTGGTAAGTGTGCTAGCGCGAATAGCGCGATTAACATTGACACATCGGCCGACTGCGATACGAATGTGGGTATATGTACATTTATTTCACCAGTTCTTTTGCAGGCAGAAGCGCATCTTCAACTCACCTGCCGTATCAAATTTTAGCAGAGCAGAGGATTCGTTGGATTTGTTCTCCTTCAGCGAAACTCCTTCGGCGAAAACTGGCAAAAACTTTGCGAGTTTCGTCGGGCAAGTTAATTGATTCGGAACTTTCTTGGAACTAAATCCTAAATGGAAGTCCTTTCAATAAACTCGTAGATATTCGCAAAAATTTTTGCTCAATGCCGCAAAGCCCTAGAGATGTGTAGCGGCGTATGAAATGGTAATCGATAACGGAAAGCGTCTGATATCGGTTAGCAAGTCTCAACAGGGATGGAAGCTCAATGGTATTTTTTAAAATCAGTAGCTTGTGGAGTGCTGGAAAACGTCCATTGGTTTAAACTAAACTTTTTGCGAAACGAATATCTACAGGGTCCTGGAAATGACCTAAGCATCCAGCATCCCCACCAAAGGTAATCCATCTTTGTTATACATTTTATATATACACATGATTTTATACTAGTTAAAGAGAGAGGATTTTATACTAGTACTATTATAATTTTTGACCTTATAAAGTTCTTATAGGCTTGTATATTCTTGACCAGGATCACCTCCTGAGTTGATATAATGTATGAAATGCATGACCGCCTGCTTCTACGTGAATTAGTCTCTCAGTTGTAAAGTTTTCGACTTTAAACTTTTCACTCATTTATTAATGGGAAACATGGGAAATTTTTTATTCTTATAAGGATTGCCCAACTATATCCGATATCTGCGATGTATATCCGATTTTAACTGCAAGGGTATTTTAGGACTTTTCTATCTTATTTAAAATAACCTTGGGCTTAAATTAAAAAAAATACGGATGTAATCCGCCAGAAAAAAAAACCCTCGAAGGTTATAACCTTTCCAACAAATATCTCATTTTGGAGGGAAAATAATGACACATTTCCTATTGAATTTTTTTCTTTTTTTATTGCATTTTTTTTTAGCTTTTAACATCAACTTAATATATTATTCATTATTTATAGAGATGTATGTCCATCCAAACAACACATATTATTTACGCGTAGCTCTTCACGCAATAATATGATTTTATAGTGTTTCAATATCACTTTATATTTTTCATTACAATTTTTTCTTTTTTTTTTTTGATTTTGTGAAGATCTTTGAAAGTGTTTAACAATTTAAGAAAAACATAGTGGTTTAAGTAAGAGAATAGATAGATACATGCCGGTATACACATCTGATAAATTCGAAGTTGGCACATATATTCATATATATGTTAGTGGTCCGGGTAAATTAAACTTTTCTGCAGTTTCGATCTATTTTAGAGTTTGATTAGATGTACAAATTTTAATAAATTTACATAATATCAATTAGTTTGTGTTTATGAACCGAAAAATAAACATTTCTTTCAATCTTAACCCTATGCCAAGCTTAGAGAAAAAAATGATTAGTTTCAATGATTTTAGAGTTCAGGTTTCTCATTTGTAATACTTAAATAGTTAAGTGCAGTTTCATATCTTTTCAGTTTTTTTCACTTTCGTTATCAATGCCGGAATGAATAGAAGGGTAAATTTTGGAAAGCGAACACAAAAAATGCATAAATAGTAAGGTGGAAAATAAAATACATCGCTGGCAATGCAGGAGATGTTACAGTTGGGAATTGGACCACTTTGTGGCAATTTCATTATACACTAGGTTGAGGATGAGATTGTGAGGCTTTCGAGCAAAAGATCTGTTTGCCATTTACTAGTAACACTTAGAAAAGCACATTTACACATATGTATCTCTAATTATACATATACTATATGTATAATTTATATATATAATTCGATCTGCATAAATATCTATATAGGCGGCATCATTATTGTTCTCGCATAATTGTAATTGTGTCTATTGTGTGATTAAACAGGCCGAAATATTTAATAAGCAACTGAATGCAATGCCAGCGCCAATTAGGGATTTCTAGGAAGGCTCATTTTAAACTCACATTCGCGTATTCAGTTTAATCAGGTTATGCCTTTAAACTCCGCAAGCTTTTTCATATCTTTGTACAGATATTTCGATATCTGAAAAAAAATGCCGCCTTCCCAAATGTGTGCTAAGCTTTTTCGCGGTGCAAAATTTCAATAAGTTGTGATTGCAACGAATAGAAACAACATAAATAATAGATAAACATCATGGGAGAACCGATTCGTTTAGTTGCCTGTGAAGTCTCTTTCGAAAAAAGACATTTTTTAACGATATAAAACATTTTTTACATTACACAAACACGTAAAACTCGCGTTGGAGATGTAGCGACTTTGAAAATGCTTAGATTATAAAAAAATTACTTTAGAAAGAAAGAAAAATATGAACGGAATATTCTGAACTTATAAATTAAATCAAACAACTTTTAGTCAAAGGATTGTTAGATATCTTTCTACGACTTGGAAAAAGCTTCCTAAACAAATCGATTCACTCAAAAACCTCAATACATTTTCAAGGTTCACCAGTCCGGTCCACCAGTCACGTTAGCCGTCACAGGGCCCGAGTTTGTGGAGCTTGTTCGGCCAGGAGTGTCAGAACCTGTCAAGCCTTCCAGCTTAAGGCGCATTTCCTCCTTGCGCGTCTGGACACTTAACAATTCGTCACTCAAGTCGTTGCAGAGATGCAGAAGAGAGTTGTTCTGCTCGCGCAGCTTCTGCAGAAGTTCCGTTGTGCTGCCCTGTCCTTTCGTAAAGGTCACATGTCGAAGGGAGTCACTGATGGCAGTCACTCGCTTCTCAAAGCTCTCGGCACTAGGTAGGACCGTTCCTACTGTAGTGGGAGCCCGCGGTGGCGGCTGCTGGGGCGGTGATTGTGGCTTTCGGTACACCTCAAATGCAGAGACACGCGTTTGCTGCAACGTAATCCTCGTAGGCGGAGCAGCCTGTGGGGGCGGTGCTACTGGAGGTAACGAATGCAACTGCTGTTCGTCCGCCTAAAAATGAACAATCCGAGATTATAAATAACTTAAAATTATAAAATAGATTGGTTTGAACGTAAAACTACTGAATTTGGACATATTGCACTAATGGAACTACGGCCAATTTGCATTTAATGCGTTAAGAGTTGCATTAGAGTTAGTGGTTTGGACTTACGATGCTCGCGGCGCTGCCTTCATCGGCAAAGTGCGTGAAATCGGCAAAACCCGTTGAGGTTTGCATATCGAAGCTGGTCTGCGCAGTAATCTTAACAAAGAGTGGGGTCGCATATTTATACACATTCAATAAGTACAGATGAGTAAGTAAAGAAAATAAACAAATAAAGATAGACGTACATTCATGTATGGCGCAAAGAGTATTTTTCTGTCTAAATTAAAATTTATTTAGGAACTAAACAAGTACTTTTCGCTCATTCTTTATCCTATGGAATAAATAACTTTGCCTAAGTAGTAATTTTTATAAAAACCAAAAACGCAATTTCAAAAGAAGGGTTTATGTTCTTAAACTTGTCTAGAAATTAGTGGTCTTATCATGTAAAAGAAACAAATAGAAGGGTAGTTCTAAGGGTAATCTTACCTCTTGCTGAGCACCGCCAGTGGTGACCACTTTGAACTTGTTCAGGTCCAGACTGCTGCTACGTGCATGGCGATGGGGCCTTGGGGGTGGCAAGGGCGGTGGCTCCTTTTTTGGCGCCCCGTAGACAGTCTGTTGCTCCGGCGGTTCGCTCGGTCCGCTAGATCCAATGCTCGCCTCCCGTTGCGGCGGCGGAGGCAGTGCGCTGTTTTTAGCCGGCAGCTTTTTGGCCTGGGGCCTCTGGATGGCACGCAAATCATTGCTATCACGATGGGAACTGGGAACATTACCGCCTGACGACTGACTGGTCACCACGGTAGATGTGATAGCCTTGGGGCTGTCCTCCCGTAAAATCACAACACTTTCGTTGTCGTTAGATGGCTCGGTCGAGGCAGCCGTGGCTGTGCCTAAAAATATAAAAAAACAAGAATTTAGATACCAAAATTTGATCTCTCTCTGAAAAAAAGTAGAACTTGCCAATGGGCGTCACTCTAAGCGGTACTGGGTGAAGGATCTGAGGGTTGGATACTACATCTTGTGCGGAGCGCTTCATATCAAACAGTGCTGGCTTGAGACCGGGACTAGTAACGATAGGAGCAGCAGCGGGAGCCGCCTGCTCCCCAACTGATGACTGCACGGGGGCCACACTCGATGTGGGAGATTCACTAAATTTTGTCCATTGGCTGGCGGGTTCTACAGCGTTTCCTGTGGTGGAAATCGTTCCAGATGCAATCTTCTCAACGTTTGGCGAATTGGAAATGCTGCGGTTCATGGATGGTGTAGCCTCGCGCCTTGAACTATTGCTGGCCTGCGAGGACGTTGAGATGTTGCTCTGATTCATTATATTCTTGTCGCCGGGCACATTTTGACGCGGTTTGCTGGAGGAACTACCTCCACTCAGATTGCCGGCAATAATCGTGTTGTCAGTATGGTCGTCCTCCTCGTCATCATTTAAGTGCAGGAGATCGGCCTCAGGCGGCTCCTGTGGCTGCGACGTCGCCGACGAAGATCCCACTCCACTTCCCCCAGTAACTCCCACCTGCAACACGTTAGGATGCAAGCAGTGAGGTAGGCTGGTGGGCAGAGGAATGTTGTTGCGCCGCAATACTACCAAATGCATTGCGGCAGTGAATTCCGATAAGCTTAGAGCACCATCACGAGTCACATCGCACAATTGCCAAATATGCCGCAGCTCTTCTACAGGAATGCGGCTCTTCTCAAAAAATACCCTTCAGGAGAAAAACAAATAAATCAAAATATATATCACCTTTAAGACTTTAAATCAGAAAATCACCTAGCTGCCTGACCGGAAAGAAGTCCATGTGGATCCCTTTGCACCGCCTTGAACTGCTTATTGTAGTACTCGCGCTGCTCAGGTGTTATTTGATACAGCGTGACCAGTTCATTTTCGTTTTCCTCGTCGTCGCTGCTATGACGGTCCGAAGACTCCTCTTCAGTGCCCAGAAGTTGGCGGTGCTCGTCGCCCAGCAAGCCGTGCCACAAAGTGTCCTGGGCCCATGGTCGTTCGGCCACACTGTTGGTGGGCGTGGGGCTGTCGCTATTGGTGCTCCAGGCCTCCGGGGAGCCACCACCACCGCGACGCCGCTAAAGAAAAAACAACAGATAAGACGAAAAATTTCGGCAAAGCTAATTGATAAGATACGGACCCTGACATTCTCCCGACTGCTACTGCTAACGACTCCGCTACCATCCGTACCGCGTCCATGACCACTAGCCTCATCCACTGATTCGTTCTGCTCTATCTCAGAGTCGGTACTGGGGAGATCAGAGACATCCTGAAACTGTTCCTGCTGTGAGTTACGACGCAAAGAGTTGCTACAATCCCCCGAAACACTTAATCCGTTCTCAACTAGAGAAACAGGAGCCGTGGCCGCCTCCTTCCAACTGAAGTGGGGCAATGGCAACGGCACTGAGGCGGATATTAGTTCCTGACGCAGTGGCATAGCCGCTTGGTGGGCGGCAATGAGCTTGAGGCACGAGTAAAACTGGCACCGCGAGATGTGGAGCGCCGCGGAGGGAATTCCAGCCAGACCAGTGATCTACAATAAAATCACCATTAATTAAAAAAAGAACGTAAAATGAAAGTGCAATGTACATATGTATTTAGCTAGAGAAAATAATTTCTTACGCATTTACTGGTTTATAAAACCTACCTCAATAACCGCTTCATTGCTAATGTCCGCCGAGCGAAATAGTTCCGTGGCTTTTAGAATGGGCACCTTGCCAGTGTTCTCCACGTCGCAGCATTGAAAGAGTTCGCTGTAGAAACGCGACTCCGGCTCTGTAAGCGACACGTCCATTACAGCCGCCTACTTGTTGACAATTTAGTGGGCTTCGAGCGTGAGCAAGCCACGCCCCTTTCCTCCGTTGCCTAGACTCGATATAATCCAATCAACTTCCTTTTTTCTGTCCGATTCTATAAGTTTCGTTTGTTTATTTCCACGCCTATCAAAACCAGCCCCCCCGCTTCCCCCTTTTACAAATAATGCTGATTCTATGTACAAATGAGGGCGAGAAAATATCTTTTGCTTTGCTTTTCAGATAGTTTCACTTGCTCCACAGGCGGATGGGCTTGGCCGCGGTTCTTGGCCCTGTAAGTGGTCAATGGAGCACACCAGCTTCCGCTAACTCCACGGGTTTCAATTAATTTCGATTTTTATTCCGTTTTTTCGCAAACTCTTTTTTTCCTGTGAGCGATTACTCGTGATACGATACTTATCGAATGGTCAGCTGGTAGCCCTGTACCTGTTAACGTGTACTCAGCCCTGTTGCTGAACTTAAGAAGTTAAGGTAAAAATCGAGGATTTTTAAAGCAAACTCGATACAAAAAATAGGAGGTTTTCATTTAAATAATTATTAATTTTAATTGTCATGTGTATTATTATATGTTATGTATGTTATTTAGGATTTAATGAATTATGTGTAATGTATGTTCTTTGTTCTTTAAAAAAAAATATTTTCTGTTTAATATTTTTTAAAATATTAAAATTTAAATTGTTATTTTCAAAATTAATGTGTTTCAAATTTATTTTTGCAGCCCTGCTTTTGTGACGTCACTCAAGCCGCAGGCGATTTCCTGCGTCACCTCCACTCTTATGACCGTGCTCCCTAGAAATAGCCTGTTATTGTTGTCTGAGCGATATTAAAAATTACTTCAACAGCTTTTAAACCTTTTCCAAGATTTCATAGTTCAAATTGTTCCTGCAATGTTTTCCAGAAAGAAGCAGGAGCCAGTTAAACAAAGAAATCATGATTTGTCGCAGGTAAAAAAAGCTTAAATAAGCAACCAGATTCGTCTATTAATTTATTATGACTCATCGCCTCATCTCCAACCTTTTTGTGGCTGCTAGTTTGGTCTGACGGAGATTCCTGACGACTTTGATCCTAGTGCAGGCTATGGAGACGATGATGCTGGTGATAGTGACCTTGAAGCTGAATTGGCTGCCATAGCCGGAGGAGGAGGCTCCAAACCCAAAACGAAACCAAAGCCCAAGCTTGTGTCTGCTACCGACCTAGACAAAATGATTGCGGACAGCTTGCGTGATGTCAGCGACGATGACGACGATGATACTCTTGAAAACGATTCCGATCTGCTGGGTGAACTAAAGGATATCGGCGTTGAGCATGAGGATATTGAAGAGGGGCCGGCCGCCCAAGCCGCTGTTTCTGATGAGCAGCCGACACAAACCTTTCTTCCGACTACCACGGTGGACACATTGGGCATCATAAAGCAACGCCTGGAAATGTATAAGGTAGCTGAGGCACAGGCCAATGCAGCGGGAGATGCTGGCAAAGCAAGACGCTTTGGAAGAGGTCTGAAGACCTTGCAAAACCTCCATGAGCAAGCTTCAGCGGGTAGACCTGTTAACGTAGACGATATCCCACCCGAGGTCAGTGTTAAACCAGCTGCCAGCGTTGATCCTGCGCCTCCAGCAGACGTTGAGCAGGCGACTTCCTCACCTCTGGTTCCCGGTCGTGCCGCTCCGGCGCTACCCTCGGCGACACCAACTGCCACTGCGCCAACGGCATCCAACGATTCCACAGCTCCATCTGCATCATCAAATCCTCTTGTGGAAAAAATGCGTAACCGCCAAAACGAATACAAGGCGGCTGCATTACAATCCAAACGTAGTGGAGATGTGGCAACTGCTCTCCAGTTCCTCAAGGTGGTAAAACAATTTGATGTAGTGGTCAAGATGTGTGAAGAAGGACAGGAAGTTGATCTTAGCGATATGCCTCCACCGCCATCTGAATTTCTTGAGTTTTTGGCAACTATGCAGGGGAAATCTGAGGGCGAGCCTGCTCCGGCACCTCCTGCCGCACCAGCTTCCGCTCCATCGGCACCTGTACCAGCGGCACCAGTGCCAGCAGCACCTCTTAGTATACTGGAAGCACTACAACAGCGCTTAGAAAAGTACCAATCAGTGGAGGCGACTGCCAAAGAGGAAAATAACACCAGCAAGGCGCGTCGATTTGGACGAATTGTAAAACAATATGAAGATGCAATTAAGCTTTGCAAAGCTGGTAAGCCAGTGCCTTATGATGAACTGCCGGTACCCCCCGGCTTTGGACCTTTACCAACTGGTGATGCGGCTCCTACTGCTGAAAGTGTTTCAAGTCCATCACCGCCAACATCTCCGACATCTCCACCAGCGACTGCAACCACTTCATCCGGAGGTACTCCATCTAGCTCCAGTGCAGCCACACCCACACTTACTCGAAAATCGCCATCACCCCAAAAACCAAAAGAATTGACCACACGCATCTCGGGAAACCAACAAAAAAGTAACCTTGCCGAGCAGCAGATGAAGCTGCTGCTGGAACGTCAAAAAGAGTTCAAGATGGCTGCGATAGAGGCCAAGAAAGCAGGAGAGATAGATCAGGCCAAGGAGTATTTGAAGATATACAAGGGTTTCGATTCCCTTTTGAATGCTGCCAGTAGTGGTTTACCTGTGGATCTTACGACAGTGAGTTTTATGTGACCCATTGTTAGGAAATGTTTTCAATTTACAATTCGTTATAGCTTCCTGTTCCACCATCCCAGCGCGATGATCTTGAGGCTTCTTTTGCCATAGTTTCTGCCGAGGAGTGTGATCCCGGCGATACCATCGGCGAAATTGGCATTCGGATGGAGGAGCAACTCGCCAAGCAGTTGATGATGTGCAAAAATACTAGAGACCATCACAAGGCCATGGGTGATGTAGCTGGCATGAATCGGTTTGAGAATTTAGCCTTAACCGTCCAAAAAGATCTTGATTTCGTTCGGTACTCCAAGCGCAAGAATTTGGCACTTCCGAAGTTTCACTACGAGAAACGGAACTTTAACATTGTTCACTGTAACACAGATCTTACTGATGGCGAGTTGGAGATCGTTGTAGTACGTGGAATCAACTATAATGTTCCCAATCCAAAGGAAGTGGACACCTACGTTCGTGTGGAGTTTCCCCTACTTAATGTAAGAATTTATTAATCTTATTTCGTTTCCTCTGGTGACGGCAAACACTTCTTTTTCAGGATGAATCTTTTAAGACTAAAACTAATCTAGTTAGGGATACCAGTAGTCCAGACTATGACGAGCGCTTCAAGGTGGACATTCAGCGCAGCAATCGGCAGTTTCAGAGAATCTTCAAGCGTCATGGAGTGAAGTTTGAAATCTATTCTAGAGGGTGAGTCGTTCGCGATAAATATTTATGTAGCACAGTTGGATAATAACTACACACTCTGTAACCGCTTAACACGCATATTAAGCTTAATAATATCATCTATGGGGATAATTCAAGTTCTTATTAGACTTATTCCATATTTTAGACTATAATTTGATAGCCCTTTTGTAATCAGCATGTCCTGTTGGTCCCGAGTATTGTATGTTTCAGTTATGGCTTCGGTTTTCACTTATATTTTCTGTATTCATACGTGGATCACTAAAACGTCATCGTATTTTCAACGGAACATTTTAACCAAATATATTTTTACGTCTCAATTCCCAACAAACGGATAATTCAATTTCCCATCCAATGCAACGCGTAAAATATTGTGCTAATAAATAGCTGCAGTATAGATTGTTGTGGACTTAGTCGTAAACTGCCCATATGTTGTTTCAGGGGATTTCTGCGATCGGATACATTGATTGGTACCATAAACGTGAAGTTGCAGCCGCTGGAAACCAAGTGCGACATACACGACACCTACGATGTGAGTATTCTATAAGTACCAACACGCAAACTATATTATTAATTAATGTTCTGAAATATTAGCTAATGGATGGTCGCAAACAGGTGGGAGGCAAGCTGGAGGTTAAGATTCGGGTCCGCAATCCCATTCTCACCAAGCAGATCGAACACATCAACGAAAAGTGGTTAGTCCTGGATGCCGAAGGCTGAAACGGTTAAAAACCTTAAAAAGTAAATTGTTTTATTTGGAGACAAAACTCCATGGTTGTTATCGATTTATGTGAGAATTAATTGGGAATTAATTATATTGGCCAATTCCTTTCCAGGATTAAGGCATTTATGTATTACGAACACAACACACATAATATAGTATATATATATATATTTATGTATTTATATGAGATATTGGCGGCTTTAAGGCAAAGGCGCAAGTCCAGAAATATTACGCCATGTAAAGTGAGTCCATTCCAAAATTGACAGACAAAGAAAATATGAACCATAAGCGCCTGGCCTGATTATGTTTGGTTTCATTTGCCTAAATATAGATATGTTTGTTAAACTACAACTCCATATATTCGACTATTTGCGAAAAAGGGCTGGTAGCGTTGAAAACATCGACTCCACGAACTTTATAAAAACCTGTAAACGAAACGGGGGTATTAGTCGGAGAAAAATTTTCATAGGTTTTTATAAATCATGAGATAATGTTCCTCACACCTCAATAATCTTGCAAAGTATCTGACAAATATTAAAAAAAAATTATATCCCACTGACTTACCATTTACGGATCCCCGATCCCCTGGTGCGTAGTGAAAGGATGGATAAGGCAGGTGCCAATCGTTGGAGATCAACACCCAATCGACCGAGAGACCTTGGCTGTCGCGTTCCTTGAACCAGACCTCGTAGCTGAGCAAACACTGGGTTGACTTGGGATGCTCCATCCAGCTAATAAAGACCTCACCATGGGTGACTTCTGCAATGGCGAGTTGCTGTGGCCGGCGCAGTTTTGGCCATGAGGCGGAACACACGCGCAGCAGCATTGCCCAGGGTAGAGGAATATTGGCGGAATTAATCACTACTTCGCTGTTGTACGCCCAAATGGGTCCTGTTTGGTGGAGTTTTGGCGTCTGAACGCGTCGCATCGCTTCCCGCAAAGTAGCATTTGGATAAGCAGGGCTGCCAGCCTGCTTCCATACGTAATAAGGATCCGTAATGTAGGGCACTATTAGTTCGGTAATAAAGGCTGACTCGTTGGCTATGGACATATTCAGGGTATATTTGTGATGGAAGGCTGTCAGTTGAGGACCCGCCTCCACTGGACTTAGAAATATGGTGGCCATATATTGTCCTGGTCCACCTGATCCGCCGGAAACAGATCGTAGAACCTGAACACTGTGCGATGCGTCCATGTTAACTCTTTCAATATTTGCAGCCCGATTACCTAGTTTGGCTAGCATTCCCAAAGCAATGTACACGGGCTTTTGAAAGAACTGGGAATGTGGAGGATGCGTTTCATTCATTTGAAAGTGAGCTAGAAGAGTCCGCTGGGTAAACTCATAGGGATGATAGCTAAGGAAAGCATTGTCATGGCTAATCGACTCCAACCTCCTCAGTGGCCCATCAGCTACTTTCGCCTGCAAGTGATGCATTACCGTGGATATCAGAGTAATTCCATAACGCACATCTGCCTGAAATTCCCGCGGAGTATTCCAACCTGCCACGGGATCAGCCTCACTACGGATGCTAAGTTTGCTAAATGAATCGAAAACGATAATCAAATACTTACTCATTGGCCACCGGAAGAGTTTTGAGATTAGGATACTCCTCATAGATTTTTGCCATCAACGCCAGAGATCCGTTGATGATCTCCGTAGCAGTCCCATTGACTCCCTTGCGGTGAAAAGTGAGTATATCGATTGGGCAGTATTTCACACTTTTGTTGCACTCGTCCAGTAGCTTCCAGCAGAGCGGATGATTTTGCAGGCTTTTGAAGAGACCGGCTGGACCTCGCAGAGCTCGATACATGGGCAGCTGAAATTTGCCCTCGTGGGTTTCCAAACTACCAGCTTTGCTCAGACCACGACGCACGGCTTGAACATAGTCTAGGAAGGATTGGGCGGTCATATTCAGCTTGTTGTAGCTTCGAAGGTCCGGTTCGTTCCAAGTTTCGTACCGCCAGTTAGCAATTTTGGAGGATCCATGTCGAGCTGAGAGTACGAGAATTGTAGAGCATTATTCCTCGTATTACATTTATTTATCTCACCCAACTGATGGTTAATCGTAGTCTTTACAAAATGCTCCCAATAAAAGGGCATTTGTTGGGGGTTTTCTAGAAACACCCCTCCCAGATTACCCATCCATTCTATCACTGGTGAAAGACGTAGCTCATCATGCAAGAAGTCAATGAAGGCATCAAATTCAGAAAAATCGTATATTGGTGTTCCATTAGAATCATACTGCAGAAAATGAATCAGCTCCAGCAACCAGTGAATTCGGATGTGGGTCACTGCACCAACCGGCAGGGCGGCTATTTGGCGAAGATTCATCTGGACCGCAGAGGAACTTAGGGCGGAGCTGATTCCTCGGTGATCGATCCGCCCGGAGGGGCAGAAGCCGACGCCCGTCCAAAAGTGGGGTAGTGGATGATAGACTGGAGCATCGCCGCTGGTATAATGACCGTGGATCTTAGTGAGAGTCGCCAAAATAAACAGAGACACCAGCATTTTTTTTACGTGCGACTAGCTACGAGCAACACGTTCGACTTTCTATGCGGGATTATTTTCGGCTTTGTTTTGTCTGCGATGTAACGGTCCCGCTTCTGATAAGAGTTTTCTCTCCCACTAACTGACCATCTCACCCCCCACTTCGCACTGTCCTGCCCACGACAGGGCATTATTATCTCGCTCTCTCTGCTCTCAGTGTCTGTATCTGTCGTTCTAAGCCGAAAGCTTAAGTCGTGACGTCACGGGAAGAGAATCACAGTGGGACAAACGGAATATTTTAAATCCTGATTTTTTTTTCGGAACCGGACAAAATTAAGCTACATATAAGTATGTTTTCGCACAAATGGTAAGTTTTAAACCAATTGTCTTTTCGAAAATAACAAATATTACAATATTCCAGATGATATATAATAAAAAATCTTAAAAAAAAAAATCTTAAAAAATACAAACTGTGTTTTTTTCCTACTGTGTGGCGGGGCTTCAAAAGCAACAGCGTGCCCGTTAAGCACTCTCCTGCTTTCGCTCAAGTTCTCCTCCCACGGCTTCATGGTGAAGTAAGGAATAGGAAGCATGAATGAGCCGCTTTAAAGTGCAATCCCTCATTAGGGGTGGAAAAATAAAAGAGAAAAAATTACATTTAATATTAGCTTGTTAAGAGGAAGAAAACGGTGTCAAAGATAATATTTCACACATCTTATGTTCATTATATTGTTGCCTGTTATTGCATTCATTGACGTAAATATATACATACATGTATGTATGCAGGGCCGTAGCTGGCATGGGGCAGGTGGGGCGGTGCCCCAGGGCCCCCGAAGGGAAGGGGCCCCGCGGGGCAAAAGACTTTCGTATAGGGGCCCCAAATTTACTTGTTGCCCCAGGGCCCCGAGGCTCTAGCTACGGCCCTGTATGTATGTATGTACATTAATATGTACATTCATCGCATTTATTATTAATCTTTGGGATTCGAATTTTCAATGCATTTTCAGTCATTATGAGTGGATTCAAGGCTTAGATTAAATAAATTTCGACTCGGTCGATACATACATATCTTTCAGTATAAACTTCTTCTTAACGTCAAGGATACTTACATATATGCATCATATGGGCAAATACAAAAAACAATCCACCACTAATTTTAAAAATTATTGTTTTGCTGTTGTTTATTCTTTGGAAAATAAATCATAAAGCTCTAGCTTGAAAAGTTTACAACATTTCACATTGAATGTTCTGAACTGAGGTCAGGGGCGCATCATATCATATTTCCAATACATAAGCCCAACACAACTCAAAAATGATCGTCCAATTATCCTCGACGGATACAAATGAATGTTCAAGGATCACTTTTAGCCCCAACATTGTATAATTTATTTCTATCTGATTAACCTGAGTTTCCAAATACCCGTACAACCCAATTTATGCCTCAATAGCCCATGCACAAAATTCGTCAGTTATGAAAGTTCAAAATAAACCCAAGCAAATACAATAGCATTATCTTTAAAGGACCAACAATTCTCCGCCCGAAGTTAGCTTTCCTTTCTTGTTTTTAATTGAAATAATATTTATTTTAATAAAAGTATCCTATATTCTACCATATTATACGTATATATTTATATATATTCATTCACATATATAAATAAATTGGCCTTTATTGATAAACAATTGTTTTTGCGTCCACTCCGATATCAATATTCAATAACTCGTACTGCAAAGCAATTAATCTAATGGCCTTTAACCCCAGGTAGCTGTACCAACAATCAGATAACTCGAACCGCACGTGGTGTAATCCAGTTGGCCATATCCTTTAGAGTCTAGACCCGTCAGTGCCTCGTTGGCCATGTCACCGAACACTTGGGTCATTGAAATGCCTACGGAAAAGTCGCGTTCACGTCCATATCCGCAAAGAATTACTCCTTACCGGCTACATAATCCTAGTAGGGATGCTTTTACTAGGACCACGGATCCGTCGGCAGCAACTGCCCCAACAAAGATAATAGATCTCCCTGTATTTGAAGATATTCGCACAATAATGTCCGTGCTGAAGGCGAGTGGCTTAATGCCCATTTACGAGCAGGTCTCCGACTATGAAGTGGGCCCTCCTACCAAAACCAATGAATTCTATTCATTTTTTGTGAGGGGCGTGGTACACGCACTAACCCTCTTCAACATATATAGTCTATTTACGCCGATCTCAGCTCAGTTATTTTATTCATATCGCGAAACGGACAATGTAAACCAGTGGATCGAACTTCTGCTCTGCATCCTAACATACACCCTTACCGTTTTCGTTTGCGCTCGGAATACAAAAAGTATGCTCAGGATTATGAACGAGATCCTCCAACTGGACGAGGAGGTCAGGCGTCAGTTTGGAGCCAAATTAAACGAAAATTTTGGATATTCAGTGAAGTTTTTGGTCGGAATCGCGGCTAGTCAGACCTATATTATTGTCCTGAAGATTTATGCGGTGAAGGGAGCAATAACCCCCACCTCCTATGTACTCCTGGCCTTTTATGCCGTTCAAAATGGGCTCACCGCTACGTATATAGTCTTCGCTTCCGCCCTGCTAAGGATCGTGTATATACGATTTAATTTTATAAACCAACTTCTGACCGGATACACCTATGGTCAGCAACAGAAGCCCAAACAAAAACGAAACCACAATGGAAATTTTAGAGCAGCCTTAATGGATAACTTCCCAGAGGATTCGCTTTTCATATATCGCATGCACAACAAATTGCTGCGCATATACAAGGGCATCAATGATTGTTGCAACCTAATCCTAGTGTCCTTCTTGGGTTATTCCTTTTACACGGTCACAACCAATTGCTACAACCTGTTTGTCCAGATAACCGCCAAGGGAATGATATCACCCAATATTTTGCAGTGGTGCTTTGCCTGGCTCTGCATGCACGTTTCCCTTCTGGCGCTTTTGTCCCGGAGCTGTGGTCTAACCACTAGAGAGGTGGGTTTTCGATCAAAGATATGCCCGATGGCAATTATTAAGAGTGGCTCTATTTACAGGCCAACGCGACCGCTCAGATACTGGCTAGAGTCTATGCCAAGGCCAAGGAGTATCAGAACATAGTAATTATAAAGAACATATTCATTTTGTTAAAATTATTGACTACCAAAATAAATAAATTCTTTTTACAGATTGACAAATTTCTCACTAAAAGCATCAAGCAGGAGGTTCAATTTACGGCTTATGGATTTTTTGCTATAGATAACTCGACCTTATTCAAGGTACCCAAAAGTTTTATATATTTTTTTCATTTCTGTCTTTACCACCGCTATAAAATTTCAGATATTTTCAGCCGTTACCACATATTTGGTTATCTTGATTCAATTCAAACAGCTGGAGGATTCGAAAGTAGACGACTCTATTCCAGGACAAACTTAATCTTAAAAAGAAAAAAAAAAAAACAATTTTTAAAAAATATTTTTTTTAATTGTCTATTTTAATTGCATTACAAATTTTACGGCAATTTTACTAGTTGCGATTACGGGTCTCGATCCTTCTTGGCTTTCTTTGTTAATCTTTATAATATATTTTTCCCGATAATATACAGTCCGATAATAAAATTAAATGCATTATACTGTTTTCATCATGCAGAGTTTAAACCTTAAGGAAACCGACCTTATAAATGTCTTAACGTTAGGTATACAAACAAAAAATTGGAACGTTGGGATTTTGAAGCGGCTCCTTGTCTTAAGCATTTATTTTTACATAGACCTAACAGTTAAGCACTTTGGACTTTCGACGCGTTTCTCCAAACAGAAATGAGCAAATTCGGTCCAATATAAAAGCCCCAAGAATATCCAGTACCAGTACCGTTAGCAAAGTTGTACGGAACTGTAAAGAGTACACAAACTGTAAAAGGGCTTAGCTATTAATGGCAGATACTTACCTCAGTTGGGAATTTGATGATTTCAAAAAACTCCGTTAATTCGGGCGCCAGGCCCGTGGATAAGAGCAGCACCAAGGTTGCCGATGCTCCGATAGCATACATTAACATACGATTTGAACGCAAGCTCTCCATGAACGGATGTCCCTGCAAAAATCGTTTTCAAACTCTGTTTTAGCTGACATATTAGCCTCATTACCTTATAATTGACTGCTATAGTTGCCACTTGCAAAGATAAACAGATGATGTACACCGTACTGCTTACAATGTTTGGATCATATTTGGTCTTTTCCTCAGCGTCCATGTCAATATACAACTTCACTTTGCCGACTCTGACGATAAACAAAATTGTATTGGGTTCATTGCTCATAAAAAAAATAAAAACTTACCTAGGAGGTGCCAACTTAGTGGCTTCACTAGTCAAATAGTAAAGCGTTCCGAAATGAACAGCAAATTGTGTCAGAATGGTGGAAATTGTGTAAAAATTGAAAATGTTTGGCAGCGGTGCAACCTTGGAAAGAGTTTTCAGCGGCTAACAAGAAAAGAACATTGTAACTAATTAGATTAAATTAATAATTTGAATTAACCAACCTTGGCTCGCGTGATAAACAGAAAGCAGGCAGCAATAAAAATTCCCTGCATAGTAGCCTGAGTATCACTAAATTTAACGCCATCAATATATAGCACAGACTGGCAATAGGCCTGTATAAGAGCATTCAGGGCGAGAATCTTAAACATCTGAAGAGTGGTGACCAGAGTGCAGCGACCTTGTTTAATAATGTGATTAACTGAAAGTAAATCTTTGTTAAATTCAACTGTTTTTGGAAATATTCCTAATTGGTTTCCCACCGCAAACTATCGATGATGATTTGCTGGTGAAGGGAGCTGCAATGGAAGCATCACCCAACTTGACCATCGTCTGCTCTTCAATGTCACGCAGAGCACTCTGTAGGCGTGCTTGCGTCTGGTTAAGTTGTTCTTGCCGACGACGAAGGGCTCGCTCCCTTGGGCTCAACTGCTGATTGGCCGCCTGAGTTGCCACTGTTGCTTGTTGTTGCTGCTCTTCTTCAGGGCGCTTCTTTTTCACCGGTGCACTGGTTAGTAACGAGACACCAACATTGGCATGTTTTAGAGCTCCTACGTCGTTTGTACCATCGCCACACATCAAAGTGCAGTATCCTAATTGCTTAAGCTGCGTGATGACAAATTCCTTCTGCTTAGGAGCGAATCGAGCGCAAATTGTGATCTGTGGCAGTATTTGGCGCATGTAGGCTGGTTCAAATTGTTGGAGGTACATCAAAGCCTCGCCTGTAATGCATAAATCATGAGTGGCTAATATCATCGATATGCTCTTCTGGCGGTTCTCCATCTTATACGTTTGGTCCCCATCAATGGACACCCAATTCCATGTGTCCTTCTCTATGTTTTTAGGCGGCGTAAGAATAAGTAGCTTCTTTCGCGTAAAACGCAGCTCACGAGCTACGTGGCAAGCGGTTAAGGGATTGTCTCCCGTAATCATAACCACCTTGTGCGAGGACTGAATCAACTCCTTGATTACCGCCTTGGAGTCGGGCTTCATGGGACAGGATATGATCACAAAGCCAGCGAAGGTCAAGTCACATTCCACTTCATCGCGTTTCAATTCCCGAACTCTCTGCGCGCTTAAAGTGCCTAATTCCTTAATACCAAGGGCCAGGACACGGGCTCCTCGACGGGCATACTCCAAATAAACCTATAAAAAATAATAATAATAAAATAATTAATGCTAAAGCTACTTAATAAACATGTACTATTAAGAAGTTACCTTCTCATAATCCGCCGGCACCTCAGTCAACATCTTTTGAATAACCTCGGGGGCACCTTTGACTGCTCCGATGTGCCTAACCTCGTTTGAATAAGGAACCAAATAACCAGCTAGAACGGACATTCGTTTCAGCGCGGAAGAGAAGTGGTATCGCGCCATAATCTTTAGTGGCTTAAGCTGAGTTCTTTTTGGAATAACACTATCCATCTTGGTAAGATTCCAGTCCACCGCGGCCAGGGTTGCCTTTTCGAGTGGATCACCTACTAAACCATCGTCCAGTAGCGCCAGTGAGTGACAGCAGGCTAGCACCTGAACCGTATTGGACTCCGCCTGGTCGATGGGCACACAGACTCCATTTGGAGCCAATCCTGCTATACCCTCAACCATTAAATTATCTGTGGTCAAGGTGCCGGTCTTGTCGAAGCAGCAGATCTGCACCTTTCCGGCAAAGGGAATCCTAAAGGGTTCCGTACAAAAGATGAAAAACTTCGTCAGCTGAATGAGGGATGTGTTGACAGCTAGTGTTAACTCGATTGGCAGGTCAGGCGGAATGATGGCTGTTAAAATCAGTGTGCATTCCAAAAATAGTTTGTAGCGGTTTCTTTCAGGATCCTCGCTGCCCTTCACCCAGACGTACGATGCGGCAGCTACGGCAAAGACCATGAGAAAAGCAATGAATGCGAAGGTTTCCGAATTGTTTTCCGTGGCCCTATTTGCACCGAATAGGATAGTGCGGAGCAACTTTCCCTGAGAGGTGTTAAATCCAGTGCGGATGACATAGCCAATACAACCACCATCCGGAGCTCGTAGAGATTCCTTTGTCGGAGCGGTGTGCTGAACAACCTTTGTGCCTCCAAAAAGAACAAACAGCTTACCCTCCGCATCGGTATCCAGTTCTGTATCCAAGTTATCCACAGACTCCAACGATTCCTTCATTTGTGGAACCGATTCGCCGGTCAACATTGACTCGTCTACGATGCAGGAGCCACGCAGGATGACCAAATCGCAGGGTACAAGGTTGTCATTTTGGGAACGCGTTACAGAAACCAAGTCTCCAGGCAGCAGTTCGTCCGAGCCAATGTGGCGCCACTTGTTTTGCCGGAAGGCGTAGATCTGGTACGGCTTGTTGCCCATTTTTCGTATCTCAGACATGTTTCGGAGCTGCTGCTTGACAATGGTGCACTCAAAGGCAATCAACATGAACAACGTGAACAAGGAGTAGTACCAGTAATCGTCCATGCACCATAGACCCACGGAAAACACTTGGAATACAAAGAATGGCGCCGTGGCACGTTCGATGAACAGTTCGTGGAACTCTGGCACAACCATATCCATTTCATTGTTACCATATGTCAGGGTAGACGCTTTGATGGCTTCTTCAGTCTCCAGGCCACGAGATGACGCATAGCTGCTTAGTAGTCCGTTCACTGGGAATTCCACAGATCGGAAAGTCTTTCGATCGTGGCACCAGACATACTTTGTCTTCTGGAAAACGAGGTAATACTGTGTAGATCCGTCTTCGAGCTTGGCGGACCGTACAGGCACAATCTTTGAATTTCCATTGTTAGCCGTAGGCACTACCTTGGCCAGAACATTGGGACCAGGCAGCTTCACCCGGCGACAGGTAAGAAAGGCCAGCACATGGACACTCCAATAACAAAAGAGCAGTGTAAGCACATGCAGAAATGCAATTGCCAGAATGCCGATGAATCCCACATCGTTCCACGTTGTCCTTATGTCCGTCGACGTTAAATTTTCACGCGGAGCAAAGTCATCGTCGCCTGGAGAATTGCTTCCGTAAACGTGGATCCACAAGTAAAAGGCACCGAGGTAGAGCGGCAAAAATGGTAAAACCACTCCCGTCAGCGGCGTGGGGATGCGCACGTGCAAGCTTACATACTGCACCAGGTCGTCCAGTTTGGCGGTTGGCAGTGCTCCTTTCCGATTTTCCGCATCCCCGTCAGCACCTCTAGGGCTCCCGACGCCCATCTCTTTTCCTTTGCTCTCTGCTGCTAGCTCGCTCATAAGTTTGCTATAATACTCGTTCCTCGGCTCCTTCTATGGATTTCTGGGAATTCAAGGAGATTCCTAAAGATGTAATGTCATAGCGGCAACAAAAATGTGAAAAAAGCAACGTCGAACGTTTAGAGTTTGATTTGATGTTTGCCAACACTGACTTCTGCGTCAGCTGTTGCTATTAATTAAAAATGATATCGATAATTCGATAGCTAGCTATATTAATCATTTTTTTCAGGAATAAAATATGCTACTATACTAAAACTTCTATAGCTAGATATAAATGCATAGCACTAAAATCGAAAAACATGTTTTACAAGTAAAAACTTTATTCATCAAAGTGTTAACGAATATTTTTAATTTACGCACTACGGTCCCTCCTAAAATTTATTTGAATTTGAATTTAAATTTTAAACATTGACAATGTCGAAAACAACTGATTTAAGAAGTCCTTTAAGGATTTTGAACCTATTTGGATGTAAAAATATTATTTTAAAAGGGCTTTTATTGGCTTTAAATTGTCGCAAAAACACGAATGTTGGGTCATTTCCGATTGTTCAGTTACATATATGGCAGCTATAGGATATAGTCGGCCGATCTCGGCCGTTCCGACTTATATTCTATTCAAAGGAAAGAAGGGTGTGTGCAAAGTGTCAAGTCGATAGCTTTAAAACTGAGAGACTAGTTCGCGTAAAAACAGACAGACAGACGGATTGACGGACATGCTCATATCAACTCAGACGGTGATCCTGATCAAGAATATATATACTTTATAGGGTCGCAAGGGTACCCTCTGCAAGGGTATAATAAAATTGCCATTGTGCATTACGAAGCTATTACTCAGTCACACGATAATCCCTAAATTTTATGAGTAGTCATGGATACGATCAAAGGGTGTATATTTGGAAATAATATTAAAGAAAGAATACGCTTTAAAATTAATATTTTAAAATATTAGGTTTAATTAATTAAACCCTTTTTAAACAAAACAAACTTTGTAAACAGAAAACTTGTGAGTGAAACAGATGGGTTTTGGGTATCATATAGTCGGGAATCTGGAATCGACAGTGAGTTCACATTTACAAAGGAAATTTAAATTTAAAATACAAATCGGATGACTTTTAGCATGCAAAAATTGTAATTAAAAGCTAAATAATTTAAATATTAAAATTAAGCTTTTTAAATTAAATTAATGAGGCTCTACTTTGAATGGCTTAGTAATATGAATATGTATGTAATATATGGTAATATATCAAGTCGAGAAAATGCGACTAGAAGAATATTTTTTTTTTTAACTAGTTTAATTCATAAACACGCAAAGATTTATTATATTAAATAGGAAACATTAGCACTCTATTTTAACATCAACTTATGTTATAGCTAATCGTCGAGACTTTCCATGGGCAAGTTACCGGCTGCATTCAGTCCTCCGGCGGCGGCATATGCCGTCTCCATATTGGACTGCGACTCCCGCTTCGGTGTGCTCCGCTTATGTTGAGTAGTGAAGCTTACGTTTATCCTTCCACTACCTCGAATGGCAGACATAGGTGGCCGTACAAGAGGTGTAGCAAGGCGATCGGAAGGGGGGCTGGGATTGGCCTTAACCTCCCTTCGAACATCTACCACAAGGGCGTCGCGAACAGACGTTTCCTGAAACTGCTTCAGCCGTTCTCTCATGGCGGTCTCCCGTTTAATCTCCTTTTCTATTTCTGCGCGCCGTTTCTTATCAAACCTTTCAAGGGCCATTTCATCCCGTTTTTTGTTTCGCTCCACGATTAGATCAGCTATCTCCAGGCGCTTCTGCAGAAGAGTTTCCTTGTCCAGTTTCTGGAACATCTCCGGCCACAAACCCTTTTCCTTCTTTACAAGCACAATTCGAGCTTCGTTTTTAAAGATGCGACAAAAACTGTAAAAAATTAAGTTTCAGTTTTATAATTGCATCATTTTACATTAAAAATTAATATTTATTTACTTTTTTAAATTTAATAAAAATTGTATTTAATTTCATAGTAACTAACCTAGCCATTTCGTCAACTTCCTGAACCAGATGACGCTCGAAAAAAATGGGCGGATTGTTGAATTTTAAATACTGAGGAAGCAGTACCACATCTGGCTTGCGAGTCACAAGTCTATTAAGTTCAATGGATATTTTTATATCGTCTTCCGTCTGAGATATCTGAACCATGATGAGTTGCTTGGCTTCCGTTTCCGGTGGCTAAAGATCTGAATCCAAAAAGGATATGGAGTCCTTTGTTGCTGCACTTCGACCGACAATAAATTGTCAATGGCTTCTAACTTATATTTTTTAACTATCTGAATCTGGCGACGAATCAACGACATCTACGACAGCGCCAACTACCCAGCCGACTGTATATTCCGTCTAGGACTCCGTTTCTATCTGTTTACTTTGAATATAAACCGGGGTTAAAAGTTCGAACAACCAAAACAAGCTGTCGCGTTGGCCATCGACCAAACAATGATTGGCTACGGTACAAATACCCCATTTCGGGAACCAGGAATCATAGCGACTTCCTGCCCATGGACCCACCTGTTAAATTTATGCATTTGACTTTTTTGGGCAAGGCAAGGCACTCTGGCCTAGTCCAGGATCCGAGCTCTTCCTATTACTCCTGCTCATTTGATTGAATTAGTCTCGACTTAAGCACGCAAGGCGAATCGTATTTGCATAGAAATCGCAATCCATCAAGAACAGCTTGTTGTGACATTGATTGGAAAAGGGTTACTGTTTATTTTATAGGGGCTTTACCATTTATAGACATGCTTCCCCTATTCCATGATATTCATTTTTTTTTTTGCCGAATCGTGCAATCTCAGAAATTCTCTTTATAGATTACACGCGTGCATAATCCATTTATTACCACCCGAAGTGAAAACATATTTTTTTTTGTTCACATTAATTTATGTATTTATTGAGCTTTCCGGCAGCACTTTAGCCACTTTTCGGGACTCTTTGATTGTGGTCAGTGGGCACTGCATCTCGCTCCATCCCACGGGAACCATAGGAACTCGGGTCTTACGGACATCGCTGGCGTAGGCGATTACCACCCCCAGTTCATTCTCGGCCGTGGTCAGAAGAAACGATTGTTCCATTTGGTTGATGACACGTGCTAGGATCACATCGCCTGGCTTGAATGATTTATATATGTCGACACGGTCCTTCTCCGTTTCCCGAACATCCTCCTTTCGTAGGAGACCACGGTAGCTGTTTTCCAAAAGTACGTTCCGCACACAGAAAATTGCACACTTGACGAATTTCGGAGTGGTAACTAGGACGCGAGCAGTAACTATATCGCCGGTGGTTGGTATTGTTAGATGGAAGCCAGGTTTGTGTACGTTCACCACCTGACACTGGAATGCTGGTATAAGGCATAAGTTTATCTAAATAAAGAGTGTAACTCACATTTTCTCCCGATTCCTCGATGTTTACAATTCCCGATTTGGAGGCATAAATATATCCATTCTGTTCGTACGTCCCTATACCCAGGACTATGTTATCTTCAATTCTACAAAGCCGCTCTCCCGGAAGACACACTATGGGCTCCTCGCCTGTTGAACTCATGTTTTAACAGATATTTGAAATAAAAAATTTAAAAACAACAAGGCCGCATTTACACAGCGTGCGTTTCGCTAATTTTGTATCGATGATCGCTTATCGATAGTTTTTTACCATCACCTTCAAGAATTTCCTTTATCAGTCAAAATTACAGCTAACATTACAATTTACATTACAATACATTTACAATATTCTGCTATAATATTTTTTATAATTATAATTAATTAATTTTAAGCTTATTTTGTTTTAATGTTTTAGGACAGGGGGATTAATAAAACGAATCGCGACGTTTTTGTGAGGTTTCAAAAGCGTGACTTTGCGTTTTTCAACACTACAACTGTTGAGCGTGTTTATGGTGCCGGTGCCGCCAATATTTTACAGTTTTTTTGTAATAATTTTGGAGAGTTTTCAGTATGCCCACAAACAAACTGCGAGCCAACATGAGCTATCGTGAGGTGATCCCAAAAAACCTCAGTCCACCAGAATGGATAGATGTGAAAATCAATACGGGTATGTTCGAAGCCAGCACTCAAGAAGCTTCATCAAAACATTGATTTCTTTGTAAAATAGGCACACAAAGCACGCTGCAGGATCTTAAAACATTTGAATCATCTGGTGGTTATTGCTACAAGAGCAGAGGAAATGCTCAAAATAGAAACCGGTTCATTTATTGGTCTGTACAAAAGTCCAGAATAGAAATTAAATATGAGCCTTCGATATTTATACATGTTTTCCAATAGGCGCACCCATCAAGATGTTTTGGAACTCGTGGAAATTAGCTTGGACATCTCACTACAAAAGAACCATCTACGGCTGCGCTTCACCGACTCTGCCGTTTTGAATGTTTTCCTTAAGGAAGACACAAGCACGTTGAACTTGCTTGTGGTCACCGTCAGCAGTGTTCACCGCTACGCTTTCCCTCTGAAAACCGCTGGTCTTGGAGGATTATCTGAGGATCAAACATCACAGTCCATTTTTTATGATGTCAGCGAAAAGATAAACGATCCGAGCAGTTTTTATGTAACGGATGGCTTTGGAAACCTGCCCAGTGTGGCGGTTTCGTATCTATCGCAAGATTCTCAGACTGCCTATTTTGCGGTGGCTTACCAGGAAAAACTCCTCCTGCACGTGATGAATTGTGCCACTGGCCAAACAATTACTAATGAAATTAAGGAACCGCATTTGATGCCAAGATTTCTTTCTAACCTTAAGGGTGCTTTGATCGGCCGCTCTGAAGCCCTAGAAGCAGCTATTTCGATGGCTTTCAGCGAGATCGAGGGACAATTTTTTCTCCTTGTCCTGTACCGAAACAATGAAATGCGACTATGGTCATTAGACACCATACAGACATTGGCAAGCATTAATTGTTCATCAGGATCTACCCATGGTGGCTCAGCCACTCAAGGACGTAAGCTTTGAACGTAATTATCCTAACCTAATATATTATTTAGATATTCTTACAGCTCAGAGCAATCAGTTACGTAAAATCAATGATCAGGACTTTTGTTTGTTTCTCTCCCACGATATTGGATCCGAGTTCATCTGCGTCAGTATTATGCCTGATGCGGAAGATGTCAGAGGTCTAAAACTCGTTGTGCAGCATTCGCTGTCTGCTCCGCAAATGGACCTGGCTGATTTCGATGCTACGTCCTCGCACATATGGGCTCTTTGGAGCAACGCTGAAGGCGACTATCATGTTTCAGCTATTTATTTGGGCTCAAACGATGCTATCAAGTGGGTTTCAGCCGCCCTGGAGCCACCGCCAGATCGCTACTCCTTAAATTTAGAACGGGGCATTGATCCGCGCCAGGCATACTGTTCCTATATTTTCCATCCAGGTCGATTCGATCGGAATATTATCGCCAAGGCTCTATATGTGACTATGATCAACTCTTCTAGGCTAGAAAGTTATGCTAAATCCGTTTTTTTTTTTTCATTTAGATGTTCCGACGCGTCAATATGCAGTTCGACGTGAAGCAGTTGTCCATGTCGATGCTTAAGGATCAGGTTTGCCAGGCTGTCGAGGACGAAATCCAAAACGAACTAAAAGACTATGTTGTCAGCGACGACGAGTATCTCGAGATAGCAACCCGGTTGTGGGACAAGTTCTATTCGTGCTGCGAGCAATACTATATGAAATTTTCTGAGCCCACAGGGCTTGCAGTTATGGAAGGTATGGATGCAGTCTGCTTGGTCCGTAGGCAATCTTTCTCCCTTCTACGTCCATGTGAGGTTCTCGAACATCTTCTGCTTATCGGCGAGCACAACGAAGAAGTAGCCACCTATGTAGCCCCTTTGTTTAGAAACAACCCCGCGACAGCCAAGGGATTTGTCGATCTTATGAACGTTATTACACTGCTGGATAAGCTAATCTCAGAGGATATAAAAATGGAACTGGATAACCAGCTGTATCAGAGGGCATCGCCGCTCGAAGTGATTTCCAAACTGGTGACCAGAATTACAGTGGGCGACGATAATGGTCCAATGTTGCCATCGAATTGTGTGAAACAAATGAATCAGAAACTGCAGGAAATACCAAACCTTAAGCCAGCTGTTGACGTTCTGCTGGATGTTCTCTGCATGATTGATCCCGATGCCCCACGGAATGGTAATGCCAACTTAAACATTTTTATTTTTATAACAAGTTTTACATTTTTTTGTATTATACTTTATAGATTATTCTGGTTGCACACGCTTTCTCCAGCCAACTGGAGCTTTATTTGGCAGCGAATATGGATTATCTATTTTAGCCGAAACCGTGAGACAAATGGCAATGATACGGTGAGTCTTAGAGACCATTTCTTATTCATTTCTAAAATTATGGATTGATTACAGATTTTCCGTTTGCCGAAACCTCCTGGTATTGCAGTTTATGGTATATGGTGGGGATGGATTGGATAGCGAAAGCATGCAAACAAATATTAACTACTTGAACTCTTACTACACTCTAATGTGGATTTCTGAGACAGCCATTCCTTCAAATACCCCAGCTGGATTGTAATGTTATAGATGATAGATGTTTGGGTAAATTAAAATGATTGTAATGTCTTTCAGTGAGGCTTCCATCCAGCGCTTGAGCCGGGCGCAGCTATTTAACGGATACACCAGGCCTTACGCCAGTCACTTGAGAACCCATGGTCATGACCAAACTACTTTGCTGAGCCTTTTCCTTCAGTCCAAGGGACTTTTCTGTGCTCTGACCGTATTATTAAAAAATTCCGGAATGCAAATGGAAACAGAGCAATTAAATCTTCGTGAGTCGCTGTTGCAGCTTGTGGGATTCATCAACAAAATTCTGTAAGAGAATTTTAAAGAATCTTCATTCATATACAATTTGGTATATTCCTATACATTTTCTAGTTGGCCGGAGTCTCCGGAATACATTTTTCTCGAATGGTTATTTGGTACTTGCCACCACATTATTGTCCAGGATTATGTACGCATTTTGTCCAACTGGTGTAAAGAAAATACTCATTCTAGTAAGTATACAATTTTTTGTTACTTTTATCTCGTATTTTTATTATCTCTTATTTTTAGGACGTTTTATGCTCGCGGTTTCTTTACTGGATTGCGGAGAGGCACATAAAGCCGTTGATCTTTTTCAGCATACGGCAGAAGGAATTTTAATGGAAGATTTTCTATTTGAGCACGTCCTAAAAAACACGCCGATATATTCTAATCTGCAAGAGATTATTAGCCACAAGAAAATCTCGTTGGAAAATGTGAAACTCGCCAAGGTTCACTACTATTTAAAAGTTATTCAGCTGTTTGAACAACATTCCGCCCTTGACTACATCATCCAAATAGCGCACTTGGCCATGAATGTTCTGCGCCGAGATGATCCGCAGTTGCCTATGTTTCAATCGATTGTTTTCAACAATCATCTACAATTGGGCCATTACGAGGAAGCCTACCATGCCCTCGTTTACAATGCTGACATTTCGCGACGGAAGGACTGTTTGCGCCAACTGGTCATTACATTGTTTCAGAGCAAAAGTCTGCATCTGCTTATGCAGTTTCCTTATACAGGTCTCCAAGACGAGTTTGAAAGCATTGTAGAATCCAGAGCTAGATCTATTAGCATTGATCAAAACGAAGTCTATAACTTTTTGTATGCATTTCACACCAATAAAGGAAATATGAGAAAAGGTCGGTGTGAATACAATTTCGCCATAATATTGATATTTATAAAAATACCATTCCAGCCGCAACGGTGATGTTCGAGCAGGCCATGAGGCTTCAAGTCGACAGCGATGCCCCTAATGCATTGGAAAAACGATGTTCTTCGCTGCTTATTGCTATAAACTGTTTGCATTTGGTAGATCATCGATACAGATGGATTGCTAAACCTACAATCGGCGATGAACAAGTGGCTCCGATGAATGAGGATCAAGACAACCAGGATGATGTTCCTAAAGGTCAAGAAGTAGTGGTGCTGGAGCTAGAGGACATTCGACGCGAACTGGTACATGCGGAAGCTCTTTTGGAACTTTCTCACCATCGAAAGGGCGTTGCTTCATTGGAAAGGATCACTCCGGAGGAACTGTCTCGCCTGTTGGTTAGCACCGGCCTCTACACCAGTGCCCTAAAACTTCACCGCGGCCATACGTTCTCAGTGTTGCCGATCTTCGAGGGACTTGCCACAGCCTGTGTTACTGCCACCGAGGAGAAGGATGTGGATGCTTGGGGATGGCTGCAGAACAATGATTTGGCGGGTGATTTTTAAAGTGCTAACCTATGTTTCGGCGTTTTTAAAAAATTGGTTTTTCAGATCTTCCCCATCGTAATAACGCTGCCGATATGGCCTGGACCTTGTTACAAAAGCTTTTAGTAAACCACGAATCAAAAGAATCTACCCTGATAAAAAAGGGTGTGGTGAACAGGCTGCTTACGCTAAACTCCTTTATACCACAGTGGTTGATTGATTTATACAAGTTAGCCAACTCTCGGGAGCTCCTCCATTTATTTGTTAAGCACAATCGCCTCCTGGAAGCAGCCGATCTGGCCTGTGAGATGATAGGCGCAATGTTAGGAGCTGGCTGCGAGTATTTTGAGTTTAAACAATCAGTGGCTGTCACCAACCCCCAGCTCTCCTTCCCAACCAACACAATTGATCTTCTTTTACATGGACTTAAAATTAATATCAACGAAGACATCGAATACGAAATGGTAATTAAAATCCTGAACTCAAAGTCCATTAATAACTACTTATTACTTGACAGGCCTACACCAAACTTGAAGAGGAAGTACAAAGATACATAGAAATCGTAAAGCGCACAACCGAAGACAAAATGAGTTTAGCTATCCTGCATAACCGAGAGGAACTACGACAACAGGCGCAGTTTTAAGAAATAGGCTTTCATTCAATTAAGTTTTATTAATAAAAAAAATATAAATACGCTTTGATCTTTAGAAGTCATCCGTCAATACCAGCTCCGACAGAAACTTTTTGTAAATGTTCATAAACTGTGCTACAAAGGCCTCCAAGTGGAATATGTGCTTCGCTCCGGATTGCATCCTATGCTCGTACTCGGTAGCAAACTCAAGTGTTTTTGCCTTAATCGACATGTCACAGTTATTGACAAGATTCTCCACTAGACCGCGGAAGATGAGGTTGGATGGTACACCTTGAATAAGAAGCTCGTACAGTCGCTCGCGTATCTTTTCTAGCTTTCCAGGGGTCTGTTCGCTGATGATTTGTGATGCAGTGTCCCGCAAAAACGCCTGCCAGTCCAAATCAGGTATTTCTTGGTTAGATGTAAATGGAACCTTGGCAACTTTGGCGGCCTCGAGCATAAGAAGAGCACGTCGAAGATTGCGCTCAGACTTATCGACTATTCGTTTAGCCAATTCGGGAGGCAAGGCGAGTCCCTCGCGCTTGCAGGTGTTCTGCAGGATAGACACGATATCGGGTTCGCTAGGGGCAGACACTCTTATTCCGAGGCAACGTGATCGGATGGCAGGAATGATGCGAGAAGTGGAGTTCACAGAGATTATTATTCGGCATGTAGCCACATACTTTTCCATGGTGCGGCGCAATGCATGCTGGGCATCTTTGGTGAGTTCGTCGCCTTCAGAGATGACGATTACTTTAAACTCGCGCTGTCCGCTGATCTCGATCTGGTGCGTCTGAGCTACCTGTTTGATGAGGTCAACCACCACTGTTCGGTCATATATTCCAGCGTCAGACGGATTCACCTCCAGATGATAGTTACTGCTGACAGTCATCACCTCGACCTTACGGTTGGAAGGTGTGGTAAAAGTCATAGTCTCGCTCCTCAGTCGTTCCACTCCGGATCCGTACATCTCCCGTAGAAGGCACATGATTCGCGTTTTTTTTCCAGCCCCAGACGGTCCATAAAACATTAGGTGCGGAAAATCACTCTGCCGGCAAAGGTTTCGCAAGTTATCCGCCTGGTCCTGTTTCGAGTTTGTATATTAAATGCAATGATTCGAATGTAGTATATTTCTTAGTTTACCTTGTGATAATCTAATTTGGACAACTCCCGCGGCCGGTATTTATCCACCCATAATGCCATGATAACTTGTTCAACTATTTTCTTGACAATTATTAAAGAAAATCTATTTTATCTCAGTTTTAGCATGCGCGCCTTTTTACACAATTGGGCTTCGGAGTTCCAGTGCTGCAAAATGTTTTCAGTAAAATTTGATTATTTTGCCAACAATTTTAGTTGTATAAAAACTGAGGATATCTTAAATTAAATATCTTAAATATATGTACTTTTCAAAAAATAAATGTGATTTTGTTATATTTGGAGTTTTACTATAATACTATCTTAAACATTCGTCCTGATTCTTTGGATAATTTGACTTCTCACAACTGGTCACACTAACCAAACTACATAGGTGAGAATAAATTGATAGACGCGAAAAAAATGTTATAAAGAACGGTGAGTTCACATAAAAAGAAAATGGTAAATCTATTTATTTGCCTACGGTTTCAAGCGTTATAAGAGTTAAAGAAAGCGTGCCGGAAAGCTTAAATTGTACAGATCTATCGCATAGATCTGGATTACTTTCGTGTCTGGTATAAAAAGGCAGCATACATAATTAACTGCATTGGTGGCTCAAAGGGTTGAAAAAATACAATAAACACATATGTATATGTACAACTGACCTTTACTCATATGTAGGAATGTCCTAATCTAATGCGGACTCAATTAAAGCCTTATCCAAAGCATCAATTCAATTTCCTGCAACACGATCCATTATTCAATAAGGATCATGTTTGAGGAAGTAGTAGAGGAAAATGGCTGTGTGAATGAATAAAAAATGTGTCGGCGGTATTCGCTAGGTTGTGAATGGAGCTCCTCTTTGGTCGAATGAAAATCTTAGCCATGCTGTCTCATTAACGCATTTTTAGACGTCACCAGAATACAAACACACCTATGTATGGTCATATACTACACGGAGAGGGGCATATGTATGTATGCATGTACAATGTCCATTAAATCCCTAGTTAATCGCTCTTTGTTGTTGCCCTGCTTGGAGCTCGTCTTTCTTGACAGATTATGCAACTCTCCTGCTCTCCCTATTATCTATGCTTTTCTGTTCCTCCGATTCTCCTACTGCATAAAAAGATGGAATTTCATTGGTTGTCACAAAAAACTTCCGTTCAGAAAATAAACCTTTTTAGTTTAAACATTAAATGTTTATTCTTCCCCTTACTGCTAAGCTGCGGTTGTGCCTCCTTGCTTTTAACACCTAATTTAATTATTGTCTTATATTCGTGTCATTTTTTCGTCACATATAACAAATGGGCGTAAGTGTGCAGTCATTTCTTTGGCTAAGTATTTTAAGGTTTTTATTTAAGTACATATGTAATTTTACATACTTGAATTTGTTTTGGAGTCAGTAATTATTCTAATAATAATTATTACAGTAATAATTATTCTATTATCAATATTTATGCCATTTGAATGATTTAATACCTGTAGTGGTTGTGATTTATAGGATTCGCGTCCTCATTCATCTTAATACATTTGCCGACCCGATGGTTATTGTTATTTCAGTTCTTTGCTTGTTATTGCGATATCTCTTATCAGCTGGGCATTAACACAACACTTTCACATATGTATGTCCATACATATGTACACTTAAGCGTCAATTTACGATGTTTGTTTATATACTTTTCGGGCGTCTCTTCTACTCAGTAAATACTGTCAAGCTCTTAATAGATTCTTTTAAATGGAGTCAAATTAAAAAAAATTATAAATTTATTAATTGAAACGTAATTTTAATTTATAAGCGCCCAATTGTATATAAATTGGACAATCTAATTGCTTCTCTGATTGCCTAGCTTCACTTACTCCACCGGTTCCTATACTCGTATGTACATATATAATAGTTACCAAAACCTATTGATTTTTTGAGAGTGTTTCGACCATTTTACCTTATTACCAAAATCAATTGAATCGGAATGGAAGGTGGTGGTCTCATTTTTTTTCGATACTACTGCTCTTTTATAAATTTTTTGTATACAACAGTTTTTCATGAATTATTTCATGTTTTTCTATATTGTCAATTTTTGTTCTTCCAGGTGTACTATGCTACCTTATAAATACCTGAGATTACATACAGAAAAATGGAAGCAATGTCAAAGATTTCTCTGATATTGTCTGTTTTGTGGTTGCTCAGCAGTGCTGTCGTCGTTAGTGGCGGGAGTAGCAGGCGGAGCTGCCTGGCAACCTTTAGTAATGAATCTCTTCCACAGCAAAATCGGCTTGAGATCAGGCCGAGGACGAGAACTTGGCAAGAGCATGAGTTCTCGCTGTTGGGATACAAGTTCCACCTACCCTTCGTAGGGCACACAGTGGATGCAGATCAAAATGACAGTGACAGTGATGAAGATCTGTGGTTTGACGATCTGTACGTCGGAACTGGATTGGACAGCGTGGAAGTAGAAGAGCACGAGCTTTGGTCTGATACCAATGTGGATCTGTCGAACAAAGTTTTGAAGTTAAGCTGCGACCATGTAAACCTGAGAATGGTAAACAAGGAGCTTCTTTCTCAACGGAGTGTACATATTAACTACCAAAAACTTCTCCTGGATCATGTTTCTGCGGACTCTGGTGATACGCTTCAGTTGCCACAATATGAGAGCGTTCGGGAGTTTTCGTGGGTGGAAAGTGCCCTTAAAGATGAACCACTAGGAAAATTACTTTCTCTTCAGCCGCACTGCTTCGAAAATATGCAGAAGTTGGACCTATCCGAAAATCACTTGGAATGTCTTCACTGGGCCATTCCCCAAGCAATGCGGCGTCTAAAAGTACTTAAGATAAGCGGCAACCGGTTGGCAAATTGCAATTTGATTAATTTGCAAAATATGAACCATTTGGAGGAGCTGCACCTAGACAGGAATGGTCTGAAAGCGTTGCCCCAACGCTTCCTAGGCGGGTTGAGCGAGTTGCGTCTATTAAACATTAGTCAGAATCTGCTGTCCGAGCTACCGCGAGACATTTTCGGTGGAGCTCTGAAGTTAGAGCGTCTTCTGATATCCGGAAATCGTTTAACCGTGCTACCCTTTCAGCTGTTCCAAACGGCCGGCGACCTACAGGTTCTAGATCTTAGCGATAACCGCCTGTTGTCCTTTCCGGACAACTTTTTCGCTCGCAACGGCCACCTTCGGCAGTTGCATTTACACCGAAACCAGTTGAAGTCACTCGGCAAGCAGAGTCTGTACAACTTGCGTGAGCTGCGGCACCTGGATCTTAGCCAAAACTCGATGGCTAGCATCGATCGGAAGGCTTTTGAGTCACTAGGCCAATTGCTCGCTTTAAATATTTCCGGCAACAACCTGACCATGCTCTCCTCGACAATTTTCCAGCCACTTCGATCCCTAAAGCAGCTGGATCTCAGCAAAAACAACTTTAGGCAACTGCCCAGTGGGCTGTTTCAAATGCAGCGCTCGCTGATAATTTTGCGCATCGATGACACGCCTATCGAGCAATTCTCCAACTGGATATCACGGAACGACGAGTCAATGGTGGATCCACAGGTGCTACACCGCCTAAAGTATCTATCAGTGCAGGAAAATCGGCATTTAACTACCCTACCAGCCACATTGTTCGCAAATACACCTAATCTCAAGGAGCTATGGCTGGCCAACAATGGCTTATTGCAGCTTCCATTGCAGATCTCAGGACTTTCGAAGCTGCAGCGTCTGAGTGTCCGAGGAAATCGACTCGGATCACTGCCGGAAGGACTCAAGGATTTGCGACAGCTGCATTACGTCAATATTCTGGGCAATGAGTACCAATGCGACTGCAAAATGTATTGGCTTACCGCTTGGTTGTCAAACACCAATAGCACCCTGAGGCGTTTCTCTTCAATCATAAATGCCAAGAGCCCCAATTCCAGCCAAACCTCACTGGACTCATACGAAAGCATTGACGATCAAATAGATGCCCTTAGTTGTCAGTACGGCTACCCGGGCGATATGTTACAGGTTCTAAGCAATCTCAATTGTTCTGTACCAACGGTGGTGCAGTTCTCCGAGCCCAAGATGCACAAACTGCTCTCCACCGCCAAACTGGAGTGCCAGATATCAGGCAGCCCTGTGCCAGACATTATTTGGGTGAGGATAAAGCTATCTACGTAAAATATACATCTGTAAAAATGTTTAAAAACTTTTTCTTTTAATACAGGTAACGCCACGAAACAAAATTTTGCGGCACCATGCAGATCCAGATAAACGCCCCATTATTATTGACAGCAAGGAGGACCATCAGCCGCCAAGTGCTCAAGAACTGGCCGCCCTAATGGACGAGAGTTATATACAGTCGCTGAACTTGACACGTCAGCAGAATGTTGTGGGTCAGCGTGTGGTTTTGGTGGAAAATGGATCGCTGTTGGTGCACAACATATCTAGAATTGACAGTGGACTGTACACATGCTATGCTTTCAATGTGATGGGCAAAGCCTCGGCCGGTTTGCGGTAACTATATAAATCAACGGTGTAAATAAGTGCAATCAAAATAACATTTATCTCGTTCCAGACTATATATAGACCCCATTGTGTTTTACCGGGTGAAGATCGGCAGTATTCTTTTTGGCACGGCACTAGCTACTGCGTTTCTCTTGCTGACGCTCATTGTGCAGGGATTAAGGCGTTGTCTGTCACATTGGGGAATCTGCGATAAATTTTATTGCTGTGCCAATAGGAACAAAAAATCGCCTAGGGCGAGGCAAATTTATGCAATGCTTGACAGCATAGAGAGTTACAAGAGCCAACAGCTAGAACGATTACGAGAAAACTATGCCCAGCAGGTGCATCGCATTCGTGAGAACTGTGCCCAGCAAGTCGAGTGGATTCAGAGCAGTTATACTACCCAAGCTAAACATGTCCGTGAGTTCCGCGACATGGGCTCCAATCACTTGACCGCACTCAAAGATCAGTACTACGATCAAGTGAAAAAGGTACGGGATTACTCTACCGGCCAGCTGAGCTGGGTGCGCGAGAACTACGTCTTCCAGCGCAATAAGATAAGGAAATTCAGTGCCCATCAGGTGTTGCGTCTACGCGAGGGATATAAATATCAACAGCAGACGCTTAACAAGGTGCTGGAAAACTTGCCAAGCTTTTACTTTGAAAACTGTCGAGGACGGTGCGAAGAGGATATCGTCGAAGGTTTATTAATTTATTATTTTTATTACATAACAAACCGAATCAAGTAATTTTTATCCGCAGATATAGACTGCTACTTTAAAGGCCAAATGGACTTTGCTGGATCCAAGGAGCTTAACATACAAAAAATAAAAGCTCGTTTATCTGCCAATTACTCGGCCAGCAAAGCATCTATCTACTATACTCCGCCAGACGAAGATTTGCTCCGCTGCTCGAACCTCAACCTACAGACCTCACCCATACACATCAACTACATAGATGAGAATCTTGACCAGCAGAAGCAGCTGGAGCACGACTTTAAGATGGATCCGCATCTGCTTCTGTATAACACTCCCCAGCTATATCTGAACCCAGAGGGAGCGTGCAGCAGTGGTCAGGCGGCGGCCATGGCCGCGGTCCTAGCGTTGACACAAGGTGTCAGCATTGAGGACAACAACCAGGAGCAGGAAATGCAGCCCCTGAATGATATTGCTAGTCGATTGGAACTGCCAGAACTGAAGGACTCGAACGATGTAAAGAGCTCTAAATCGTGTCCTGCCATTTACAAGGTGTCTAAAAGGAAAGATGGCAGCACTTTGCATGAGTTGCAGCGCGAAGGCGAGGAACCATACCAAATGTTGCGCCTTAATCCTGTGGAGACAACAACCGTGTTGGAAATGCATAAGGAACGGTCAGAAAAATTGAATATAGTTGTAGATGATGGATCAACGAATGAAACACCCCCATCTGCTTCCAGGTGCGACTCCAACAGCTTAGCTGACAGTTGCAGCAGTATCTGTCGGATTAACGAAATGTCGAACGGTTCATCTTTCTTTTCCTTTACCTTCCCCCCTTCTATCACTGAAAAAACATAGTTTTTTTTTATTTAAAATAGTAGAGTATATAAATTGTAAAAATCTAAGCAAATCAAACGCAACTGGAAATTTAATTAAAACTGATGATTATGATGATAATGGTAAGGAATCAAAAATAGTTACGGTTAGTGTTAATTAGAAACAAAAAATTTTATGAAAATGCTGGATGCTTGAGTTTTATAGAGTAAAGGAGTCATTACTGCGGTATGTCCTGCGGTACTAATAATCTGACGAGAATTTAAAATCGAAGTTTTCCCTCGATTCTATCGCTAAGGTATCAAGACCCATTCCCTTCACAGCCACTCTCCCTCATTCATTGTAGTTGCGTCCAACATAAGAACAATCTAAGTTAAAACATTGTCTTTTTAATATGAACAGACATATTTTTTTTATCCTGGAAAAACGATTTTAAATTACATTTAAAATATAACATTCATACTAAATAATGCCGATACCGCCCTGAATTCTTTTTACCACTTGTAATGCTTTAACGAAAATTTATTGACATGCTTCTTGGTGGAAGAAACATGGAAAAGAACTAGAAATAAAAGTTTGTAGATTCAAAGCCCACAGACTAGGGTTCGGGGCATTTTGGTGCTTTGAGAATTTCAATGGCACATGGATTAGCATCGATTTTGCACACTTCACTCTCCGATTCCACCTCGCTAAGATCATACTCGCATTCACAAGGAAAGCACTCCATTTCGCCACCCTCCTCGCCTTCGGCCTCTTCTCCTTCGCCGTACCAGCTGATCTTCTCCTCGCTCCGGATGCTCGGTACGGTGGAAAGTGAGCATACGGATAACTCGGAATCTGAGATGGCCAATGGCACTGGTTCCTGGGGCAACAAAGAGTAGTCGTACACGGCAATTTCCTGGGCAAACCACAATGTGGCGGCCATAGGCTTTCCGTTGTCATCTTCCTCCTCACCCAACCGCTCCTCATAGTCTTCGTTCTCTTCCATTGCATCCAAGTTTCCAATAGACTAAATTAAAAGGAGAATTTTAATATTCAATGGTATCTTAAATAGTTTTAAATGGACCTTAAAGTTATAGTTGGCCGGCAGGAAATATCCCAACAGCATGTACCGATTATTGAAGCTGAAAACCGAAGGTCCTGTGGGATATAGAGTATCCCAAGTTCCGTGTAGAATGGTGCATCTATCATCGTTCCCAATATATAGTTCAAAAGGACCCATTCGAATGTTGCTATTCCAGGTGGACTTCAATCGGACTGAAAGACAGCATCCATCTGTGCCGCTATTAAAAGTGTAAATACCTACTCCGTGGCGCTGCCCTTTAAACCAGTCGCCCGAGTAGGTATCTCCGTTGTCATAGTTGTAACGTCCCTTTCCATGTTTTAGGTGCTTGCGCCAGTTGCCCTCATATACGGACCCGTCTGGGTAAATAAAGATACCCCGTCCACAACGTTTCCCACAGCGATACTGACCGTAATATCGCGATCCGTCCCTAAAAACATACAGACCAATTCCATGCCGCCGGCCTTTCCGATAGTTTCCATCGTACTGATCCCCATTGGGTAGGATCGCCCATCCGCGTCCATGCCGCTGGCCGGCTGCATTGCGTCCACCTAAGTAAAGCTGAAAATTTTATATGAAAACTGAGATAGAATACGAGCTTTCGACTTTTTTTGTTACTCCGATGTTGGGTCCCTCATCCTCTTCTTCTGGTGCAGACAAATCCTCCTCCGACAGTTCCGTAGACATTTCTCCGACAATTAAAATTTGTTTGAATCTTTTTTTATTCAAGAGGATTGCATAGATATAAAGGATTTTCTTAAATATTGCTTTTGGGAAATATATATGGTGTCAGCAATAAAACTAGATGTGTCCAGTTTTGTATAGACAACAAAACAACGGCTTGCTCTATTAAAAACCAACATAAAGTTCTTATAAAAATTACGTTTTTTCGTAAAAGTAATTGGCCAGCGGGTAGCGAATGGTCAACGCTATTAATGTACACACCGCCTGGAATCCCATCAGCATCTGGGTGACCACTCGCTCGTGGACTGGACCGAAGATGAACAACACAAAGTTGATCAGAGTAAAGTTGTTGGTCCTGACCAATCCGTCTGCTTTCGCGTGCCAGCTGATCAGCCGCAGTTTACGCAGAATGGTGACCATCAACCGTCCCACGATGTTTAGTTCCTCTATACGGAACTCCGTGGTGCTGATATGCAGCAAATCGGTCTTGCTGTCGTACTTAGGGAGCCGATGACGCGGGCAAGGCACAAAATGAAACAACTGCGGCGTGGAATACAGGAAGTTTAGAACCTGTGGCAGGAAGAACAGCAACAGAGTCTTGCTAAAGTGGCCCAGGATACCCACGACGGCAAAGGTCATTCCAGCAAAGTAGCAATATGTGTCACCAACAAACACCTGAGAAGGATATCTATAAAGAAAAGATTTTGTTAAAAACATATAACATTTAATGCCAATTAAATTTCGTTTTAGCAAAATTGTGTAAATATTTGTTAATTGAATATTTATTTATTTGGATGTTTAATTTCCCAGGAAGGAAGAATTCAAATTTATAAAACAGTGTTGGAAAATTATAAAAAATTATCAATCAGCTGGAAGGGACATTCGCGACAGCTGGGCAGCCGGGGGTAAAAAAAAAATATTTTTGGGCGTTAGTCAATCTACCGAAATCCCAAGAGGAAATACAATACATCTAAATCATGAAGAAATAAATGAAAACTGGCAATTTTCGTGTTGCCCTTCCTAGTATACATATGTGTATAACTGGAATGGCCCGGCGTTCCGTAACCAAAAAATTGGTACTGTGGTCGGTGCTGGTGCTTCAACTATGTTTAATTGGATGCATCTGGTTACTGCAAATAGACTACAGCCAGGAGCAGAACACCCTTGGGAAGATCAGCAGCAGGGTACATTTTGTAACCAGCAAAGATGGCGACGTAAATATAACGCCAGGAAAAGGATCCCCTGGTGGTGGCATACATTGTCCGCGAAGGCAAGACAATGTTAACCGCTATGTGGCAGACTTTTATCGGATGAAATCTGCAGTTCTAAATGAAACTAACCCACCGGACTACAACGTGCCAGCATATGTAGATGCAGAGATGGGCCTCACTGAAAATTTATGGTGCTACCGCGAGGGCACCCTCAACGAAAGCCATCAAAGGAATTATGTTGACTATCTGATGGTGTCTCCACATTGCGACTGTGCCAGTGGCTGGCATGGAAGAGACTGCGGACAGCCAGAGATCATATGGAGAGCTCTTATGACTAACAGCGGAGCGAGTAAACGAGGTGGCACCACCCCCATCCAACTAGTTGAAGCCAGCTCCAACTATCTCCACCGGCTATTCTATATGCTGGATCTTGGCGTCTGGGAGCATATCAGTCTGGAGCTCTTAGAGCTGCAAATTCAATCTTTGTTAGAAGTGGTGGATTACTTTCTCATCTACTATGTGAGTAATACTACGAAACAGCGCAATATTAAAAACGTGATGGGCAGCCAAACAAATTATGCCCTTCTACACTGCTCATCGGCAGCAAAGTGCACAAGTTCCTCGGCCTATAGCTATTTTCGAAGACAACTTTGGCTACAGTGCAGTGTTCAGATGCAACCGCACGACCTGTTGCTCCACGGAGACAGCCAAACGGTTTATGCACCAGCAGCTCTAAAGTTTCTCAAATACTATGCTGGGGATGTACTGCCCCTGAGATTCAGAGTGAAGTACAACGTTTATGGACTGTACTGGCAGCATCCAAATAAGACTCTCCTGAGTGGAGTGATAAGTTCCTTGGGGCACTTGCACAGTGTCCACGCGGATATCAATCGATTGCAGCGGCAGGCTGGCAGCACCCTGGGCGATCTAAACCACTACGGCGGATGGAGTTGCGAGCTATGCCTGTCGCCTGATCAAATAATACTACGTCTGCAAAGCTCCCACCAGCCACAGTTGTCCGTAAGACTCCCCAACGATACGCGAAATGCGCACATTGATGCCACCTACATTCAGAAATTAATTGGAAATGGAGTACATTTGGATAGCTTTACACAGTTGCTTCGACTGCGAGAACAAAGTGAGAAGTACTTTGCCCCAAAGGAGGCACTTCAGCACAGCAGTCGGTATGGGCAACTTTTAGTGAATCTCTACGATGTAGATGTACTGGAGGATCTTCAGGATGAAGACTAACTCTATCCGAGGTCTAACAGGGGCAAAACTTTACTTTTTTCTACAAACTACCATATAAGAAATTATCCGGGAGTCATATCTGTATCTCTTTGAATTAGTTATAGTTTAAACCGATTTATGTAGTTTTTAAGTAAAAATTCAAAGTTTGTCACTGCATAAGTTGGGTGTAGCACTGGGTTATATAATCTTCGTTTGAAACCGGCAATTTAATTATTCGCTTGCCCTTCTCCCTTTTTTGAGCAACCAAAAACCAAATATGCTAATTTATCAGACAGGACAAGCAGACCGTGAAATCTGTGATAAAAAACTACGAAATATGCAAAAAATGTATCAACTAGAAGAGAATTATTCTCAAAATGTAAAATTTCTTTTGAAAAGAATTTATAATTACTTTAAAGAGTAAGCTTTTCAACTTTACTTTAATGTAATTTAAACGAATACAGGAAAGCTAATTTAATTTAAATGTACCAATTAATAAATAATTCTTAAATTAAAATCGTACAACAATTTTTTAACTGGCCAGATCAAATCAATCAATATTTTGAAACAAACAAAAATATATATAATAAAAAACCCGAACTCACTTGTTGAACTTCCAAAGCGCCAAGGTAGTCGCAAGGAACGGTAGCATAAGGTAGATGGAAAAAATATGCGAGTCTACTTGATGACCCAGGTATAGTTCTATGCAGTTAAAAACCAGAATCGACCCAGCAATTATTAAAGACTGGCCTACTTCCAGACCATTAATGCCCGCCAAAATGTTAATTGCATTTGTGCAAAAAACAGCTAGCATGCCCATAAAGATGTAGTACAGCACGCCTGGAATGAAATAAGTCGTGTAAAAATGTTTTTTTGTTTTTTTAACTATTTAGTTATCTAATACCTATGTTCAGTGAGGTTCCAAAAAGGTCCCTAGCAAAGTTCGGCATAATAATTGTTGTTGAATTGTAGTTAACATAGTACACCATAAGCAAAGGAAGCGTTGCAATCGTTGGCAGCAACAACTTGTGGCGCCACCGCAAATCCAAAACGTCGTCGGCAAAGCCTAGGAAGATCATACAGCAAATGGATAGCAAGGCGGCAATCAATTCTACAAACTGTCCCAATAATAAATGATAACGCAACCTTAACAAATTGTATCTGAAGACCTACCTTGTCGTGTGGAAAAGTGTCGGGCTTTCCCCCAGTAACTGCATCCGTGGCAGCCGCCTCATCGAAGGCAAAAGGAATAGGGATGAAAAGAAAAAGTGAGACGAGATACACGCATCCAATGAGCACGCCAAAGGATTCAGGACTGCGGAAGAGATACGATCTTAATATAAAGCAATCAATAGCCAATGAAGTAACTTACACCTGTGGTTTGTCCTTTTTGCAGAGATCGCTGCCAAATAGGTTCGCCTTGATGAACATATCCCGGAAGCGAGGTATCATCCGAACCGCCATGTAGTAAGCAGCTCCCGACACAGCAGCATTGATTGCTATAGCTGCTCCGGACATAATTCCTTTTAAATATGTGCCGATAACCTGCGCTAATTTAATTAGTTTTAAATACTTTTCCTAACAAACCGGCGTCCTGGTACTTAAGTCATCTGGTAGAACTAAATATTTATAGAAAAATAAATATTTTTAATGGGGAATTTAGCAGAAAACTAGTTTTCTAGTTTTTGAAAAATAAATTAAACCTGACGGGGTACACGCAATTTAATGAGCAGACGAAGCGTACGCTGATAACAACACCAGCTGTTCTGAACCACGGATGGCAGTGTTGGTAAGTGCGTCAATAAAAATACTGACATGACTTAAACTTCGGCTTTTTATTAAAATTTATATTTTTAATTTATTATTATTATTTACGATACATCGGTATAACAATATTTTAATACAAATAACGAAATGATATTCAGCGGTTTTGAGTGTAATTAGGTAGTTGGCTACCTTTCTCGAAAAAATGCAAAAGCCTTCTGCAGCTCCGCCTTGGATTTGCAAGCTTCTACCTGCGGCAGCAACTCCACTATATTAAGTAGATAAATCTGAAGCTGTTGACGCCGTTCCTCTACAAACACCAAATTCATGTTGCCGAAATGTTTTTTTGGGGGAAACTCCACTGAATTCACCACTGGATGAGTTCTCAACAACGATTTGTGAAGCTTATCAAATTCACTGTAGCGACGGTAGAGTGTCCAGTGATCTAGTCGTTCCCGCATAGTAATGTGGATTTCATAAGCGTAATGAGACCGGGAACGTTGGCCTTTTTCTAGCTTCACTTGAGGAATGGTGATCAGAAAGTTGGAGGTCAGCGAGGAACTGGGATCAATACCAGTCATTTCAAATTGCTTCGTGAGTCGTCGAATAAGCAGACGGTTTTGCAAACTCAGATCTGCTACACGAGTTTCCAGAAGGGCGCATCTCTCAGAAAGAACGTTAACTTGCTCCTCCAGATCCGTCTGCTCTTGTCTGTTGTTTGGCTGCCAATTAGGCGATGAGGACTTGCTCCACTGAGAGGAAGTATCACTGTGGTCTTCGTACAGTTCGGTCTCGCCAGCAACGTGGATCTCTTCAATAGGTTCAATCTCTGCGTTTTGATCAATAGGTTCAGCGGGTTCCGACGAATCAAAACGACGATGTAATGGGTTATTACGCTGCTCATCTAAAACATCTTTGGAAAGCAATTGTGGAATTTGGATGGAGTCAATAGGGGTTAAGTCACCTAGCAAATCCAATGTGGAGCTAGGTTCCTCAATGTGACGTTCGATAGCGACAACAGGCCGATTTTTATGTCGCGCTACCACAGGTACCGGGTTTGGGGCATATATAACAGGCTCTTCCTTGAGTACAACAGCTCGCGCTGATCTTCGGGGCGCGTTTAAATCCGTCGTGTCCACATTAAGAGAAAAAAAGACATCTTTAAGAGATTCGATAATCTTTGGGAGCTGTTTGGCCACCTCCTCGTTAAGCAACAGCGACCAAGGAGTGTAAAACTTGTGCAGCTGCTCTTCGTCGCTTAACCAAGTCAGGACATGGCTGTAAAGGCGTTTTTCATTTAGACTGGCTCGAACAAACGCTCGTCCCCGGCCAACGTTTGTCCATATTTGTTTCAGATCCAAGTATCTTTGACGTTCATGGGGCGTTAAGTGTGACTGGCAAAAGTCCCAGAAGGTTGTCTCGTTGTTATTGCAGGTAATACTCGAATTTCCAGATACTATCTCATGCATGTTTTGGATGAAACTAGCAGCACTAAAAGTTGTTCCATTTGTAGACTGTCTCAATCCATAGCCAAGAAGCTCTTCAAGGGAATCACATAGCTCTTGTGCGGAATCATTTTGCTCTGTAACAAGTTCCTTTCCCCTGAAATTGTTCGATAATTGGTGCGCACTTTCCTGAAAGCGACGGAAAATGTCCTCGCGACGCTGACCAAAAGTGCTGCCACCCAGTTGGGTGCGTATTCTCCTTACAGAATCTGTTGCCATTACTCCGTCCCCAGGTATTGACATATTTTTCAAGTTCTAATTAACTATTAAATATTAACTATTGCAATATTTTCATTTTGACAACAATACTCAGATTGAGTGTGACCATATGCCAATTAAGATTTTTCCCCAAAATGCATTTGGTCAGCCCTGGAAAAAAAATACATTTTTATCCCAAAGGCTAGTACTCAGTTCAGTTCAGCTCACTATGGGAGATCGAAATAAAATACCATAAATTTACATGGGGATGCCAACCGACACCAAAGAAAGTTTTACAGGTCCCTCGCGAAGAGATTAAAAATTTGAATCTTTTGGCAACATAATACGACCTTCTACCAAATTTCATAAGGATCGTCCGATTATATCCTATAGCTGTCAAACAACTGAACAATCAAAAATAACAGTGCTGTTGGAGGCGACATATAAAACTTGTGACGATGTAAAATTGACATTTTTATTAACAGTGGCGGAAAAGGCCCAGTGGGCAAAATTTTTTCAGGGTACAGCCCAGAAAATTTGACAAAAAATCTTAAAAATATTTTGTTCCCAGATTTTGATGCAGATTTATGGAGAATCGATCGACAAATCGTTTAAAGTATTCCGCTCAAGAATCGGATGAATATTTCCTAAGATATGGCCTACACGGTGGGGCAAAAGGGGCCCCCCATGCATTCTGCACATTTTGAAGGGGACAGCCCAGAAAATTTGACAAAAAATCTTAAAAATATTTTGTTCCCAGATTTTGATGCAGATTTATGGAGAATCGATAGACAAATCGTTTAAGGTATTCCGTTCAAGAATCGGATGAATATTTCCTAAGATATGGCCTACACGGTGGGGCAAAAGGGGCCCCCCATGCATTCTGCACATTTTGAAGGGGACAGCCCAGAAAATTTGACAAAAAATCTTAAAAATATTTTGTTCCCAGATTTTGATGCAGATTTATGGAGAATCGATAGACAAATCGTTTAAGGTATTCCGTTCAAGAATCGGATGAATATTTCCTAAGATATGGCCTACACGGTGGGGCAAAAGTGGTCATATGGGGCTCCCCAGCATTTTGCACATTTTGAAGGGGACAGCCCAGAAAATTTGACAAAAATCTTTAAAATATTTTGTTCCCAGATTTTGATGCAGATTTATGGAGAATCGATCCACAAATCGTTTAAGGTATTCCGTTCAAGAATCGGATGAATATTTCCTAAGATATGGCCTTCGCAGTGGGTCATGTGGGGCTTTTGCACATTTTGAAGGGGACAGCCCAGAAAATTTGACAAAAAATCTTAAAAATATTTTTGTTTCCAGATTTTGATGCAGATTTATGGAGAATCGATTCCCCATGCATTTTGCACATTTTGAAGGGGACAGCCCAGAAAATTTGACAAAAATCTTAAAAATATTTTGTTCCCAGATTTTGATGCAGATTTATGGAGAATCGATCCACAAATCGTTTAAGGTATTCCGTTCAAGAATCGGATGAATATTTCCTAAGATATGGCCTTCATGCATTTTGTTTTGAAGGGGCAGATAAAATCTTAAATTTTTTATTTTGATGCAATTTATGGGGGCTCCACAAATGTTTAAGGTATTCCTTTTAAAAATGGAAAAAAATTTTTTAAAAAAATTTTTTGCATTTTGCACATTTTGAAGGGGACAGCCCAGAAAATTTGACAAAATATCTTAAAAATATTTTGTTCCCAGATTTTGATGCAGATTTATGGAGAATCGATCCACAAATCGTTTAAGGTATTCCGTTCAAGAATCGGATGAATATTTCCTAAGATATGGCCTTCGCAGTGGGTCATATGGGGCTCCCCATGCATTTTGCACATTTTGAAGGGGACAGCCCAGAAAATTTGACAAAAAATCTTAAAAATATTTTGTTCCCAGATTTTGATGCAGATTTATGGAGAATCGATCCACAAATCGTTTAAGGTATTCCGTTCAAGAATCGGATGAATATTTCCTAAGATATGGCCTTCGCAGTGGGTCATATGGGGCTCCCCATGCATTTTGCACATTTTGAAGGGGACAGCCCAGAAAATTTGACAAAAAATCTTTAAAATATTTTGTTCTCAGATTTTGATGCAGATTTATGGAGAATCGATCCACAAATCGTTTAAGGTATTCCGTTCAAGAATCGGATGAATATTTCCTAAGATATGGCCTTCGCAGTGGGTCATATGGGGCTCCCCATGCATTTTGCACATTTTGAAGGGGACAGCCCAGAAAATTTGACAAAAATCTTTAAAATATTTTATTCCCAGATTTTGATGCAGATTTATGGAGAATCGATCCACAAATCGTTTAAGGTATTCCGTTCAAGAATCGGATGAATATTTCCTAAGATATGGTTTTGGACAAATCTTTTCATTTGATGCAGATTTGTGGATCGATACAAATGTTAGTTTGGGCTCCCCATGCATTCTGCACATTTTGAAGGGGACAGCCCAGAAAATTTGACAAAAAATCTTTAAAATATTTTGTTCCCAGATTTTGATGCAGATTTATGGAGAATCGATCCACAAATCGTTTAAGGTATTCCGTTCAAGAATCGGATGAATATTTCCTAAGATATGGCCTTCGCAGTGGGTCATATGGGGCTCCACATGCATTTTGCACATTTTGAAGGGGACAGCCCAGAAAATTTGACAAAAAATCTTTAAAATATTTTGTTCCCAGATTTTGATGCAGATTTATGGAGAATCGATCCACAAATCGTTTAAGGTATTCCGTTCAAGAATCGGATGAATATTTCCTAAGATATGGCCGGGTTTTTCAAGGGGACATGCCATAAAATTTGGCAATTTAAAATGATTTGTGATTGAATTTGATTTTGACCCAGTTTTTTCTATTTCTTAATGCAGTGGGTCATATGGGGCTCCCCATGCATTTTGCACATTTTGAAGGGGAAGCCCAGAAAATTTGACAAAAAATCTTTAAAATATTTTATTCTCAGATTTTGATGCAGATTTGTGGAGAATCGATCCACAAATCGTTTAAGGTATTCCTTTCAAGAATCGGATGAATATTTAAGATATTAGGTTTTTTGGGTTATATGGGGCTCCCCATGCATTTTGCACATTTTGAAGGGCACAGCCCAGAAAATTTGACAAAAAATCTTAAAAATATTTTGTTCCCAGATTTTGATGCAGATTTATGGAGAATCGATCCACAAATCGTTTAAGGTATTCCGTTCAAGAATGCCATAAAATGGCATTGAAATGATTTGTGATTGATTTTGATTTTGACCCAGTTTTCTATTTCTTAATCAGCTCCTTAGCGGCGAAATACATGAACAAAACGATTTCGCTAGCGGATTTTCGTCAACTCAGTACTAGGCTTTAAATGTAAAGTTAAATGTCACAAAAAGATGTATGTAAAAATACAACATGATATCGATATCGATATATTGATATTTTAAAAAGCAACCCTGCAGCTCGGCGCAAAAGCGGATAAAAAAACACAAAAAACTGTCATAAAACCTCGGAAAACAATTAGAAATTAAATAAACGTCAAGAAAGGAGTGGAAGCTAAAATTGTACATTGAGCTGGAGGTGTTAAACGTGCAAAATAGTAAGTAATCGACATGGGAAAGAAGTTTTGTGTTTTCTTTTGTGTCTGCGTTCGCCGTCTGTGACTTCGCTTCATTGACTTTTCGAACGACTGCGAGTCGTAGAGCAAAAATATGCCTATAATTTGGATTTATAAAATGTGGATGGTTCTCATTTAATGCATTTATTCATAAAAGTTGTCAGCATATATGTACATACATATCATGTCCCCGCGATGTGCCAGAGTCAGAAGTTATAAAAAAATGTCCACGCCGTGGCTGAAGTCCTCCCCTCTTTCGTAGTATGATTGTGCTCCTTGCGCAGCAGCTGCGTGCAAAAAAAAAGGTGAATGTAGAAAACGATGCTACAAAGAGAACAAGGAGCAAGCGCCAGTTTTCAAGGAATGAAATCCCTGATAAAATTAGTATTTATTGACGTAGTATTTGGCATAGTACATACAACTTTAACACATAAACCATATCGGTTTAATTTTAATTTTAATTTTATTTGCCACGAAGCCTAAGGTATTTAATAATCGTATTTTCGTTTCATTTTATTCCAGTCGGAGACTAGCCCAAAAGGAATACTCCACAAATGATGTTTGAAGAATTCACAAAACATATCCTATAAATGTGTTTACGACTCTGATAAACCAAACAGTTAGCTGAGAGTATGAATCCGGCCGAGCTTCGAATGATGTGGATGAGCAGCCAGTATAATTCTGAGCGCATTACACTAGAAGATGCGGCTACTCTGCTGGGTCATCCCAATGTTGGACTCTCAGTCATGGAGGATATCTCCGCCCACCAACCAACTTTGGTGAGTCATTTTTTGATTAATCAAAATGTGAGCCTCAGAACTCTATATTTGGAGAGTCCTCGAAGTGGCAAGCAAACCCAAATTCTGTAGGTTTACAAATTTACTCTTTGAGGATTGGTAAAGCTTTCAAAATTCCCTTTTTTCTCTTAGTTCAACAAATTTGAATTCGCTTACTTATTTATTCTACTTTCTTTTCTATGATTTATGTATTGGTTACAATTTAAAACGACACATAAACACACATCCAATTTGAAACAACCTCCAACCAACCTCCTACAAAAGGAAATGAATCCAATGATGAGCCTGGTGGGGGGGGATTTCACTGGTCAGGCAGCGGCAGCAGCGGCGGCCCTCGGCGTTCAGCCAGGTACCCTAATAGCAACCAATTCAAACAACCTATATGGATTTGCGCACATGGGCGGCCTGCAGCATCAATTGCTCCAGCAGACGGCGGCGGCGGCTGTTTTTCAAAACTATGCTGAAGTGATGGATAATGAGGTGGGCATGTCCACGGACGCAGCTGGATCAGCGCTTATGAACGTGGGTGTAGGAGTAGATGTGGGTGTGGGCGACTCGATCGTGGATGATGAGGATCCCCAAGTGTATGGCCAGATCGAGGATGCCTATGACGATGGAGGTTCTGAGCTGGAGCCCAAGCAGGAAATCATCAACATTGATGAATTCGTCATGGACAATAATTCATACGATGGCACCGATTTTATGACTTCTTCCGACAAGGACATCTCGCAGTCATCCTCGTCTTGCATGACACAAATGCCCAGTGGATTGGGTGTGCCGGGAGCGGAGCATGATTTGCTAGTTCCACTGGCCGATGGCCTATTGCATCACAAGTTGCTAGGTACCACCTTATCCCCGGCGATGGGTACTCTTAATGGCAATACTTTTGGCAACATAATGGTTAGTTCGGAAGCATCCAGTGTGAACACAATTAAGCAAATGCAGCGAAACTTCACGTTAGCCAAAGGTGGCCCGGTCCCGAGCACCACTACAAGCAGCTCTGGTGGCAGCTCTAGCAATGTAGCATTGCCATCCACATCCTCCTCGTTGCGCACCCAACGGAAGACCAGAAAGATCGAGCCAGTTAATAGGCCAGGTCTGGTGCTAAAGACACCCATCGCGTACAAGGGCAACATAGACCCATCGGTGATCCCTATCCAGAAAGACGGAATGGGTAAGGTTTCTCCAGCAAAGGGTGGGTCGATTTCAGTTAAATGCTAAAATAACGAAATTTTTAAGTGTTGAAAATGAAAGTTATTTAAAAAAAAACACTATTTAATAACAACTATTTGTACTCAATTTTCAATGTTATAAAAAAGGGTTTTGTTAAATGTTTTTAAGAAAATTTAAATGTTAATGTAACTTATATAAATTAACTCCATTTTACCCGAATTATTTGTGTTTCTCGATAAGATTTTGTTATTATTCAAATCGACTCACCTAAGTTTAAGTTTAAATAATGTGTTAGTGTTTGTTAACATTTGTGTTTGAGTTTAAAGAATTTGGGTTTGTATGGCAGGGTAATACTAGAATAACATTTTAATTAAATTAATAGTTTATCGAAAATATACTTATAATTCAATCTTATTTTTTCACAGCGGTATGTAAGCGATGCGGTGCTATTGGAGTAAAGCACACGTTCTACACGAAGTCACGACGCTTTTGCAGCATGGCATGTGCCCGAGGGGAGCTTTACTCCCTGGTTCTCAACAGCAAGGGTGAAGCCGACCAAATGACGGGGAATTCTCCAGTTCCCGGAAATAACCTGGACTCAAGCGAAGATGTATTGGCAAGCGATCAACAGCAAGTTTCGTCCGATATCGAACTGGATCTTCAAGCTGCGCACATAAAGAACGCCAATTATAGGTTCCGCATTACGGACCAGTCGAAAATTACTCAATTAAATAGTTTCGGAGAGCCAATGTCCCTAGGCAGTGATGCAGCTGCCAATAATATTCAAATGTCGGCCGTGGAAACAATATCCGCTTTAAATGGATCGGTGGGTGAAGATGTCGGTCAAGGCGGACTAGAGGGTAGTGGAGCAGCCCATCCGAATACCTATCTCACAGCAGCTCCGACGCCAAAGGCTCTGCGACTATTTAAAGACGTTTACCCGCAGGTATGTTCGAAACACCAAAATGTATTCAGAGTATATATTACTGATACTCTTGCCAATAGGATGACCTTCCTCAAATACCCAAATACGAGCGGCTTCCGGTTCCATGTCCGCAAATGGAAAAGATCCTTAGCATACGGAGGCGAATGTACGATCCCACACACTCTTATGATTGGCTGCCACGCTTGAGCAAGGAGAACTTCAATGCTGCCCCAGTAACATGCTTCCCCATGCACCTGGATGCGAGGTTTGGGACAACTTGGGTGTGGGCATGAAGGTGGAAGTAGAGAACACTGATTGCGACAGCATTGAAGTGATCCAACCTGGCCAGACGCCGACTTCTTTTTGGGTGGCAACCATCTTGGAAATAAAAGGCTATAAGGTGAACTCAATTTATAACCATTTTTTTTAATATTAATTATAATTTGACTTTTTTTCGTTTATCTTAGGCTTTAATGAGCTATGAGGGATTTGACACAGACTCTCATGACTTTTGGGTAAATTTATGTAACGCTGAGGTTCACTCGGTGGGATGGTGCGCCACAAGGGGAAAACCGCTTATTCCGCCGCGTACCATCGAACACAAGTACAAGGACTGGAAGGACTTCCTCGTGGGCCGTCTTTCGGGCGCCCGAACTCTGCCTTCCAACTTCTATAACAAGATCAACGATAGTCTGCAGTCACGCTTTCGATTGGGGCTCAATCTTGAGTGCGTCGACAAAGATCGTATTTCCCAAGTACGCCTAGCCACTGTCACCAAAATCGTAGGAAAACGCCTCTTTCTGCGATACTTTGACTCGGATGACGGTTTCTGGTGCCACGAGGACTCGCCAATTATACACCCTGTGGGTTGGGCTACCACAGTGGGCCACAATTTAGCTGCGCCCCAGGACTACTTGGAAAGAATGCTAGGTAAGGTGAACAGATAGTTTTGAGTTGATGGTTAGTTAGTTAGTTTCTTCCCAACGCTCTTTAGCTGGTCGTGAGGCAATGATCGAGGTGCACGAAGATGACGCCACGATCGAGCTGTTTAAAATGAACTTTACATTTGATGAGTACTTCTTGGATGGAAAGACCAATGGCTTTGTAGAGGGCATGAAAATAGAGGCCGTGGATCCCCTCAACCTCTCTTCCATTTGCCCGGCCACGGTTATGGCGGTTCTGAAATTTGGATATATGATGATTCGTATTGATTCCTATCAGCCGGATGCCTCAGGGTCGGATTGGTGAGCTTTTATTAGCAAAAACCCGTAATAGAACAATTATTTTATATTTTTGTATACTTCAGGTTCTGCTATCATGAGAAAAGTCCGTGCATTTTTCCGGCAGGTTTTTGTTCTGCAAACAATATAACTGTTACACCACCAAACGGCTACGATTCCCGAACGTTCACCTGGGAGGGTTACCTGCGCGACACCGGAGCCCTTGCCGCTGGCCAACATTTGTTCCATCGAGTAGTACCAGACCACGGTTTCGAAATGGGAATGAGCTTGGAGTGCGCTGACCTAATGGACCCTCGACTTGTTTGCGTGGCTACCGTTGCGCGTGTAGTAGGCAGACTTCTTAAAGTCCATTTTGACGGCTGGACGGACGAATATGATCAGTGGCTGGATTGTGAATCGGCGGATATTTACCCTGTGGGATGGTGCGTTTTAGTTGGCCATAAACTAGAAGGACCACCGCGAGTGGCACAGCAGCAGGCGCCGAAAGCTGCGCCAAAGCCCAAGGTTCCACGAAAGCGAAAGACAAAAAAAGGGGCTGCCGGCGGCAAGCACACAAACGAAAATAACACACCATCAGGTAATCATGCTTGAATAAACTTTATTAAGCTGAAATATTAACTAAGTTAAGTTAACTTTTCAGTAAAACCGCGTACAATCGCACTAAAAACCACACCGCACTTGCCTAAGTTGAGCATTAAATTGGAGCTGAAGCCAGAGCATCACAATGCTGCCTTTTACGAGAACAATCAACACGAAGAGGAGGCCGAAGAAGAAGATGCAGATGGGGATGTGGACGGCGATGGCGATGGCGACGGTAGCAACAGCCACATTTCCGAACAGTCAACCACGCAATCTTCCAGTGATCAGGTAGCCGGATCGAGCAGTGGATCTACCTCGATGCTTAACATAGCAACGAGCAACAATAAAATGGTAAAAAAATCCTCTACTACTAAATCACCTGCACCACCAATTGTGGGCCGCAAAGCCACAAGCTATATTGCGGTGAGTACTTAGCGGAATAATAGTGCGTATAGTCATCTACTCATCCAGCCAGCCAATTTGCTTGTTTTACCGACTGTCATACTGCCAGCTGATTATCCTGTTTAAACCGATACCGGTTTCTAGTCTAGGTTTATTTCTAATCAGATAAATCCCCTAATTACTCAAATGATCCCGAATGCGCTTTTTTATATGTACATATATAAGTTGATTTTACGCACTCTTATTTTTAGTACTGAAAACCTTTCAAGGACCGATAATTCTTTCATCCATTGATTCCCAAATAACCCAATTGAAACTCAAATATGCCTTTAAATAAAACATAAAATTAATTTTATAAAATTCCCAAATTTCAGAACTCATCCGCGACGAGTAACAAATACATTCCTCGCTTAGCCGATATAGATTCAAGTGAGATGCAGGTGGAATTAATGCCAGAATTATGGAACGTGTACGATGTGTCCCAGTTCTTAAGGGTCAACGACTGCACCGCTCACTGTGACACTTTTAGCAGGAACAAGATCGATGGGAAACGGTTACTGCAATTGACCAAGGACGATATAATACCTCTGTTGGGAATGAAAGTTGGCCCTGCCCTTAAAATCTCAGATCTTATTGCCCAACTCAAGTGTAAAGTCAATCCAGGCAAGGCCAGATCGCACAAGACCAATAAGTCGCCGTTCTTATAGTGCGCGGATTTCAGTTATTTCAAAGCGAAGCGAAAAATATCACCGATAGAAATATATAATTTTAAAAGATATATATAAGAAGTATATATATGATGTAAGCATATTGAAGTATTTTGTTAGCACGGGAAGTCAAACACAATCGTTGCCTAGAGTGGGTTTAAACACCCATTAAACAATTATATAACTAACTCAAGTCTCAAGCGCGTTATTTCAGATCGATTATATCGTTTATAATATAGAATAGCATAGTCGATAGTCGATAGTCGGTACTCTCATTTTATATAAATCAGAGTTCTATATCAATTGTATAGCAAACGTTGAATTGAGGAAAAAAATACATTTTTTACTACACGCATATTTTGTATAATATTGAAAATAAAATGGCAACATTCAATCAATATATTTACATAGATATATATGCGGAATGCATAAGATTGTTAATGTACATAAACACCGTCAATGACGTTGCCCCTCACGAATGTCATATTTTAAATAGAATAACAAAAAAAAAACCAGTAACCAGTCAAAAAAATAAGGCAGCTGCCATTAGTGAACGTATCGTTAGTCTCTAGTCCGTAACATTATATAAAATAATGATCAGCCAACGGACTCTTCGATATATTGCATCTTTTTTAAATAAAAAGATTGCAGAGCTACTAATTTTGAAATATATTCCTTTGAATACAAACAAAATAAAAATGATGTAATTAGATAACTTTAAGATACCACTCGATGTCAGAATACTTAAAATATCAGAATTAAAAATTGCAAGTATTGAAAGAAGTTCGTCTTTCAAAATAAAACTATGGCTTTTCCTAAACAGCATTTCCAAAAGCGAATTTTTTAAAATAGTTTTAGGTTGCTATATTTTATGATTATTGATACATTTTATGGTATACAGACTAAATTCTTAAAAATAGGTTTACACTGTGTTTGGTGGCTAAATATTTATACTAGATTTTTGTTTTGATTTAACATTTTAACACGCACACCGAATGACAAACATGAGTGAAGATTTTTCATTTTTTTTTTTTTAAGTATAACCACCAATAAATGAACTTGTTGATCAAATCTGAAGTGGGTGCGAGTATATAAATGTTGGAAAAAATTGTTGCCATAACCGATAGATCAAAGATAAATTAAAAGAAAGAGTTAACACAAGTAGAAAAAAGACCATTTACAGAACCACGTTGGGGTTTGCTTATATACAGTGCTTGTGTCTAGTTCTTAATTAAATCTAAAAGGATTTTAGTTGCATATTTTTGAATATTTTATACTTAAAACTAGCTTTAAAGTTGAGGCGCTACTTCTCGTTGAACACAAAGAAGTCCTGCTTTTAAAAGGATTTTCCAATTTTCATCTTATGTGTGCAAGTTTTATCTAAAAAGGCCTCAATAACAACTTAATGTAATAAAATACTAACATTTACAGAGTGTTTTGTTTTAAATAACGCCAAAAATGAACATACAAGAGCTCTTTCAAAATATTTCAATTAGAATTAAGCTGAACGAGGATTGAAGGTTTACACCTAGTTTCCGGTTTGTAGCTGGTCCTATTTTGATGAATTTCCTTGAGTTTAATAAAATATATATGGTCTGTATAGACCTTTTATTAAAATCAAATTGGAAACGGATCCTAATCTTGTGTTATCCGAGCTCAGTAACGTTTTTGTCTTTGCGTTAATTTTTGTTGTTTAAATTGAATTTAAAATAAATACTAAAGTTCTAGCAGGGCTAAATAACATTTACACAGCTTCCAACTGTGCAGAAGGCGGACTCTCTTCCGATCGATCCCCGCTGGGTCGTCTTTTCTTCACGGGAGGAATCCCCGTTTGCGTTTCGGTTTCGATTTTAGATGCAGGGATGCAGCTGGCACGCTTATGCCCCGGACTGCTGTTGCCAGTTGCCACGATTTCTCGATTATTTCCACTGGTTATTTCGGTGACTATATGAGCTTCTAACGAGGGCGGCAGCAACGGCGACAAGGGAACGGCATTCAGATCGCAAGCTTCCTCTGCTTCATCAACATCATCATCATCATAATTCTCTACCATATTTCCAAAAAGGTCTTGGTTTGTTTTGTTAGCTCTAGCCTCATCCTCATCCTCGTCGTCATCGTCGCAGTAGTCATTGTCCCAGAAAACCTGAGCTCCCGGGAACACATACGAATAGTTATTGGTGTGCGAGTAGAAAGTTCCCGGCTGGAGACGTTCTGCTGCGGTCTGACGTTTTCCCCGTTGCTGAGGCGTTGGCGTTAAACTTGGCGCTACCCTCTTAGTTTCTTGCACGAGATTGCTGGGACGCACATTGTAGCTAGAGGAAGCCTCGTTGTCGCACTGTTCAATCCCACTGTCTTTGGAGGAATCGATAGATAGATGCCGATAGCTTTCCACAGTGCTTTGCTGCGTTCCTCCTGCCAACCGATCACAACAAAGTGCTGTTGTTTCGTTTAACTCTACCAGTATGTCGGTTTTAATTCTCTCAATAGCGGCCGCTTCGGCGGCGCTGGAACGCTTTCCTCTTGTAAATATGGAAGATTCGAACCCAGAGTCAGAGCAGGTTCCAGCAGAGCCCAGAATATAATCGGTAGATCCATTAGACTTCACGGATTGTGTATCTGTATCTATTTGCAATTTACTATCGCTCTCAGAGCTGGAGTGTCGATAGTGGTGATGATAGTTGTGATAGTGCTCCGTTGGTATCAGCTCCTTGCTTTCTTCGAGAACGGTTTCATCGCAGCACAGTTTCCGCCAGCAATCCTCCGAATCTTCTGAGAGACGGTGACAAATCTGATTGATAATTACATCGGAGTCGCCCAGCAGCTCCACGTCGAACTTAAGGTGGTGAAGCTGTTCCCGGTTGATTAATATCTGCGGCACATTCGCTGGAATGCTACTGGGGATGTGGGCCACGGGTCGGACTTTAAGTGAAGAACCAATCACAATAAGTAGGTCGCACACATCCTTATCGGTGGCCATAACCGTATGGTACTCATCCGGAAGACCTAAGCAAGTAAAATAAAACCAATCAATGAGAGAGTCCGAATAATGCAATTATTAAGAACTAGAATCACAGAAGCCTCCAACATTTTTCTCAAAATGATTGTAAACTGTGTTTTTAAAAGCTTAACATACAATATTTGAGAGCGTTTACAAGATTCAGTCTAGTAGTGAGCTTGAAAAGTTTGATCAAAATTTCTGATAGACGGTAAGGCGCAATGTTTTTTGAGAAAACCCCCAAAAGAATACAAATATTCCAAATAACTGATATTTACCCTCTCCAAAGAAAACGATGTCCGGCTTCATAATACCGTTCTCGACAAGCTGGCGCAGCTCTTCCTCGGTGACGGCCACAGAGGCATCCACGCTTTGCTTTTTGTTTGGCTGGCACTGGGGACATACAGGTATGCGCTGGGCAAATATGTCCGCCCGCAGAGCGTCGGCATTGCACTTGAACCTGCACTTGGTGCACGAGGCTGTTGAGAACGAGCCGTGGCATTCGATGACCCTTTGAATGCCGGCTACTCTCTCCAAAGTGTCGATGTTCTGTGTATAGTTGCGCAGCAGCTTTCCTTTTGTCTCCAGCATTTTGATGAACCGATGGCATGGAGAAGGTTGAAATTCTCCAGGATATATCTCGCGAGCGAATTTGTAGAAGGGCCGGGGATCCCTCTTAAAATAATTGATATCAAACATGGCTTGCGGATCGGGTAGATCCGGGAAATCATGAGCCAATCTGGCGTATATACCATTCGTGGAACGAAAGTCGGGAATGCCGCAGGATACAGATACGCCCGCTCCTGTGAGCACGATGATTTTTTCCGATTTCTTAACCAAATCTATAACATCGTCGAAGGTATTGACATTTGTAAGTTTATTCCGGCGCTTTGGCTCGTTCAACAGGTGGACCAGGTAGTCCCACAGCACTGAGTCATCTGTGTCCGCAGCTAGTCCTGTGGCAAAGTGTGGTATGATGCTGGCTATCACCTGACGGGGTACCCTTCCGGTTAAAAATTCTCTCTGAAGCCAACGAAGTTTCCAATCGCTAGGTGAGGCGGATGACGAACAATCTGAGCTAGAGTCCTCGTTAGAATCCCCCTCTCCGTCGTCTCCATCGTATATGTCCTCATCCTCTTCATCCTCCTCTTCCTCTTCGCCTTCCGAGTTGGTGACAACAACTCCACCAGATTTAAGGGGGGATGGATTTTTCGGCATATCTTCCGAAATGGCGCCAATTTGGTCTTGTTCTTCTCTGACGGCCAATGTTTTTGTTTTGATTTCAGCATTTGCTTTGCCTGGTACTTCGCTTCTTGTTGCTGTTGGCGCAAGTGTTGTTTCTGTCGCCGTTGCTACGACCGCCGATGTGGACGTTGTTTCCAGAATTTCGGCGCCAAAATCAAAATCTCTGGGTGGAAAAAAGTCTGGGTTACTTTGCCTCTGTACCTCGGCAATGTCGCCTAAATCTTTGGCATTCATGTGGCCCAGGCGAATTTCCTCGTAATTTTCCATCATTTTCCCAACGCGCACGCACACACCACCCTATTAAACACACTCGCAAAGGAAAATCTCTTGACTTGCGCTGTTGCTGGCTTTGCTTCCTCTTCTTGCTCTCTCCGCTTTGCGCTCTCGCGCCGTCCGTTTTCACCGCTCCTTCGTTGATACACACAAAAATTTTTACGTCGTCAGCTTCGCACCCATTTGGCTCAATTGAAAAATATCTTTGGAAACCTTTGGGGGCGAATTTCTTCAGCAAAAAAAGCCTCTTTCACTAATACGCGATAGTAGATAATTTTAAAAAAAATTTCACTTCATTTGATTACGACTTTTTCGTAAATTTCAAGCGTACTTTCTGGAAAATTTTCCGATGAAAAAATCCACACGAAGCTGCGCCTGTGTGTGTAAAAAAAATTTCTTGGGTGGGACCATGCTTTGTTGTGAGATGCGCACTAACGCGTTTTTGTATGGAAAAAGCCACCAGCTGTGACTCATATGACGTAAGTTGATTGAAAATACCATGACGTTCAATAAATTTTCTGGTATTTTAAAAGATTTTTGACTTTCATTACGTGTTGGTACAGTGAAATCCCAAGAGCTCAATTGTTAAGAAAATATGTTGTAAGGGGGTTTAATTAAGACGGCGTTCTATTTGACGGAAATAAATTTTAACAATTTTTTAGGTAACTACCATATTTATGCAGCTTATTAAATAGCTTTAACGGTCGTTAACCAACATACCTTAAAGTAAATTTAGACAACCATTTTATTAAATAATTTAAAAAAATCTATTCTTTGAAGAAGCTTGCAATGCAAGCCAAAGAATTCAAATTACATTACCATCAAAAAAAAATATATTTTCTCAACATGAATTTTAGTTTTTCAAGAAATATGAGAAATGTTGAGAAAAAAATCCTAGCTTGAGTTTACAGTGTAAAATGTACAGTTCGTTACTGCCACTGAGTACTGTCTGAACGGATCGTAAAATTTTTGGTATTATTTTTTAGTATTTGTCAGAAAGATTTTTCGTTAAGTTGCTTTTGGTCACACAGAACAACCAAGATGAACCGAAAATAAAGTCACCCGTACAAATTAAAACACAAATTATTACCCCAAAATAAAAAAATGTTCCACTATTTTTAATTTTTTGGGGTTAGATTACAGTCAAATATGGATCAATTAAATTTATACGAAGTGCTTGGCGTGGCCCCAGACGCAGGAGAAGAGGAAATAAAAAAGGTAAATGGTGTTCCACAATTTCGTTAAATTGATTTAATAATGTTTTTCTATTGATTTCCCGCAAGAATTATCGCAAATTGGCCAAGGAGTTTCATCCAGACAAAAACCCAAATGCTGGCGATAAGTTTAAGGAGATATCGTTTGCCTATGAAGTGCTCTCAGATCCCGAGAAGCGACGAATATACGACCGTTACGGATTGAAAGGCCTACAAGAGGGCGCTGAGGGATTCACCGATGCGTCTGAATTTTTTTCACAGTGGTTCCCCTTTGAACGGGCTTCGCAAGGGGGGCGTGGAAGGCGTGATGGTAAGGTCGTGGTCAAGATGGAGGTGACACTAGAGGAAATATACGTTGGAGGCATGAAGAAGAACCTTGAGTACAAACGCCATAAGCTCTGTGGAAAGTGCAACGGCGACGGTGGTCCCAAGGAGGCTCGTGAAAGCTGTGAGGCATGCGGCGGTGCTGGACGAGCGACCGCATTTACCTTTATGGGCCTTAGTGCGTTCGACGCGGTAATTATTAATATAATATTCTAATTTATACCTATTAGTTTACTGATCGTAACTCCTAAAAAAAATAAAACTGGTTTTTATTAAAATGTTCCTCTATTTTAAACTTAGCTCTTCTTCTTAAAACTGTTAATATTAACCAATTTAATCTTCTTTTTAGCCATGCCCAGCTTGTGATGGACGTGGATTCACCATCAAGGATAACATGAAATGCACTCCGTGTCAGGGTATCGGGTTCGTTGAGCAGAAGATGAAGCGCGATTTGGTCGTGGAACGTGGAGCGCCGCACATGTTGAAGGTTCCGTTCGCCAACGAAGGAAATCAAATGCGTGGCGGAGAGTTTGGAGATTTAATCGTCGTAATTGTTCAACTGGAGCATTCGCTTTTCCAACGTCGACATGCGAATCTTTATATGCGGGATCTAGAGATCAATCTCACCGAGGCGTTGTGCGGCTACACGCACTGTTTTAGGCACTTGGATGGGCGGAATGTGAGTCTGCGAACCAAACCAGGTGAAGTGCTGCAGCACAACCATATCAAGATGGTCCGTGGTTGCGGAATGCCGGTTTTTAATCAAGCCACGGATAATGGAGATCTATATTTGAAATTCCGTGTTACCTTTCCAGACAACGATTTTGCCACAGCTCCTCAACTGGCCATGCTGGAAGACCTTCTGCCTCCGAGGCAAAAGGTTGTGATACCCCAAAATGCTGAGGAGGTCCAATTGATCGACTATAAACCGCAGCCCAGGCAGGCTAATCAAGACGATGACGATGGTAGTTCACCACACTTCGAGGGCGTGCAGTGCCAGACAGCTTAGTGCATGTGGCTATGGTTCCTGCAGGCGCGGTTCCTTTGTCTCGATCTGGTCCATATCGTGGGCACGTTGGGGGTCGATGAGGCCTGCTTTCTGGTGCCATTTCTCGTCCTGATCTGCATAGTATTATTTTTCATACAGGAATGTTTGCTGTGAAAAGCACGTGATCCAAATTGGTAGTATACATACATACGTCGTGTAGGGGCTAAACTACAGCTAAAGCTTAACAAAAGCCGATCTGATCTTCAATTTTAGTGTCGATATATAATACCAATGCTAAATAAAATTTAAGCACTGATTTTTTTTTTTATTTTGTTCCTAACTCTTGCCCTACTTACCAACAATAAACGAAATTGCGCATCTACAAGAATCTTGGAAAATCTCTCGTATTTATTTTTTGAATTTTAAAAAGATTTGGTTTACTAGTTTTAAATATCATGTCGTTTATAAAGCTATTATCGCAAGTACAGTTTTACATTGTAATACAAACTCACAGTAATACAGTAATAATAGTGTATTAAAATTCTTAAGACCCTATTCAATCTGATAGTGATGTATGCTTGAAAACAGTATTTGAAATCCGTCAAATGTCTTTATAACTCGAGCGGAGATTCTTCATTTGCAGCCATTATCTTGAGTGAGCCATTAGCTGGTGAGCCTGCCTCTTCGAAATCAGTTTGCTTTTGCTGCGCTGTCTCCATAGTCGCATCGTTTGTATGTTCATCACAATCGAGTAAATCCACTGGGTCTGCCTGGGGGCACTTTAAGGCACCTAGAAATACCTGAGGGCAGGTGGCAATCGCTTCCTTATCAAACTTTTCGGTTGGTCCACAAATTTGTTCTTCTAGTTTCTCGGGCGGCACCACAATCATATCACCCGTACGCATGGCTTTGGCATCGCCAAACTGATCAACATTCACCTTCATTAAAGTCAGGTATTGGTTGTATTTTGCGTAGTTTCGCCGTCCAGTCTCATCGTTCATTAAAACCTGCGCCTGGTTGTGGGACTTGTCGCGGATAGCCTTTAGGCGAATGTGCTTGGTTATGTCCCAGCGCCAGTTGGAGCGGTAGGCGCATAGGGAACATTCAAAAGGCTTTCTATTCAAATGACCCACGATATGGACGTGGAAACGGGAGGCAGTTGCTGCCCAAAATGTACAATGCGGACACTTGAAAACCTTTTTTAAGGGAGTCATATCATCGGCGTCATCGGGCAGGAATTGGTCTGTAACCTATAAATATATATAAAAAAAATATATTTTTTTAAACGTTTTAATAATGCACTTAGCTTACTTCTCCATATCCTGGAGCTGTTTCCACTCCGCAGTAGCTAAGATCACTGGAAGCACTTGGTAAATCGTCCTCGGTAATATCATTGTCACCGCTCGAAGTGGCGGCAAGATTTTGGCTAGGCCCTTTTATAGCCAGAGAGCACGTCTGAAGATGCTTGAACAGATCAATAGAATTCGCCACACGTTGCTGGCAATAGGTGCAGTTTAGCCCAGTCACCTCTTGCAGTGGCGCTTCGAGAGTTGCAACTGAGGGAGTGACTTTTTCCGTCTCTATCTTTTTGGATATAATTGTTTGCTGGTCTCCTACTTGATATTCTTGTTCTTCGGGGGCCCGGCGTCTGGCGGCCATCTGGTGGCCCACCGTAGGCACGTGATGGTTAAGTTCGTGGATCGTGAGCGACTGTTTTATGTCCGTGCTAAAATCGCAAACCGAGCATTTGAAGTGACCGTGAGCACCGTGGTTCTTGGTGTGCCTGTCTAGATTCCATTTATAAGGGGTGTGGAAATCACAGGAGCTGCACTTTATCAATGGCATGGAGTGGTACTTGACGTGCTTCTTAAATCTAGCTCGGATGGGGGTGCTGTACGAGCACTTGTGACACTGAAATTGCTCTACACCTGGTGGCAACTCCAAAACATCGGGAGTGGGACTTTGGGGGGCCTCCTCCGAGTCGGTGCTGCTATTTCCATCCGACTTTCCGGTTGCGCCTTGTTGCTTGGGCGGCATCAACTTTAGCTGATATTCGAACGCCATTGAGAAGATGTTGTCGTGTCTTTCGAAAATCTGCTGGAGTTTCTGTACTTCCAGTTGACGATTATAAGCTTCGACGTTGCTCAGCAGCAACTGTTCTTGGTGATGTAGCTCGGCCTTGAGTTTCTCCAAAGAAGGTCCATTTTGGAGCATCTTCACCAAATTGGGATCCAGGCCGGGCGCACTGGCAGTAGGTACTTCAATGCTCTCCTCTAATCGCCGCTTGCGCGTCTCCCTGGAAAGATTTCGCTTACCTTTCATCTGGCCACTGGACCCGGAAGTGCCACCATCATCTGAACAGCCATGAACCATTTTCATGTGGCGCACTAGTTTCTGGAAATGCCGAGACGCGTACAAGCATAGCTTGCACTCGTTTATTACAATTCTCTCACCGTGGACATCTCGTAAATGGGAGAGATGACTTCGGGGATTTTGGGTGAAGAACGCACACTGGTTGCAGCTGTAGTTACGCCGAATTTTGCACTGTGGTAAGTCTTCCTCATTGATACCGGCGTTGCTCTCTGTCAGGGTGGCGGAGTCTGGGCTCTCCTTTCCCAGAACTGTGTGGGATGCGGGCAGAGGCACTGACGACAACGGTAGCGAAGGCATAACCATACTGCCCATCTTAAACTGCTCTAGCTGGCGCTCCAAGATGTCAACTTCCATCAGAGGCTGCAATCCATCGCCACTGTCTAGCGGGGCTTGGTACACTGGAGTACCACTTACCAGGCTGCGAATCACCAGATGATCTCCAGAACGTTCCACCATCGAGGGGAACTCCATTTTGAAATCACAGAAACTTTTTTGGCCAAAATGATTTCTGCTATTGTTGCTCGTTCGATAGCTCGTTAAAAACTAAATTTGACTTAGTGTCCCATGCGGCTTCAACTCTTTAAAGGGCTACTGCGTTTAGTGGATTAAATGGTACCATTCTGACAGTTTACCAGAAAGTTCATATTTTACGCACAATTTTATGTTTTTTTTTAGATTTAATAAAATTTAATAAATTATCGACCGAAACTATTAAATTTATTATATATTTATAAAATTCACAAAGATCTTAATGGTTGGGATACCATAAAAGAAGAAATAAAAAAAATTAGTAAGAAACACATAGATAGAATTCATAACCACCAAAATAATTAAGCTTTACTACGATAGTTAACTGTACCAAAACTGAAAAGACATCACCAGTGTTGCAAAATTTTATGGACTCAAATAGCTAAAATAAATATGCTAGAAAAAAAATAAAAAAAAATATAAAATTATTTGATTCTGATACCATTTTTAAATATTTTGTTGGTAATGTGTAGTTGAAACAACACATCCCACTTCTTTTGAGTCCATATCTGTAAATGAACATTAATTTTATAAGTCTAAAATCTAGAATTTTAGTTATTAATGTAGCCTAAAATAGCTAAAATAAATAATGTTGGGAGCAACTGTATTTGAAAAAAAATATTTTAATAAATATAATTCCTTAAATTGTTCCTTAATTATAAAAGTAATTGTACTAGACGCTGAAAACGCACGATTATACGAATATACGAATAAGCTTTAGGCGTATTTATACCCAATTCCTGATAGCAACATTTAAAAACTTTCCAAAACTATTAGGAAGCTATAGGTGTGCATGACAGGTAATTATTTTAACTGGGATCTAGACGTACAAGTATTTAACAAATTTATGATGTAAGGCACAAAATTAAATACCTAAGCGAAAGTTTTGTAAATTAGTGAAAAAAGTTTTAGTTTTAGTAAAAACTATATTAGTCCCATATGATTTTTTATTGATTCAGTCTTTACAAGTTATAGGAAATTTTTTTCAACACAATATTCTCAATAAATTAACTTCTAAAAATTGTTTGTTACGATTAGCGTTTTATCTAGTGCATTCGGGTTTTAGTCCATCAAATAAAGTGGCAGGAGATGCAACCAAAGGTTTTGGTCTATGCCCAATTCCTGATCGCTAAAGTTGAAGAGGGGTGGAAGCTTACGACCGTTAGGCATTCGGCGATCAAGGGTGTCCATGACACGTAGTTCATCGAAACTGGGATGGGCACATGCTACTATGGGTAGTATGCGGCCTGCAGACTCGTAGACCAAACAAGAGTTCAGCAGATCCGACAGATCCTGCGGCACAACCGTATGCAGTAATATATCCCAACTGGGGCGGGTTGAAATTATGTTTCTTATATCACCGCAATGAGAGAGGATTTCCGGAGCTCGTTCCAAGCCCTCTGTGCCTAGAGTATTAATGATATGCCCAAGCTGATTTTCTTCGTGAATGATACTCATAAATAAAGGAGATCCCTTTAGAAGTTCCGCCAAAACGCAGCCCGCACTCCATATATCCACCGAGCAACTATAGAGCTCGCATTTGGCAAACAGTTCAGGGGCACGGTACAGTCTGGAACAAATGTAACTTAAACTAGGTTCCTGAGGTACCAAAAACTTGGCGCTGCCAAAGTCACCCAACTTAAGCACCATTCTTCTGTTGTCCAAAAGGAGATTTTCCGGCTTTATGTCCCTATGGCAGATGCCCAGAGTGTGAAGATGTCCTAATCCTCGAAAGATCTGATATGAAAGAATCCGCACATAGAGAAGTGAGTCGGAGTAGTGCATCTGACTCTGATGACGGTTGATGTAGTCGTGCAGAGTCATAGGCATGAACTCCATGATGAGGATATAGCAGCTTTGCGGAGGGTTGCCTAATTCCACACATGAGTGCATAATAAGTCGAACGATGTTAGAGTGGTCCACCAGCTGGTCCAAGATCTCGGCCTCCCGTTGACAAAACTGCGGATCGTGGGGGATTTGTTTTAGTGCCACTGGTTCCTTTATGCCATCTAAACGAGCCCTGTAAACAAGCCCAAAAGATCCACTGCCAATCTGTTCCATGACCTTAACTCTGGCCTGAATAGGTTCTGTGCTGCCTCGGCTTATTCCACAGGTTTCTATCACAGAATTCTTGGGTATTACCAGGGGCACAGGTACTGATGTTGGCGCTTGGCATTGTACCTTTTTCCGGGAGTCTGATAGGAAGAAAACCAAAGAGTGGATGTCAATGCTTTTTCATGGATTAAAATGTTAATAGACGTATCTCACCCATGCTTCGAATGGACTCAATGAATAAAGTTTAAATTCTTTCAAATTAAATAAAGAAAGGGATTAAAATAGACAATAATAACTTGATTTGCTAGGCTTTCTGTTCACTCTTCAAGTTGCAACTCGCCGCTCCACCTGGGTGGCAAGCTCAAAATTCCGGCAGCACCGATTTTAAAAAATACTGGAAAATACTCAAATGGATATAGGTGAACGAGTCTAATATGTCCAATGGGTCAGATTCTGACAGAGATTGATTCATCAGCTTCTAGACTCTCTAGTTCCCAAACAGTCTATTATATGGACAAAATATATATTCATTTTTTTAATCGTTACTGTTAAGTAGTGGTGCAAAAAACATCGATGAAAACATCGATGCATCGATGTTTTTTACATTTTCAAATACATCGATATTTCTCTTTGAACACGATGTTTTTTTAATGTCACTTTCAAGAGGAAAACCTAAGGAAAGGTACCTTTCTGTAAGTCAGAAAGGGCCTTTAGCAAAGCTGGGCAAATAATTTCTGACCGCAGGACTCGCCTGAATCCCGATCTTGTTTTAAATTATGTTTAATAAAAAAAAACACAGTTTTTGTGACTGTTGACCATTTGACCATTTTTAAGACAGTTTTGATCTCTAATTATCTATATTTTAATTTGGTGCATGAAGCACAATAAATATATTTTTTTTTTATTTTTTATGCAACCATGCATGGCCATGTAGTCTAAGCCCATATTCCATATGTACCATACTCACCCCATCTTCTAATCTTCATCTTGTACTTAAATTTTTAAAAACATCGATGTTTTATCATCAATGATTCAAAACATCGAAAACACATCAATGTTTGGGCACCTCTACTGTTAAGCTATCTTTGCAGATAAAGAAGTGCCAGTGCTTGGAAACGGCTGCGGCTGCTTGAAATCGTTGCATCAGTGTTGGACATCGGTTCGAGATGTTTTGAAAGCGTAAACAAAATAAACAAAATAAGTTGGAACCGTGCGGGAAAAGTGTAGAGGAAAGTGGAACAATACAGTGAAGTCAACCAGGATAGGGAACTGGATCAGTAGTTGCGGCAGAACCATACCGTCACTTTTAATTTTATTACTGCTATTTATTTATTTGTTTACTTCGGGTTTAACCTCATACTTAATTAAACAATTTTAAAAATATAATTTTTATTTTTTGAGCTATTTGTTTCTATTCTGAACACTAGTATTTTACCCTCAACCGGATGAATATATATACATATATGAAAAAATTCTCATATTATTATTTCTTTTGTATAAATTAAATAATATATATATATTTTTATTCAATTTTTCTGATATACAGTCGCAATATTCGCTTAGTGCAGGATAGAACTTAACTGAGTGGCTTCTGGTTTAATGGTTGTGAGGGTAGTCACACCTTTGTGATGCACTGTGGTCTCGGACTCGACCTTGAACTTGGTATTAGATGTGAAGTTGATGCTGTAGCTTAAGCTTACCAAAACCGGTTGACGGAGGAGGGAGGCTCTTTGTAGTAAAAGTTAATGGGCGACAGCGACAAGCCCGAGGCGGGGGCAACAACAAAAATTAGCAGAAAGCTTTATACCTTCGGGAAAAACCGAAGTGTGTTTGCCCTTGCCGTTAAAAGGAAGTTTATATTGTAAGGTATAAAATGTTTGGTATATGTATGTATTTCGAAACGGGGCGATGTAATTGGTAAAAAAAAGGTGGACTGTTGTTAAGGTTGTTAAAAATGGATGATTCAAAATTTTTATTTATTTTGATTTAAATTTAAAAAAATGGTTGTGCTGCATACTTTTGTGTGCTTTAAATTAAACCCATAAGGAAGCAGATATAAATATAAACATATAGATATAAATGGCTCCTTAGAATAGATTGATACCGAAACTTAAAAAAAAATTAGTTTGCGAGAAGTGACCATTTCATTAAATAAAACGTTCACCAGACAAACAAATTTGTAAACAAACCAAATTTGCGCGAACTTTTAACGAGTTCACTGCAGGTGCCACTTTTGTCGAAATTATAAAAATCTAAAAACAAAACGAAAAGAACTTCAAAATTAAATTAAAAATTTAATTTCATTAAAGTCACGAGCTTTAAAATTATCTTAGCCCGAAGTTAATTATCGGTCCTTGATTCTTCAGACCGTTTGTCACAAGCTTTTTTATATTTTTATGCAGGCGAAGTGCAGGGGAACACTCAATGGTGCAGGATTTTGGCCCATTAATTTACATTTTACAACACCATAGTAACCCTTTTTAGCTTTGTAACTTGCCGGAAAAATGCGTATCTGGCCTGCTGGTGGTATCAAAGTAAAGCCCTGCAAAAATCATGTAATTTCCACAGTGAGAAAAAGATGGGAACCGGTTCGTCTTGCCTACTGCTGGTCTGCTGCATGTGGCTGAGAAATATGTATCTTAAAGCTGCAGTTTGTTGCCGTTGCCATTTGGCTGGCGTTGTGGAGAACCAGGTCAAGGTGACTTTGCCGCTGAAGATCATTATCGTGTTGCATTCATACTTGTTTGAAGCGCTCTGCAATCGAACAAAGTCGTTGCCAGTGGTGTGAAGCCGCAAACGAAAGACTAACCAATATAAACTAAATACCAATAATTATTTTGTTGTTTCTGTTTTGGAATATATAAATTGCTATATATATAAACAATATATATATATTATTTTAAAGTAAGTTTTTAAACCACCAAATTTAACCAAATTTAAATTTAGGGATAACAATTTTAATTGCATTTATCGCTAACGTAAGGCAATATGTATAAAATATTTCTCACTGTCAAAGATGCAAACCTATAGGTATTTTTCGTGTTTATTTTTATGAAACAAATTCTTTGATCCCCCTTTTAATCGTGCAAATCACGGGGGATTGTCAGTTACTCTGTATTTAAAGGCTGTTTTTAATTGTTTTGACTGGTTTACGAGCTGCTCGGGTTCAAGAGCTTGAATCCAGCTGTCTGACAAATGCAATCGCAGACAAAAAGCAACGAAATGCCACAATTAAAAAAAAAATGTAATTAGTCATATGAGATGTGAACCCTGAAATTAGAGCTACATACCTGTTAGGGGTTCAAGTCTTCATAATTTTTGGCAATTTATATGCAACGCTTGGCTGCATTGCGACATGATACAATGGGAGCCACTTGCTCTCTCCATTAGGTCCGGTCGGGTTCAATAAACGCTTACGGAATGCCCCTGGACCTCGGCCCATACCGGGTCATATCGTCGCAAAGAAAAAGAGCGTTGTAGTCTTGTTATATCGCTACCAACACTTCCTGCTTGAACTTAATGGCGATTTAACATGCATTTTAAATTAAGTGCGGTCAACACTTAAGCTTTAATGTCATAGCCCTGTTCACTAAGTGCATTAGTCGTTGGTCGTTGATTAATCATACGCCTTGGAGAACTTTGAACAAAATGAGCACGAAGAAACCAGCAAAGCGAATGAGAGTCGAACCTTTGTACACATTTCCCACTATACGTATTTGTTTCGCATCTATTCCACTATTGAAAAAAAAAAAAAAAAATCTTTGGAGCAAGGCTCGCAATACAACCTGCTGCTATGAACTCTATCGATTTTAATTTAAATTATTAAATATGGCATCATGGAATTTTATTATAAAGAATTTTATTATAAAGAGAATTTCTTAGAATACAAAATTTAAAAAAAGTCCCAAGCTTCTATCCTCAAAAATACCAAAATTGGGTAGTTTTCTCTAATTCAGTTATTTGGCAGCTATAAGATATGGTCGGCCGATCCCTATCCCGATAATTTGTTAGGCTTGATCAGTTGGGTTAAAGTATAACCAATAGAAAAGATCTCAAACACAAAAAATATTAATTATATTGCATTTCCGATCAATGAGTTATAAACAGATGGACAGATAGACGGAGAGACGGGCATACCTTACTAAGGAGTTGGTCCTGATCAAAAATGTGGGGTCGGAGATGTCTTCTTCACTGTATTGCACTTTTGACCAGAATTATAATACCCTCTGCAAGGGTATAATTATCGTTGCAAGTACAACTGATTAAGTATTAATTAGGGCACTCATTTCTTATGATGCGTCAGGAAAAATTGCAATAGGGAGGATTTAACGAATGCCTGTGAGCATTACTTTTACATAAAAACAAAAAAAGGTTTCATAAGGAAAAAACTCCGGACTTACAGCAACGGGAGCATACTGGCATAAATATAAGTATATATGTATGTATGTATGCCCCGGACTTTGGGGCAATGCAATGGACCATTAAAACGTCGCTGACGAGCGCCAGCAAATTTGGACCAAAAATAAATCAATAAGCCCTGAATTTTTCCTCTTTAAAGAAGCCAGGATTTCAAACTGTTTTTGGTTCGTGATATTTTTATTACACCACGCTTTACCTTCAGTGTGGTATTTTTACAGGGGAGAGTCGACGTGGTCACAAACTGGCCGGCATCATTAAAATTTCATTGGGTGTTTACGACTTTAAAACTGCTGTAAAAGTTCGCTTTTAATGTTCGTCCTGTGATTTTCCTGTGGGCAAAATAGGATCTAAACTTTTAAAGTCGGCTCGAAGGCAAAATCTTGAAGAATTCCTGCGGACTGCCTTTTGATGCACATTAGCTACACCACATTGTGCTTACTAATGAGCTTGTTTATGGCAGACATCCGCATCCGTATCTGTTTCCGAGCGATGCAAAAAAACCACCACAGGATTGTGAGCAGAAAAGAGGAAAATAAAATGTCAGTCTCTGATTTCAGTGCACATAGGGAGGATTTAGGCACACCTAAGATTCATGACACACGGTATTTTTTAATGGTTCTTGCCGAAGCACTACGGTTTCTTTCGAGCTTAGTCGGTATTTTGTCTGTTTTGAAATCTTTTCTGGTTTTAAATTTTAATGTCGTCTTAGAATTTTACATACCATAAACTAGATTGTATATTTAAATAAATGAGATTGAAGTTAAGGACTTAGGAGAATGCAAAAACTGGAATATACGATTAGCGCCTCCCAAATATAATTTTAAATTTCCGTCGTTCCGTTTTATTTCTATACT